CATTCGATGCGCCTGAGCTAGCTGAACACGATGATGCCAAAATCGCGGCTCTACGGCCATTTTTGGCGAAGTTATTTACCAAAAACCGAACCCTTGCCTAAGATCACTTGACCTGACCTCAGAGGTCACCGGTTGACCTGAGACCTTTACAGCGGGTTCCTACCAGTCACTCTGCATTATACTTTGCCGCATACGACCACTTTACCGCTTAATTCTAGTTAAATTAGCGGCGCATTAGCGAGGTGGGTTCAATCAACCCCCTCGGCCGGTGCAAATGTAGGTCCGGCGAGTAAATTTGAGGAATTCTGAAGATACGATCGTGTTCCCCACTCAATTCTGCGTAAGATGCCGGGTTCCGTATCTACGTAACTTGAACGTAACGGATGCGGCGGCCGCAAACGTAAATCGAGGTCCCGAATTCCCTATTCCTCAACACAGGCGGCGGCCGGTTCTTGGTCTGCGCAATATGGCCGCCACCGTTAGACACCACGGCCAATAGGATTGAAGCGGTAGTGCTCCCCTGTGGGCGAAGGTCATGGTCCTCGAGTTATACTCGTACGGAGCAGGCAGTTGAGCTCGAGCTCTGAACTCAGCTGCATGGTTACACCTCATCCTATGACTTGACAGCCGATATACATAGGCACTAGAGATTTCGGATAGAGCTGCACTTTTCACTAGGTATATGCCTTTTACCATAAACAATCAATATACCATTTACCATAAACAATCAATATACCTTTTACCATAAATTATTACCATCAGTTCAGTAGGAAGCACACCCATCAAGCTTTCCGACTGAAATATGATGACGTCATCCACACAACAACTCAATGCTAAGTGCTAACCCAGAACTTCTCGGCAGTCCGACTCTGGAACTCCGGATGACCTGACCCCTGGCGCCCCGACTGACCTGACCCGGCGGCACCCCAGGGCTGGGTCACACCTCACCTGGTCGGGGATTTTGGACGGGCCCGGCCCGAAGAACACGATCGGCTGCTCCATGGCGCTGTGCGGCGGCTGGGGTCCCGGTGCGGCTCCGTCTGTGACCGTCCGATCGCCGGCCGGCCCGTCCCCGTCCTCAGCCGGCAGCGCGTCCGGCCGGCCGGCCCGACCGCCCCCCTGCGCCGAGCCGCCGCGCCGCCAGCTTCCGGCGCTGGCCGCCGCGCGGCGCCACCTGTCCATGGGGCTCGGGTATCGGGTGTAACGGGAGGGAAATGAACCGGTTCATGACCCCACTCGTGGTCTTAAAACTACAAGCCGGAAGTGGGTAGTAAGTGTGTAACGATAAGATATGAGCAAAGAGATCTGTCCACCGGAGGGGCAGAATGTGGTCGTTGTGCCACCGCGACCTGACCACACTCCACCATGACCTGTCCACCGGGACGAGTGTGGACTGTGGAGGGGGGCACCACCGTTCCCCGACCCGGCCTTCATCCGGACCGGTTGTGGTGTGTATGTAGTGTTGATCGGGCATGGTCCATATTGATGATAATCTAGTCCTATTACTGTGAGTACCTATTACCTACATGTTTGTCGATGGGCATTGGTAGGTAACCGCGGGGTATTTGAAAATCAGACAAACACTTCCGGCGTAGGTCCGGCGAGTAAATTTGAGGAATTCTGAAGATACGATCGTGTTCCCCACTCAATTCTGCGTAAGATGCCGGGTTCCGTATCTACGTAACTTGAACGTAACGGAATCGTGTTTTTATATTAAAAATAGCCGGAGCAGTCCTCGCTTGGGAGTGTTTTCCATATGTAGGCTCTTGGACAGTTGGACAATGTCTTGAGCTGACGCTATGGCCAACATGTACATTGCTCAATCATCATTATTGTGATGTCGTTTTGTTTGTTTCTAAGAAGCACATAAAATGCACCTGTTTCACAAACAAAAAAATATATAAGCTTCGTAGTTCATACCCTGTATAATCGCATGTCAAATTAGCTCGCGTCGAAGCTTACGAGAGGTGTAGTTCGATAACTGATGGATGGGCGAGCCGGTCGTTTCTACTGTCCCCTTTGTTCGGCCCCTAAGTCACTAGCGATAGCTGGTAGTCCCCACAGTCCAGTGATTATTTTTAGTTTTTCATCCATCGACTGCCATAAATCAATTGAGTGATGAGTAGGTATCGACTGGCGACGGGATGATCAGATCCCAACCAAGGTCATCTTACCTCTGTAGGACGTTCACGGTGCCCGTAAAGAGGTGTAGTTAGTCTGAATGCTGAGGTATGGATATAAGGCGTTGTTCCAATGGCCATGATAGACATATGTAGGTACCCAGCACCTACCTACCCAATGCTTATGTACCCATGATTAGTGTACGGTGGAACAATTGATGTCAATCGTTTGAAAATTGCTCGAGTTGGATCAATACGCTTAACGCTAATCAAACATTGGGTAATTTGCTTGTAAAATGTTTCATGCATAAGACACGATAAACAATTAATCGATGCACATATGGTCCAGACAGTGAATTTCAGCCAATTTATGCATTGCAGCACCAGGCTGATCCCCACTCCCCAGCCACAATGACGGACGGTCCGGCCGCAGCGCGCTGGTCGGTCCACACTGTGCCGTGTACCTGATGACCGTCCCGTGATTGTATCAGTTTCAGACCATATACCAAGAACTGTGGTGGCATGGCGCCGCTGCTTGTAGACTTTAATGTTAGAACATAAAAGGAACCTGATCAAAAAGTTTAACCCTCGCCCGCACATGCCATTTTCCCATCCTAGAACGCACATGGGGGGGGGGGGTGGTTGCCACCCCCGCGCCATTTCGTTCCTGTTGGAGATAGAGCTTAGCGGTAAAGACCAAAAAGATTCTTTGGGAAGAGACGAATCCAATGATACCCAGTTTTACCTTCTCAGGTCATTCATTGACCTTCCAGGTCAGGTCAAACTAAAAAATGTTGCTGTTTTGGGTCACCGTTGGATATCAAGTGCGCTGCTTATCAAATACCGATGACGATGCTGTTTTCTGGTGCCAAGCCAGCTAGAACCTCTTTGTCACACTACCCGACCAGAATTTTGCTGCTGAGGTCATTTCAGGTCAAGTTAGGTCAAGGTCAATTATATGTGTTTGTATGTCTGTGTGTGTCTGTGTGTATACTGATGTGTGCACCGATTGTTTTTGGGTCCATATTACATGAAATCATGATCTGAGAAGCTTTTACAAAAAATGCAGTCAAAAAACTTCACAAAAAGTAAATTCAGCTTGCCTAAAACGCAATTATCTTAGATGACCTAGGTTGACCTTGACCCTGACCTTGACCCCTGTACATCGTCGAACAACATGTTCCATGATAGGTGGGAGGTAAGACTGGCGAAAAAGGCCGAAATCATGGTGTCAAAAGCTCACAAGGCCCATGGCAAACGCAAGATGTTGAGAATTGGCCATTTGGGTCATGACATGACCTGAAACAAGGTCATATCTCCGAAAACAAAAATCACAGAAACTTGAAATTTTGAGTGGACATCAAGAAAGGATAGAGGAGCAGCTATACGAAAAATCAGCCTTCTACTTCTAAAAATGTGTAGTGCAGAGCAGAAAAACTACCTGGGGGGGTGGCAACCCCCCCCCCCCATGTGCGGGCGAGGGTTAATACGATTGGCACCCCTTGGATGAGAACGAGTGAAGAGATTAAAACCGTGTCCGTTGTCGGGCCGCCGCGGCAGGCTGCCTCCGTTACGGTGTTCTCGAGATTGTTCAGTGATAAACGCTAAGTAACTAAGTTTTAGAAGGGAGACCTGACTCTGACATTTGCTTTTATCCGAATCACTTGACATTTCCCCAATTTAGGGCCGCCGCGCCGGTCGGGTCACTGGCTGTGACATGAGTGGGGTGAGGCGGATGTGAGGAGTTTGATGGTAATGGTGTCAGTGTGGAGTTCGTAGCTAAATGAGGTTTAATTAGCTATTTTGATTCAGAATTCACACTTAAGATGACTAGGTACTGAAAAACTCGCAGCGCCAGAAATTGACAAAAATTTTCGGTTTTTCGAGAATAAAACCGCGAGAATAAATTGAGGTTCTTGGGGCGCCCAAAAACCCCAATTCATCATCATAAAGGTACTGCACAGCAGTGCGTAAGGAATCGAAATTCGATGAGCTTTTTGAATTTTGATATTTGGGGGGGTATAATTCCCCCCCCTCCCTGCAGCGTCCAAGACCGTCTTTCTGGATCCTCCAGTCAGGCGTGAGCTTACATACCAAGCATGGAATAACTTGTCCGCGGCCCGCAAAACGCGGGCGAACGTCGAATCGAACGGCAAATGCAGGTAGGTAGACTGACCCGCCCGACACAGATGCGTTGCGGGCAGCCTACCATCTCAGGCAGTCAGTCGCAGCCGGCCGGGCCGTCCTCCGAGCTGACGCGGAGGGACGGGGAAGATGATGTGTGCTTATTTCTCTGACGGCAGAATATGGGTGGATCTGGATGAGAATTGCTTAAAATTATTATGTGATCTTGATCAGATATAACATTTGATGTTCCGTTTACAACAATAGCTATAAGCTAAGACAGCAATAAAATGTATCGACTATATTCCGACTGTAGTTACCATCGAAACCAAGGCGGTTGCGGGGCCTTTTAGTTTCGGCCTTTTGCTGCGCGCTTTTTGTTTTGTGGACTGGAAGCAAAGTTCCCCGAATCGCCAAGGCGATTCGGTTCGGGGAACTGAAGGAACTGAGGCTCCTGATTTTTTAATGAGTCATGTCACCGAAGAGTGAAGACGAATGCTTAAATAAAAGAATAAGCTAACTGCGTTGTCACAACTAATTACAGAGTCAGTTGCTTGATGTTACAACTTACTGTTTGCAACGCATGACATCAGGTCTTTCATTGAAGTAATACTTGCTACACTTGCTACTTGCTAATGCTTTCGTTTTAGTAAGCAGTCAGTTACAACATCCTTGAAGCTATAATAACGCAAAACATTGATCCTCTGCAGACTTACGACATGACACGGCCCCACCGGACGTTAAACAAACTGTGGCGACACGTCCTTAATTATATTGCACATACCCATGAAATCTTAGAGCATACAACACGACACAAGCGTCTCTGCAACGCTTTGGGGCGCAGCCTCCGCCTGCTCCGAGCGAAAGGCTGCCACAACCCCTCCTTAAACTAGCCAGCTATAAACAAGGGTACCCGGCCGGAGACTGGTACGCTGTATAAACAGGGACCGCCCGACACAGTGTGCCTGGAATCTATCCGACCGACCAGGCGGGGGTCCTGTCCGGTGGGCCGGGCTCCGGTCGGGCGGAACACCCTCCCCCCACGCCAGTCTGACGTAAAACACACATAAACCACAAGGACCACAGCCGCCCGGCCGCCGCCTGAGCGTGAAGTCCTGCGTGTTGGAACATCACAGGACAGAGAGGGGAGGACCGAGGACTGAGGGGGAGAGAAGGCACCCACTATCACCACACATTCAGTCATCAGACTGTTCGAGAGAGAGAACGGAGTAGTGGTGCGTTGTAGGCACAGTGTTTGATACTACGAGTCGTTGGTTATTCAGGAGAGAAGAGAATAGTTCGTAAGAAGTAGCTAGTAAGAGTGCTGTTAAGTGATTTGGAATACGTATGAAGTATATGGATAAGCACATCAAACGTGGAGTCATGGCGCATGCAACGAGCAGACACAGACACTAATCACAGTACAATGGCGAATCCAAGTCGAATCAGTTATCACTTAGACAAGTGCAACATTCATGTCATGGTAACTGTTATCGTAAAACACACACCAGTAACCGACAACGCTTGAAAGTTTGGCGACATCTTACACAAACGAGCCCGGTCCCAAAACCGAGCGACATTATTCGAGCAGGCTGCTGAATAATGTCTTTAGCTTTGACGCCGAAACATCTAAACGATAAAACGCACAACTCATGGTCACCTGTTTCAAAAAATATATATTCGTCGTGGCAAGCTCGGCTGTGCATTTCGATGCGGGTGTTTCAGACCTGCAGTTATCGGAGCCTAAAATCGGAGCCCCCACAGCCACAACCTCGGGGGATCACCTTCCCGAGCCGGGCCCGGGAAACCCCAGTTCGGCTCACTTCTGTGATACTGGTAAAATCAGGGGACCACAGCAAACCAGCGTTCTGCTGAACAACAGAGGGCACAGAGGTGGTAGTAAAAAGACAGAGGTGGTCACCGATCACAGTCCCGCGGTGCCCCAGCAGTGCAGCGGTCCGGTGAACCCCGAGGAATGTCGTGTGTGCCCTCTGGCGGCCGGAGCCGCTCACTTCACTGCGCTCACTCGTGGATGGTCGTATGTACATACAACGCTCATTTCTAGATCACCTCGGGACCTTTAACTTCTCGACCGCCTCATGGCCCTAACTCCTCGGATCACCTCACGACCCTAACTCCTCGATCACCTCACGACCCTAACTCCTCGGTCACTCCACGACCCTAACTCCTCGATCACCTCACGTCCCTAACTCCTCGATCACCTCACGACCCTAACTCCTCGACCACCCCCCGGCGCTCACTCCTGGATGGCCTCGTGTTGCCTGGTGAGCCGCGGCCGTTCGCCGCACGTCTTCTCCAGCGGGCAGTTGTACTGGATTGTGTGCACATCAGGGGGCGCCGAGTTGTCCATGCTCGGCTGGTACTGAAACATAGAACGGAAAACCCAGAATGCAAGTGCGTGCCGTAAACACAGACACCGTGCGGCTATCAGCCCAAGGAGAAAAGAAACGATAATAAATTATGTCTTAATCCATAATCCCAGGTCTTCTTGGAAATCGTTTGTATATGTGGCGATAATAAACAGCACTGAGTGGTATTTATGTTTTCAGTTCACTTGAATAAAAACATTACTTCATATTCACTAAGACACTATCATTCCACACCAGATTTGCCTTGCCAAAACACCAGTCCACCTTCATTTATGGCGCTAAATAACACGATGTCCCCCCCCCCCTCCGTTCCTAAACACTGCCATCCCTCATGCCTGGGCCTTCCTAACCTCCATCCAACACCAGCATATTTCCACACGGACAATGCCGTATGCCCCAAACGAGCACTACTACCGCCCCGTCCAAACACTACTACTGGTCTCTTCGAAAGCCACCAACTTTCGAGCACTATCACCACCCCATTTAAACGCTACCACTGCCCCACCCTCTAAAAATCATGCACCGCCCCATGCTAAAGTTATATCCACCCTTTGTAACCACTCGCTCACCGTGATGCGTTTGCCGTATTTGCTCCAGAAGGTGACGCGGCACTTCTGCGTGCGCCCCGTGCGCTGGTCGAACGCCTGACACGTGGTGAACGGCGGCACGTACACGTGCAGGCTGACAGCCCTCTCCGAGTGGCTCGGGTTCTCCACGCGGTGCAGACCCAGCGAGTCTGACGGGACAGAGGGGAGGGGTCAGTCAGATCAGTCTGGTGACGGTGTGCTGGGTGTTAGCGAGTCTGACGGGAGACTGAAGGGGCGCATTAGGTGACTCTGATAAAGCGCGAGCCCAGTAATTACCCTGTCCCGAAAAGGCAACACGCTTCAAGGGGGTTACGCTTTAATTTAGCTGACATACGCGGTTATAGTGATATGCAATAGATCTATGCTCCTACGGTAGACGAATGCCACAAATTAAAGTCGTTGAGTTGAACTGGCAAATATATAGGGATTCATAAATTCATTTGGAGTTGTACTTAACAAAGTGCCATATTTAACCATAAACCTCAGACCATTTGATGCCTTTCAGTCCTGCGGAGGGCAGATAACGACGGCGGTGGTTCGCTCACCATTGATGTAGCAGACTCCGTTGAGCGGCAGTCGCGTGCGGCCCAGCTCTTCCATGCCGTTATTCGGGGTCTCATCGGTGGGCCACTTATAGCGGATCTCCTGCAGCTCTCCCTGCAGTACCTGTGGATGGAAGTGTGGTGGTTAGACGAAGCTGGGAAACGGTAAACGGACGGTGGAGTTTGAGAAGGACAAACGATAGACAGGCTTTGAAACGGCAGCGGGCTGAAGAGAGACGGACTTGAGGGTGACAGACGGGCTTTGGAAGCAGAATGCAGAATTGGACGAACTGGATGGCGACAGACGTAGTTAGACGGTTCTACATTTGGAAGACGACAGACAAGACACGTAATTGTGAGTAACCGATCTCAACCGAGCTGAGGAAATTGCAAGCTGACAACGGATGGCAGACAGCGAATGATATATCTTCTGCAGAAACTAGGTAGATGCTATTCGAGGAAAGGCGTTTAAGAAGTATGAAGTCGGCTGCACTTCCTACCACCGACCAGCATCGTTCCTGGCCGAAGCCCCTGACCTCGCCTCGGTTCGTTAGATCGAAGTCACTGTCACGAGACCCCCACATCACCCGTACCTTCATGAAGCAGTGGGCGTCGGTGTGGTCGTGGATGGTGGAGGCGATACTCTCCGGCCAGCAGAGCAGCATGATGTCGAACCGGCCGTTACCCGAGTCCACCAGGTTCCGGGTGTACCTGCGTGCAGACCAAAGGACACTGTCAGTACTCGGGTACAGCGTTGGTACAGCGGTACACTCTATACACAAACCGGTACATGCGGCTCATACATAGCCACACACAACACGATAAGTGCGAAACTAGTGCACCGGTACACACAAAACGGTACCCTCATACATTCGGTCGAGAAATGTAGAGGGTGGCAGATTGCAAACCAGGCGCAGCCCTAGCACGTGACGTTCAACATAAGCATAAGCTACGTTCTTTGAAGAGATTTATTGCTCAGTTACGGGCTCAAATGGCATCGTAGTCGACTCAACCATAAACCCCAATTAAGTATTAAAGTGATGTTATTGCCAATCTTCCAGTGCACCGATTGCGAACCAAGACGGAGAAAAACTTGATTTGTCAACATACGCCTGCCGACCTCTGACGTAGGCCGTTTCGTAATTGTCAGCAACTTTTTGCGCAGAACAGTACGGGCGGCCTTCACGGTATGATCAGAGTCGCCGTTAGCCAGTCGCAGTAAAAAGATCCCGGAAGCAGTTCTCGAAACAGAACCGCCCACGGTGAACACGGACAGAGGCGGGAAGAAAATCACGGTATCACCATCGTATTTTAGCGCTGGTGGGTCTCATAGGGAGAAGACCGGGAAGCCCCGACCTGAGCTGACAACGTCATGTCCGGTGATCCTCTGTTACATATGGCTGACGCTAGTGCAGTGAGTCGTACTAACTATGCCACTGGAACCCTTTCCAAGCGGTTTAATAACGGCCTCGTGGTGAACAGGGCTCAGACACCCACCCTAGCCTCTCAGGCCTGGGGGCGGTAACTGGGGGGGGGGGGGGGGGGTCTACCCACCGCACCGGTTTGAGCCGGCCACATCCAGTCTGGGTGCGTTTCGTGATAACAGTTGATAGACGGTGACGGTACCGAGAACTGCTAAAACCACTTTAAGCCGCCTGACAATTATCGACACCGCCTAATTAGTGAAAGCGGTGTCCAAGGGTGTAACACGTACAAACTACTCGTGAGTGACACGCGCTTTCATTTAGATTTAGAAAGGTCGACGCTTGCTTACCGTGAATGAGTTTGGGCCTTGATTATAGCGTGAAATTTTGCAAAGAGTAGTTGAAGTGATAAATACGTCTGCCAGTGCAAGTGGGACAATTTTATCCACGAGGGGCGTCTGCTTTCTGGGCCAAGAACGCCGGGACACACCCACCTGGCCGGGCGATATTACACCGCGGGCTCCACTGCCAGCTGGCACACCGGTAGAACACCGGCCACACCTCAGAGCCCGGCCCCCGGCGGCGGTCAGCTAGGTCACGGGGTCACACGTGCCATAACAGGGGTCGGCGGAGACTCGGCGGCCATAGACCCGCACCAGCACGGTGACAGGTTAGGGTCCCAGGTGAGGTCGGCACAGTGCCGACGCCAGATCGATTGACATGTCTGGGTGCACCGACCGGATTGATCCGACTCGGACCGAACGGTGGCCTGTGACACCAGCTCAACTGCCGGCTGGGTGAGCCGACAATGTCTCGAATTGGAGTATAGGTGTGATATAGTGATCATGTAACGATAACATGCCACGCCCGACATGTTGGGCAAGATGAGACCAACGAATCGGTCACGCCGACCGCTTTAGAACTGGATCCCTAATAACAAGCTAGTAAGACCACGCTAAGCTGTGTTGAATGATAAATAACCAGAATAAATTTCCAGACCGACTACAGTAGTTTCTTATAGGTATCCTGCTTCAGTAGTCAGTACACACGGCATGCAAAAAGCACCTTTTTTATCCTTCATGAAAATATTGTGCATCATTTTTTTCTTAAATTAAATAGGTATATCTATAGGTACCTAACTATCTAGCCAAAATCATGTTATCACATTTATACTGTCGTGCAAAACACATTTGGATGTTGGAACCAGAGTATATGGAACCCAGGTACTGGCCTGGGAGTTGGGACCCTATTCAATGCTGCTGAATAGGTCGCAAATCCCGGCCACTGGGGAACTGATGCATTGGGAAAGCAGTATGTATTCACGTTCTCAGATGATTGCTACTGGAATATTCTAGCAGATTTCTGAACGCCTCGGTACATATACAGAGGTCTTTGATTTCAGCATTTGTATGCTTTTCGACCGGTCAATTATATCGCAAGTATAAGCAATGAGCATAGAGAAAGGTAAGTGCGTGTTACAAATTGATTAGCAGCTGATGCGCATTACAAATCAGATTGTAATGCGCATTTACTTTGCTCAAGGGTCTGTGGTAAATGATACCACCTGGTTACCACGCCGGCGACAGGTTCATTGCCAAACTGTCCGGCACGGAGGCCGATCAATACACGACCGAACGGCCGCCGATAACCCGGCCTTCAAAACACTCCCCCGGCCCACCTCTACCAACCACGAGCGGCACTCACTTGAACTTGTCGCGCTTGGCGTACTTCCTCCAGTCCTCCGGGTTGGAGACGTAGCCCTCCATCAGCCGCTTCACGTAGTCGACGTTGACGCGATCGCAGGAGAACACCCTGTGTAGTTCATCCACCAGCTGGGTCAGGCTGGTCACCTTCGGCGGCGCCTTGAACTCCTCGATGTGCTCCATGGTGTGCGAGGGGGTGTTGGACGTGCTGAGAGCTGTCAGCGCTGCTCGGTCAGCTGCGGTCGGCACGGGATGAGCTGTGGGACTGAGGTCGGCGCCTCTCCGGTCAGCTGGGGAGGGCGGGTGACGGGACGCCGCTGCGGTGCTGTAACTCGGTCGGTACGCACCGGATGGAGCCGGTCTGAGCCGGATCAGAGTACGGGTCTGTGGTGGTCACCTGTCGGCCGCCGGCGGGGGTCTGGAGACCGGCAGACCCGCCGCCGTTCGGTCGATCTGCGCCGGATGCCCGTGACGTCACGGTCCGGCCCACCGAGCGGCCGCGCTGATTGGTCGGCGGACGGGGCCGGACTCTGGATGGATCCCAAAGGACGCAGTACCACACATTGTTGCGTTATTAAATTCCGGCGGTATATGTGTCTATAGGGATGTGCCGGTGCGACGTTCGCTGGTGGGCGAGACGGATCAGGGGTTGGGTAACACTCTTTACAGTGCCCACCGAGAGCTGATGCGTTACAATTCTTCTGGGATTTGGAGTGGGAGGGTGGAACGGGCACAACCGCAGCATTAGAAACAGGATCCAATCTGACAGCGGCAACTGAACACAGGACGGGGAGGAGTGAGGACAGGAGAGTAGAGACACAGGGCAGGATGAGGGCTGGACACGAGAGACGTCGGTATAACTGCGGCACAGGACGGTAGCACTTGTCACGTTTAACGACGGAACAAAAGGGATACAGGACATATTAACAGTGTGATATACACACAACAGTGAACGATGGGATAGACACACAGGGCTATAACGGTGGAACTGGAGACGGTACGGCAAACGGCGTTATAACAGACATAAGATACTATAACGGAATAATTGACAAACGGACCGGTGCATCGGCAGCTATAACGATACAGGGTGGTATTACCGCAGACATTAGACAAACTAGGCAGTACCTACAACGGCAAGATAAGTTTGCACAAAAGCCGGTAAACATTGTGGTCGGTAGACAAATGACGGCTTTAGGTTCCTTGCTTGGTTTATATAGCCTTGGTTCATTCGTCTGGCAGCTGCATGCTGCATTTCATACGATGGATGCATCACTTGTGTGCGGTACGGGCTCGATCTTTTGACAAAGCATACTAATGTGGACGTGGGCACTGTGTTCTATCTTTCCGATACTGTTCAAAGGCAGCACAATATCTGAGAACGACCGTATTATTTATCATTCGTTATTTTGTTGCCACGCAGATGAAAATATGCATGACTGTAGAAACAAGCTCCTTTGTTTATGCTCCAGCAGATGTTCAGCACAGCCGAAGTTCTGAGAGCATTGCCTAACATCACAGGGAGTTGCCTGGAAAATCTCAGTGTTTCCCGGGCAGGTGATTTTCCACGCGACCCAGTGTGGAAAATCACCCACGACGGGATGAAACGTCTGGAAGGCTCACGGCCAATCCAGACATTTTCGTCAACTGACAACCTTCGTGCGCGTAGCCGACCAAATGTTATCATAGGTGCACTGCGTGCTATTCAAACGGCGAGACGCTTTTCAATGCAGCAGCCAGAAATACATTTATAGAATGAAGCCCTTCCTGCAGTTACTTGCCAATAAGGGCACGAATCACACTGAAGCAGCCATCGTAGGCAGGGGAAACAGTTTCTGTCTCACAAACAAATTATGGGCATCAGTTACTCATCAAGTAGGTATGTCCATATTTTTTTTTTTTTTGATGACATCAACATCCCAAAAATGTATGTTGTTCTCAAGATGCATAAAAGTAAATCTTTAAAAGAAAAGAAAAAACTATATTTTTGAGATGAACATCGACGAAATGATGAAAAAAAAAATACTGTTCATTAGTATTTGTCCACTACCCATTCGGACCTTTTCGATCATGTCGGAACCGTTGCAGTGTCGTTCTTCGCGGCCATTACCGAACGTCATGCGCTACGCCATCTGTCTCGCTCGCAGTCGCCTCACGCACTGTTTATAAGGTTTCGGGCGGGCGCGGTGTGGCACTAAGTGCACGTGCCACACAGCTGTGCCACTTTCAGCACCAGGCGTCTCGGTCGGCCCGGCTGACAGCTATTGACGACACGGCGGGCGGTGTTAGGGAGTGGTCTCCAGTGGTCACCCCTCCCCTCCCCCCCCGGGGGAATGAGGTGGAAAACGCGTCCCACGCTGATGAGATGACGATACTGTATGATCACTGTACTAGTTAAATGAGGTGCACAAAGACTTAGTGTTGAAAAACGCTATATTCTGAGACGAAAATATCACATGAGCATCCTACTCCCCTGTCCGGGAAATGCAAGACCAACCTTCGAAACAACTTCGTAGCAAACGACGTGGAAAGCACTGTGGGCATTAGCACAGGGCAAGCACAAGCTCAATATACAAATATACAAATTAAAATACGCAGCCACTGTAGGCAGAAGTAAACCTTTTACTTTTTAAGTAAAAGGTTTACGCCATACACACACAACCGCATCTCAGGAACCGTCGCAACATTGCGCTGCGACATTGCGGTACAGTTCACCAAGCACACCTGCGATAGAAACTGGACAATAGAAACAGCACAGCACTGCAGGCGATAGAACGCCGTTCCTCAACCTGCTGTCATACGACGCAACAAATGCCTATCAACGGCAGTTTCGAAACAGTGTGATGGCTAGACCACATACCTTGATTGTCTATTCGCTGGAGGACCGAATAAAATGAGCACAAACAGGGACACTAAGCTGCAAGTGGAATTTTCCGTAGAAAGAAGCTAAAAATATTTTGCATAAAAACGGCAAGATTCCTGGCATTTCTGTAATGCTGAGGGTCAGATCATGGCAGTACCTGAGTTTTGTGCCACGGCACCATACAGTAGCAATGAATGGCGCTGTGATTCAGAGGGTGGTCCTTGGTTATTGTCTGTTCACATTTCCAAGAACAAACGTTGATGATGGGCTGCATTTGAATCACGCTGGTCTAATTCTTTTGTCGTCTACCAGCCCACCCGCTGCTGAGCCACCCACTGAGCCAATGACCGACATATCCGCTGAGGCACCCACGGACATATCCGCTGGGGCACCCAGTGATACACACCCGCTGAGGCACCCAGTGACTGATACACCCACTGGGACACCCTCCGGCTGCAGACCGGCCTCACCGTTCGAGATCCTCTCCGAGCGAGTCCGATCCGTCATGTTCTCAGTCCGCTCGGACAGCGGGTTCAGTCCGATTCACCAGCCTTTAGGGCTCTTGTACAAAACGCCCGGCCGGTCCCGGCTGCCCTCAGGGCGCCGTTCGGCTGCCGAAAGGGTCGTCCCGACGCGGCCGCACAGCCCGCGCCAGGGCGCTGATCCGGGGGTCGTTGATATGGTGCGGGCGCGGCCGCAGCGCCGCCAGGAAGAACACGTTGCCGGCGGCCAGGTCGACGGAGCACGGCTTCATACTCGCGTAGGCCGCCACCGCCGAGTCCGCACAGCCAGGTGGAGGGACTACACTGCGCTGCGGACGGGACGGCGGAGCGACGGTCAGAGGAGACGGTTAAAGACGGCCAGTGGGAGACGGTCAGTGGGAGACGGTCAGTGGGAGACGGTCAGAGGAAGCGGTCCACGAGACGGTCAGTGGGAGACGGTCAGTGGGAGACGGTCAGTGGGAGACGGTCAGTGGGAGACGGTCAGTGGGAGACGGTCAGTGGGAGACGGTCAGTGGAGACGGTCAGTGGGAGACGGTCAGTGGGAGACGGTCAGTGGGAGACGGGCCACGAGGCTGCGAGATGACGATAAAAGGAGATAGTTCCCTTTAGACAGCAGACGAGCAGTGTGAGTGGGGACACAAGGGGAATGGTACTAGTGAGGGAGCAGAAGAGCGACTCCAAACCCGTCTGACCACAGCACTTTCGTAACCAGCCTGTACATCATCTAACTCAGATCAGTGTGTTGGAAAATAGTGAAAGTTGTAAGCATACAAAGATTTGACACGAAATCAATTGTTGACCGCAAATGTCTGAGTAAACCCTCTTACTTCATCTAATTCACACATCGTGATAACGCACAATTTGTCGGATGGGTCGCCGACAAACGTTACTCGAGTGCTTTCCCCGGTTTCGAAATGAAAACAATTGAGGTTTGATTCTTGCATATAGTGTTAACATTATTCCAAACAAAAACTGAAAGCTTGTAACAAATATATCACTAGTTATGTCAAATCAAATAGACATCTATTTTAACGCCTCAGTCCAAAAACATGGTTCTGAATTTTAAAAAAAGTAACTCGAAAATTGCCAGGTAAGTTAGAAACTCGTACGGCAAAAAGGGAGAAACTGTGTTCCGATAGGCATCATCCTCAGAATCCTCATTAGTCATTACCACTTTGTAGATTGCTGAATAACTGAAAATGAGGATGTAACCTAGACGAGTATCTGTTAGCCGTGTAACTATCCCCACCTCAGTACCCGTTTGCCGAGTTACTGCCGCCTCACCCTGAGTATTTGTCCGCCGACGTTGTGCTGCAGCGGCGTCGGCGCAAAGCGCAGCACAGAGTCGGTCACCCACTCGCGGTAGCGGCGCTGCCAGCCCAGGTAGCGCACCAGGTAGCGCCGATAGCTGAGCGCGTCGTCCACGCACACAATCTGACGGCCACACAGGGAACAGTGACGGCCACCAAACAGGATAACAGCTATGACGGTCCCGACCAGAATAACATAAATGGGATTAACGACCACCAACCAGAACCGACGCTCGTTGTTATTGAATTTCCAAATACTCCAACAGGACAACAACAACATAACGGGATATGTTCGACCAGAACAACAATTTTAGCACACCCCATCATTCAGTAGTGTTCTGTCGCAAGCCGCAAGGCGGCGCTACAGTGCAGACCCTCATAGGTGGATTCATTCCTTTTCCGCCCAGTCACATAGGCTCCCTCACTCGGAGTTGCCTATGCATTTTGAATGAGAGATATGAGCGCCATGTGAAAATGAAAAATACTTGGCACCCACATCAATCTACAAGTAGTCATACACATGCCCACCCCCGCCATGTCTCCTCCATGGGCTCACTGCACGTCTTAGACAAAAACATGAATATCATCCCCCCCCCCCCCGCTTCTCCACGGTGTGCTCCCACCTTCACCAAACATAGGACTTAAAGGGACCCTCTCACCTTCAAAAAAGTTTATGAATTGGCATGAAAGTGATGTCGCTCGGTTCAGAAAGAGCGAAAACGAATATCTACCAAATTTCACCGAAAAATATTCACCGGTTTTCAAGATATTATACTTTTACTTTTGTTTACTTTTTGGGATCTCCGCTGTTCCTAGCGACTTTATTTGGAAGCAATAGTTTGGCAACTGAAAGTGCGGCACTTGTTGCGCGCAAAGCAGCATATACCACCGCGTGCTACAAAACGTTTTAGTCAAACATTTAAAATCGTTAGATATCTGCGCTGACGTCACACATTCAGAGGGGTATTCCTATGCATTAGCCCCTCTGAATCAAAATGCTGCAATTTTGAAATTCAATATTTCCGATTTAAGGCATTTCTCGATGTCGTGAGTGCCGAAACCTGTAATTGTGAGCCAGGGACCCCATTTTGGCTATCTCAACTCAAATCTAATGTTAAGGTGGGAGGGTCCCTTTAACCTCCCCATTTTCCTGGGTGGGCATACCTTAGCCGGACAGATGAACTCTCCTCCCCTCGTGGGCTCATACATTGAGCAAACATATGATACATTGAGCAAACATAATGACCTCCCCTTCCCTGGTGGGTGCATACCGTGGCCGGACAGATGACCCATCTCTCATAGGATCTTACCTTGGCCGGGCAGATGACCCTTATCTCTCAGACCACTACCTTGGCCGGAAAGATACCCCTCTCTCATAGGATCTTACCTTGGCCGGACAGATGACCCTTCTCTGATAGGATCTTACCTTGGCCGGGCAGATGAGCTGGGCGCCATCGACGGTCGTCTCGAATACGACCTGCACCAGCCGCCCCCGGTCCAGCGCCGTCTCTCTGTGGGTGAAACAGGAAGGACATCGTGAGGTTTCATGGGCGGAAAGAGCACACAGACGGTGGCGTCCAGCGCCTAGGCATTACGCACATACCATGCTTGGTTACTTGGTAGACATCGCCGCATGTCTTGCTTGGTAAAGCTGAGATCAGACAGTGAAAAATCATGTGAGGATTTTCAGACATGTGGTGATTTTCAGAGATGATTTCAGCATATTTGCAAGAAAAATGTTATCCGTTGTAAATGAAACGAGGCACTTATAAAGTTAAGCATGTTTACGTCTTAAATAACTTCAATACAAGCAGAGTTGTCATATCAGAAAGTTTTCCATCATAACAAGGAACCATATGTTATCTAAAATCTGTGTTCGATTCATCCTACAAAACTGGCGTCAGGAGACACGGTAAAATCAGTCCTCCGGAACACATTCCGCCCGCCATGCAGTGGTCAGTGCATCGGTCAGTTAACAATCCGCCCACCCTACAGGGGTCAGTGGCTGAGTCGCTCTGTTCACAGACCGCCCACCCTGCAGTGGTCAGAGAACCCGGTCGTTTCACAGTCCGCCCACCCAGTGGTCAGTGCGCCGGTCGGTTCACATCTCGCCCACCCCGTGGTCAGTCGGTTTTCAGCTCATCCACCCTATGCCGAGTACTGGACCGCGTCGGGTCGACAACGCTCCATACTCAGTACTCACGGGACATCATCGTCTTCCACGTCGGCCGACGGTATGAAGGCCAGGCGCCGCACTGGAGGTCTCGACTGCTGGTCCGTGACGCCGCCCCGGCCCCGGCCTCGACCCCGCCCTCGACCTCGACCCCGGCCCCGACCCCGGCGGGCAGACGAGCCGGCCCAACTGGGCGCCACCCGCCGGAGCTTGGCGAGTGGCTCAAAGTCGGAGTCGGAGCAGGGGTCAGTGGCCAGAGCCTGTGGAAACAGTGCAGAGGACTACATAAGGAACCACAATTAAAAACTATATCGTTCACAGCGTACACGCCGGACTTGGACTAAAATCAGCTCGACGGCGGCAGCTCTACCGTGTGCAGCTCATGCCACAACAAAATAGGAACATCAATAGTCACGCACGTACTGAAATTCTCAGCTACGCAGACGGTCGATCGGTTATCTTTACCGCTATGCCACATCCAGCGGAACACATAAATAAAATCATACAATGGCCCAGATGATGACTCTGGCACAACTGGCCTGATACTCCGAGTTCGATATACCCAAATATGTGTCGGCCCGTCCAGCTGGATCCTCGATGATGATGATGATGATGAATTGGGGTTTTTGGGCGCCCGGACTACAGTGGTCATCGGCGCCCTGGATCCTCACCTGTCGTTCTGCCGGCGGTGGGAGCTCTGGCGAAACGGCTCTGACGGCGGCTTTAGCCACCGGTGCAGCGGCAGCGGCTGGGCCGGAGGGAGCGGGGACGGCAGCCGCAGGCTCGGGGGAGGGTGTAGGGTCGGATGCAGGGGCGGGCGAAGCAGGAGCCGAAGGAGCAGGTGAAGCAGCCGGTGAAGGGGCAGGCGACAGAGCGGGAGAGGGAGCGGGTGACGGGGCGGGTGCCGGAGAGGGGACAGGCACGGACGCAGGCAAAGGCGCCGGTGCGGCCGACGGCGGCAGCTCTACCGTGTGTAGCTGGGAGCGGTACACGCGCGAGATATCGGAGCGCGTCACCCAGCGGTCGTGACGGTAGGACGTGTCCCGGAAGTGGACGTAGTACCGAGTCGGCCGTTCCGTCATGTCCACCTTCAGAACCTGAGAGCAGGCCGGAGTGTCACGCGGTCAGGACAAGCATATACCGCCCGCCGCTACAGATGTGCGTCTCGTAGTGTGCGCTATAATAGTCATAATAGCCTAACGTATACGCCGTAAACTGCAAAGAATCAAAGGTAATGCTAGTTAAGTTTCAGAAGAACCCAGAAATGGTCTCACCATGGCGTCCATGGCGTCATAGTCCTCCTGGCCGTCATCGTCGTTCAAGAAGAGGACTTCGACCATGTTGCCGGGGTCGATCTCGCCGTCTCCGGTGCTGACAATGGGACAAACGGACAGGTCAGCGGAGTGACACAAATGAGTCAACAGAGAACGACGCAAAGAACGACAGAAATGAAAACTTCTACATACAGTTGGTTTTAAAGCATCATTAGGAACAACGTCTAACACGTTATGGCGACTGAGCATAAACATGCTAACATTACCCAATGCTTAGTCCCATGTCGCTTCATACAAGAAAATATGAAGGCGGAAAGGCCATTCAGTAACGTAAAAATTACGAAATCAGCACTACCCGGTGGATCTTACCCTTGGGGTTTGGTGTAGAGCGGGCCTTTCTTCTTCTTTTTCTCGCACCACTTGTTTTTCCTCCGTTTACGGCGGCGTCCGCCGGCGTCCTGACGCGCCGCCGACGACCGGCCGTCGTCGCCGGCGACCCCAGCGGCGCCGACCGCCGTCGCCGGTCCGACCTGCGAGCCGGCCTCCGGCAGAGGGTGTATACGGGGCCGGCCCGGCCTCCGCTTGCCCCGCGTCGCTGCGGGTCTCGGAGTCGGCTGAGTCTGCGGCCCGGGCGGCAGACCGAAAGGGCTGTCCGTGTCCTCCCGTAGAGCAGCGGACGGCCCGCTCAGTTCGGCGCCCACAGCCATCGACACGTCAGCGCTCACCGCCAGCGGGTCAGCGTTCGGCACATCAGACAACTGCGTCACGGGAGTATCGGCGCCGCCCAGCCACAGGCCACTCTCTGTTATCTCCTCCTTCACTTCAATCTTCATGGCTGCCGGCCTTGCGTCCGCGGCAAAGGCAGGGTCGTCATCTTCGCGTGGACCGTGGGTGGAGAAGGGATCCATGCTCGGATCGACCTCCATGCCCTCAGAAGGGTGGCTCAGCAGCGGCTCTTCTTTTACTTCGTCATATATGCCGCAATAATTCGTCACTTCGAGAGCCGGCGTAGATTTGTTTGGTGTCGTCGGTTCTATCTTGAATGTGGCAGGCAGTGGCTCCTCTTCATAAAACCCTTCACTCTTCTGAGCACCGATGGAGTCAAGTCTCTCATCGTGGCTGTCAGCTGAGCCAGCGTCAGGCGGTGCGCGCGGGATCCCGGCGGGCTGCTGACACCCCCACTGGGCCGGCGCCGCCTGCCTCATATCCTGGTGGGTCGACTCGGCGGTCACACCGGGGGGCGGCACACCGGCGGCTGACCCGGCTGCCAGCTGGTCCGACTCGGCGGCGGCCAGCAGTCGCAGCACCGACTCGGTGCCGCGCGCCGGCGCCGGCTGCTGCGCGCCGCCCTGGCGCAGCCGGTGCACCGCCGCCTGCACGCCCAGCCGCGTCAGAGTGCCCGGCTGGTACACTGGATCCAGCCAGGGTGACACGGACGGCGCCGCCGGCTCCGCGCGCTGCGAGCTCGGAGCACCGACTGTCGGCCGTGGCGGCATTTCCGGCGGCAGCACCTGCGACGCAACGGATGGCTCTGAGCAGGGAGCTGGCGGTCTGGCAGGGCGCAGCAGCTCCGACAGAACAGGACAGGAAGCGGCAGTGTTGGCCTTAGGCACAGCTGTACCCGGTGGGTTGAAGGGTGTCAGCGAGGACTGCGCGTCAGGGGGCGGTGGGGCGATCGGAGGGGCGGTGGGAGGTTGGCCGAGGCTGGGTTCGTTGGACGGCAGCTGGGCCGAGGTGTCCACGCACACAGAGCTGTCCGTGCTCCGTGGTGGGCTCGGGACGCTCAGGGGTCCCACAGCAGGGGCACATGGCGCTGGCAGCTTACGGTCAGCGCTGGAGGAAGACAGACCGGCTGCTGAGCTGCTTTCCGAGTGAGGCAGCTGTCCCCGCTCAGAGCCATACGGCAGGACGACTGCGGTGGGCTTCTGAGGGCGCCCCAGACTCGCCAACTGCTGTCGAAGAGGGCGTCTGGTCACCTCCAGGTCGGGTCGAGCCACCGGAGAGCCGGCCTGGGCCGCGCTGAGCCGGACAGGGCCGGGCGACGAGCGCTGCTCCTCTGGCGAGACGGACGGCACCGCAGAACGCCGGGATAATCCCGCTGGCCGCGGCTCGATGTCAATCACCTCGATAATGTCCAGCGCCGGCTGGCCCGACGATTCGCCGTGGTCAGTGCGGGCCAGCGCCGGGGTCGGCGCGCTCCCATGCCGAGTTGTGCGCCTGAGTGTCACTGCAGGTGAAACGACCGCCCCAGTCGACTTTCCCGAAATAACGGTACTCGGACTCTCATCCCAAGTACTCACAACTTGAACTTCCTCAATGATACTGACATCAGGTTCCTGAGCATCCTGACTGCCCGATTGCAGACGGCCTACCGTTACACTGCGATCAGTAGTCGTATTCACAGCCCTCACTTGTGGCGAAGCTGGGCCAGCGCTGCTGCCCTGGCTAGGGTGGTTCGTGGTAGGCGGTTCAGTCAATGTCCGTGCTCTAAATCTGATACAGTGAGTCATCTTGAGATGGCTCTCCAAGCTGCTTACATCTTCATAAGTGGAACTGCATAGATTGCAGGTTAGCCCACTGACGTGATGGAGATACACATTCCAATAAATCTTCCATTCTACCCCATGGCAGTTAAGATGCTGTGACAGAGCTAATGGGCGGTTGAAAGTCTTATTACAAATGGAACACTCTGTCAATGAAACTGTGTTCATCACTGACACCACCCGAAATGGTGGCCGATGATGGCAGGTTCTTCAATGTTCCCTCATCAAAATCCTGAAAAGGGTATGATTTAGTAACCGATATCAAAACATTGTATCACACTGAAGGACACACCCATTTATGAAAAGACAAACATTTGAGTAAAAAAAAAATGCAAGGAAACCCAACCCATTAACAGTTCATACTGCAACAGTTAAGTTCCACGTAGAACACAAGTTGACACTAGAGCAGACAGAGTCCCGAAGTTGACACATGCCCCGCTAGAACTCCTGGATTTCCACGCTCTGCTGGGGGGGGGGGAGGGGGCGTGACTTTCATCCCCTTCAAACTCAACTCCTGGCCATGTGGCGACACGCCATGGATGAGGTATTTCTGGATAGGACACTCTGCCAATATCCCGACCACCCAATTTAACTACAGGTAGGGCGTCGGCACCATTTTAGCATGGTGTCCTACGGGCGGAGCGTGTTGTCTTGGATACTTTTGCCCTTTATTGCTTACCTGTGCCAGTTTTTAATGAAAGGTTTTGTGAATCTGGTAGAATAAGAAGTGAAGAGCCTCTCAAAAATAATTTTTCCAGGTTAAACTAAACAAGTTGCTTAACCCTCGCCCATACAGAAGCCGGGGGGGGGGGGGGTCGGGGTGAAACGGACCCCCTCAGCTTTTCGCAAAAAAAGTGGCGTAAAAACGGCCGATCGCGACGAAACATTCAGTACCTACCCTCACGTTAATCAATTTTACACTTACCCTGTAAATTTCATGACCCTGACCCAAATGACCTTTGACCTGTGACACCTACGTCTATGTTTGGCCAGAATCGCGATTCGGCGTATGTCGGCTTGCATCAGCTGCGCGTTTGCAGTCTTTTTGTGGTTTTAAGCGTTCAAGCATGTGATATGATGTTGGTCCCATGCATAAGGGTGGGTGTCAAGGTCACCTGAAAGTCAGGTCAGGGCCCTGTTTCACCGGTGATAGCAGCATGCTACTATCAAATTGCGCGAACTGACGTAATGTGATGAGGTCACACAAATGACGTTTCGTGTAATCCGTGAGCTGCGTTTGGACCAGAGTTGCTGTCTCGTTGAATGCGTTTGATAACATTTGTTTGATCGCTTGGCCGTGAAGATGTTAGCAGCAATATTTGATGACATCACATGATCACACAGATTGACTGCGTCATGGTTTGTTGATGTTTCCATGAAAACCCAATTTGACACGTGTACCGGTGAAACAGGGCCCTGGTCACTGAACTTTGATGACCTTGGCTCACTTTTTCGAGTTTTATGAACATGTTTCTAGGCAAGTTTTTGGAGCTGAATTCGAATTTAGCAGCCATTTGAACATTTACAAAGTAGTTTTGGTGCCTTCGTAACATGCTACGAAACTGTCAGAGGTGGTTAATTTCTACTACGAATACCTGGCAGGCAGGACCCCTACTGGTTGACCTGAGGGGTGTTCACGGGCACCGCACACTGCTGCGTGCGGTGTGTGCGGTACGTCCAGCAGGCGTGGGGGTAGGGGATGGGTAGGCGGCTCTGACGTCACGGCTGCGTGCGGTGGACGGTCCGCTGTGGCCAGTCCTGACCGGCCACAGCGGTCGCTGTGTGCGGTGACGCAAGGCTGACGTAGGGACGCAGTGGGCGGAGCTTGGAGGACAGGGTCCGTGAACAGCCCTCTGACCCAACCTGGCCTAAATGCATGAAGACTGTGTCTTGACTACAACCCAAGGCAGTACATTGATATACCTTGACCTATAGGTCAAGGTATATATAGGTATATATATACCAGGTATATATAAGGTATATATAAGGTATATATGTATAAGGTATATATATATATATATAAGGTATATATATATACCCTGGTATATATATATAAGGTATATATATACCAGGGTATAATAGGACTATAGTCCTATTATACCCTGGTATATACCGACCCGAGCTTCAAGCTGATTCAACAAAACCCCAATCACCACCTCAATCATTCAAATTCAATCATTTATTCACCTCAACTCTCCCCCAATTTCTCCAAAAGCAATTTTGATTTTTGTTTACTTTTTTGCTGTAGTTGCGACGGAAATGGCGCGAGGCGTACCATCTATCGTGCCGTTGCTAAAATACTGTCAAAATTATTACATTCGAAAACCCCGAAAGGTTTCCGAACCCCGACAGCAGGCCCCTTCAAAATCCCATTGGTATACCTTTAGCTTTCATTTCATCTTGACCAATAATTCATTCGCCATTAGTTACACAAACACGGGTTACCTGTCTGTTTAGGGCACACCCGTGTGTATTTATTTAACAAATTATAGCAGCATTTTAAACACATTTGATTGGCGGCTCTGGCGGATTTTTAAAACTTTTTTTTCAACTTCAGCGGATGCAAGGCCCTATGAGTGCTATGAGTTATGACCAAGGCAGTATATACTGTTATGACTATTTAGTGCCCTGGGCCCTATATACCCAGCTCAGGGGGGCGACACGGCTATTCGCGCAATGTATTCATTTATGGGCCGCGCGGGGCCTCGCGATGACGCGGCTGGAGGCAACTGCTCAGCGCGCTAGGATACTTCTGGCGGGGCCGGGCGCTGAACGGTGTGCAATGAATGGGTTATGGTCGGGCAGACAGAGATGAGGCATTGAATTTGAATTGACATCAGCAATCGGGTGGGGAAGGAGAACGTTTCTAATCGAGCTTGGGATGGGGAAAGCCGAAAATATCACGATCGGCTCATAGCTCCGACAGGGCCGGGTGCTGTACCATGTGTAGTATATTTAGGCGGGCAGACAGAGATGAGTTATTGGATTTAAATTCACCTTACCATCGGTTTCTGGTGAGGTTTGAAGACGTCTTTAGTCAAGCTCGGAGTGGGGCAACGGCCACTGGCGGATCCAGGGGAAGGCATTTGGGGCAAATGTCTTCCCCGACAACCAGGGCAGCGCCCGAAATCGATTTTCGAGAATAAATGAAAACTTCACAACTTTTCTGAGGAAATGTTGGTTACTCACACCGCACAGCAGTGTGCAAGGAATCGAAATCCGAGTTTTTTAAATTAATTCCGAGAAACGTTTTTTGGGTAAGCCCCCGCAGTGTCCAATACCGCTTCCTGGATCCGCCAGTTGTGAATAAGTCACGGTCGATACCGAGCTTCGGCGGGACCAGGCGCTGTACACGTTGTTCTTTGAATGAAGAGGTGGACAGACACCTAGCCCCACATCCTACTGTTATGCCCGTGCTTCTGTGGGTGAAGCACTAAAGCATCACGGAATCCCAGAGGACCTGCGAGTCGACGAGGTGGCCGCTTTGGCCGCCGGGTACTGCAGCTCCCTGGAGTTGCCTGGGACCGATGGCAAAACAACAGCTCCGGCGGTGCACCTATGGCCGGGCCGTAGTAATTAGTGAATTCCCGTAATGTAGAGATCATATCCTTAATGATCTCCATTAGCATTTTATATTCCTAAACAATATGACAGACCAATTATGCTTGCCTACGTTCAGGCATTACCTCTGATGGTCATACGCCCAGTACAACATGTGTTGCCTGTCAAACAACAATCGACGACGGGATCCCTTCTCATCATCTCTTAAGCCATCGGTTGTCAATTCACCCACCCCGTTTCCCTAAAAATAGACGGTCAGATTCGGCCTGGGTCCTTACGACCCCTCTAAATTCGCCAGAAACGGGATCGGATCGCCGTTATTGCACCCGTCTTAGTGTCTTAAATACTATGACAGGCGACAGCTTCGACCACGGACGTCGGACGGGGTGATCGTTCCACGAATGTACGCACCATCCAGGCCTAGGATGCATCGAGGTTTAAAAGGATGCAGTCTGTAGATCAATCAACAAACAATGGTGGTATGCAACCACTTTAAAATATCTCCCTGGCTCCCGCAACGTTCCAACGCCCCTCCGTTATGCATTCGCCCTGTGTGTCCGCCGAGCCGGCTTGCCTCCAATGACGTCATCGGCCGGCCGGCGGCGTTCAAGGTCAAACGGCTGGTGTCCTTACCTGGAGTTCTATAGCCTTGACCCAGCTATATACCAGCGGCAGGGCACTAAAGAGTCGGGTACTCCAAAGTTTTTCCTAGTATATACTAGAATTATACTATATCATCTAGAAAAACAACTAGAACTGGGAGCTTTTTACTATATACCGAAAATTATCCTAGGATATGGCTGCGCGAGAGCGCGGCGCAGCTGGCGCTCGTGTTTCAATACATTACGCTTCATATTTATACACAAGGCGGCCTGTGTTTTCACGCGGTCCCATGGTGTTCTCCCTTCATTTAAAGACTTATAAATTGTGCTGGCTAAGTATTTAATAACTATCGTGTGCATTAAAAAATTGGCTCTTCATTATTCATGGAATTGTGTGAACAAAGGCCTTTCTGAGTAACTGTGTGCAAATTTGCAAACTGCTGTACTTGACTGGGTGGTGGGCCAGCCTCATGCTTTCTCATTCTTTCACTTTTGCGTAACAATGTGTTAAAAAAGAAGTTTCAATGAATTTTATCAATTGTGATGCATGGCGACACCTTTCGACTTAGCTGTGAGCTTATTTGGTACAATCGTATTGCAAAGATTGCGTACACCGGCTTTATCTATTTGCAATGGCAGCTCTCGTACGACATTTGTGTATTGTCTTTTCTCTGTTGGTCACTACTCGTTTGTATGTATTTTTAGAGCCCTGACAGGCTGATGAAGGAACACTGAATTCTTCTGAAAGCTGTCATTACTAAGAAATGAAGCTGGTGTTATGACTTATGAACAGTGAACAGTGTCCCAAAATTTTATTTCAGAGTGAAAAATTGTTCTGGAAAATTGGAGATGAAAGTGGAAAATTGATTTCAGTTGGATGTCATTTCCCACCCAAAACTGGCAAATTTTGGGACATTGGTTTTGAACAAACTTAACAATACAATATCGATGTCCCAGGCTCTAGCTGAATAACATCAACATAAATATAACATAATACTTTGTGTAAGCATCTCGTACAACTGTGTTTCTGTGATAATGAAATCAAAACACATGCATCCTGCATCCACGAAAGTGGATAGTAAGTAGAAAGAAGCATTTGTTGCCATATGTTAGTGATAATTGTGCAATATCTTGGTAATTTTAGTTTGTATGAAACGCGTAAGATTTAGGTGATTGAAACTAAACATGGAAGATAATTTTTAGGTCAATTTTTACTTTTTTTTAATGCTGTTCTTGATATTCCACTTCACTCAAAACACACCAGTTCATAAGTTATTTCAGGGCTTTCACAATAGCCATGTCTTTGTGGTCAATCATCCTCAGAGCAGCCTGAGTCAATTCCATTCATAACTTCCTTAGCCATATATCTCTGATCCTTTTTCAGGACAAGACATGCACTACTACATGTATGCTGTGCCTGGCTCAAGATTCCTATATGTAGCCAGGCTGCCCTACCGACACTGGCAAAATGAATGCTTCCTTGAACAAAGCTAACCAAAGGTGCCATCAACTGTCTTAATCTGAACAGGAAGGAAGCCTAGTTTTCAACATAGACAACAGCTTGTGTGAAGCTGTCACTTTCAGGGTGTGCACCACCCAGTGTTCATTTGTTAACATCAATAATGTGTGACCACGAAAGGAAACCCTTCTGAAGGTAACATCTCTCGACCATTCTAAGATCCTGTTAACAATCCACTACCTTAATATTAACAGGTCTTTTAAACAACCATGCATTAACTATTCCTCTGATACTGCTTGTTATGTTTTCAAATAGGTTCATGTTCTTTCATTTTTCAAAGATAAGTATCACTTGAGTTTGTTTTTATTGCAAGTGTGATGCATGTAATTTCATCTTCATGTTTTCTCAGATCGAAGATCCTGCTCGCAGCTATGCCTCATTGCCTACCATGGCCAAAACCTCTTTGAGGTTTACCGTAGTGTTCTCCATCTGATTGTTATGTGTTGAGGATGAGCTGAATGTTACTGATATTGATACCTGATATCTAATTGTGGTCAATGTTTAGTGTAATACCGTGACATCTTCCAATGCCAAAGTTTATTTCCAACGAGCCAAAGCTTATTTGCATTGCAATTACGAGCGGTAGTGTGATGTGTGGAACGTGTAGTAAGTACGATTGGGAACCACTTACTCTGTAACCCAAAGTGGCATGTTTGCATGGTATATGAGAATGTTCAGTGTTCATCGTCTTTAGATAATAAAAGCATTGGCATACCAGGAAGTGGATTGTTCGGTAGTCGCCTAAAATGGTATCAGAGCTGCAATTTTGACACCATCGTGTTCGTCATGCTCAGCCACGTCGAGTGATATGCTTTTTGTATGGATGAGGTCAATTTAGGATGTTGACCTCCGTCCAAGGTCAGGTCAGGTCATTACCTCATGATGAGGTCAAGTTGCACGTTATTCAATTCGGCAGGTCTTTCTGAGTCTATTTGTGTCTTTTCCGTCTAAGATCACTGTCAGCGCCAAAATAGCTGTCTCTATATCCCCCTCCCCCCCCCCATCGGCTTATAATGGGGCCAGACCACCTGACCGACCTGACGTTAGGTGACCCTTAGGAGAAATCCGAAGTTAACGACTTTTGAGAATAAGGGAGATTGATAAGTTCTGTAAGTTTCATCTACCTGTGATAGATCTCCTTGAATTGATGAAGTTGCTATGTTACGACGTTTTTTAGACCGTGCAGAGGTGCACTTATGACGTCATAGGTCAGTGACCTGACCTTACCTGAAAATGAGGTTGGTGCCACAAAATCCGGCTTGAATCAAAGGTCAGGTATGCCAACTTACAACCCTCCATCACCAGCGCGCTCACCCCTACTTTACTTTGCAGCAATGGTTTGCCGCACATTAACGATAAAAGTTTTGATCTGTCCGAGATTCGAACACAGGACCTTCCGATGTATCAAAAACATGGGGTCATATATAGACGAATATCTCAAAAACGGTTGGATGGGCTTGAACTTTTCGTCCCAAAAATGGAAATAAAAATGTTGTAGCTATCTTTTGACATACTTTGTATGTGGATGCCCACACTACGAAACCTTGAAAATCGAGCGCGAAAAGTCGCATTTTAACACGCAACCCTATGGGCTAGTAGGAAAAGTCACGCCCATGCTGCCATATGACTTTGGAGGGGGCTGACCAGCGGATGGCCTAACGGGGCCTTGGGCTTAACGACGTAGAATCTTCGCCGTCCGAGAGTCATCGAACGCGGGGCAAGTGACAGTTGGTATATTGATATAGGGCCTTGGTCAGTCGTCAAAGAGGGTGAGGCCATGTCAGATCCATGAGACTGTAGTTTCAGAGTACATACCTACCTTCCTAGTTCCTACTGGTGAGAGAAATGAAAGAAAGAGGTTCTGGTTCAGGTTGGACATTCCCCACCAGCATAACCACAGGCTCTATTTCACAATAATTTTAGATATTGTGTTGGTAGCAAGCAGGGCACTAAAGAGTCGTTGGTAGCTACCTGCCTTTGACCTCAATGGTATCAATTATCAAATCATTTATTTTTCAAAATCTCAAGTCTCAACACTGTACACTGTGGCATAAGAGTTTCAGGTAGCATTTGGTCAATATCAACTATCAAGTATGGTTTTTGCCTGTGAAGAATAGTTCACCTCAAGCTATGACCCCCTCAGTTATTTACAAGTCTGAGGTCGGTGTCAATGATAACACTATATCTTACTCCCTACACTAAGCAATATCATAAACAGGAGTTGCCAGTTTAAATAAAAACACCCATCTCACAACTTGGCCTATATGTTCCAGCCCAGCTTTCTGACCAACTCAAGTGATGCCCGAGGCAAGTCGAGAGGACGACTCTCCGCACGTGCAGCAGCTGCGCGCGGCGCTGCACTACGCCATCGGCCGCATCTGTGACGACGTGGCCGCCGAGCGGGGCACGCCGTTCCGGCGCACGGTGGTGGCCACGCTGACCGAGGCGGCGCTGTCGCAGGCGGCCGTGATGGCGCGCGACCTGGAGCTGTTCGCGCAACACGCGCGCCGCGCCGCCGTCTGCGCCGACGACGTGAAGCTGCTGGTGCGCCGCTCGCCCACGCTGTCGGCCGAGCTGCAGCGCGAGGCGCGCCGGCTCGCCGCGCACGCCAAGGTGGCCAAAGAGCGGCGGCGGGCGCAGCGCGGCAGGCGAGGGGCGCGCGGCGCCGGCCGAGGCGCCTCCGCTGCGGCGGACCCGAGGACTGCGACTGACGACGGTGAAGTGATGGAACTGGAGTGAAGATATTATAAGCCCGAGATGTGGTTACACGGAGTGTGTGCATATCTTCGGATATCACGGTGTGATAGGGACTGTCGTGCCCGGGCTGAAGTGCGGGCTGCAGGCGAAATGTACACTGCGTTTGCGCTATGGCTGAGCACAATGGCTGTGAAGTGTACCAGTAATCAGAAGTGCCCTATGAACAGTGAGCCGGGTCTGTGATGTGACGGTGCATTCTAACAAGCACCGCATGGTGATTGGTGATGACATGACTGGACTCTATATAGACTGGATCACCGATTAACGAACGAGTGCTTATGGACTACGAGTACACTGTTTTAGACTCAGTTTCGGTGTTTCATGCTGTGCCTGCGACTGTAACGTTAAACTAGACTGACATAGAATGTGACTGAGGTCATATTGTGTAGCGGGCACCGGAATGACCAGTTATTACGAGTTCCTACGCTCCTTTCTTCACAGCAAAGTGTGCACTGAAAATGCAATCGCCGTTCAATAAAATGCTTGATGTGTTTAATGCCCATTGTGTAACAAGCGACATTCGACCGTGCAAAAATTTAGTATTTGCAGGCTGCAGCCGTTCGGTGTTATAAAGAGAGCAGCGATGAATCCTGGCGGTACTGACCCTCGTATCGGGTTTTCCACATCGTGTGACGTATTGAGGGAGGGGTCACCCGCTTGGTCTTCCCACTTTCTGCACCTATGAAAGTGTTCGCCCTGACATAGCTTCCTCAAAGCGCTGCTCAAAAGACGGCGTAATAATATCACAGTGTATATAAATGCTCAGACCTTGCGCGTGCCGTTCATATTGTATGCGAGCCACTGCGAAGGTCGGGACATTCTCTCCTGAAAGGCGACTGGGGCGACTCACGAGTTCCACTGCCCTGACGGCCGACGTCACGAGTCGTCGGAGGGGAACAGAGCTGCCACCTCGCGGGCGGTCTCATCCTCAGCCGAGGGCGCAGGGTGGGCGGCCGGCGGCGGGGCCAGGTCCGGGGCCGCTGGTGACGAGACGGGACCGGGCGCGCGACCTTTGAGGGTCCACACAGGCGGCGGCTCGTCGACGGAGGCGTCTCCTTCGTCCACCGAGAGACTGCCGGGCGAGAGGGGCGTCACACCCACGGGTCAGGGCGGAGGGACACAAGCACATCGTGCGGATATTGGAAGTGGGTACAGGCCGGTACATTAAATCAGGTACGTCGCTCATGAATGACGGGACTGAATACACCATTTTCGATCCATTTTCAGACCATTGAAGTCTAATTTAAAACTGATCATTTCTTCATTATAACAACTGATAGACGGGTACTTAAAACACAAGACATTCAGTTTAACACACCTGACACGCGAAACCACCTTGACGAAAACAACGAACGGATCGCCATCGCCTGACAACGAAGCGCCTGGTTCATTACGCAACCCAAGTTTATCATAAACTGCTGAATGCCAGCTCAGAACATATTGAGAGCTTAAACAGTGGGGAAAAACGAATTATACTCACAATCGCGGTAGCGGCAGAGTGCCCAGCGTCTCGAACGGACTGCCGGCGTCCAGAGACGGCGACGACCGGTCCGAGACGGTGGGGACACTGGCACCGAGCCGCGCCGGGCCGGCGGCGGCGACCGGCGGCGGACGGAGCACCGCAGCGCCGCGCTCCAGCTCCGCGGCCACCCGGGCGTCGGCGAACGACAGCGTGAAGTCTGCCCGCGCCCGGCCCGAGAGCACGTCCTCGGCGAGCACCGCCGCGCGCCGCAGCCGCTCGGCGTCCCCGAGCAGCGCCAGCGTGCAGCGGGCCAGCTGGGCTGCGGCCGGGTCCGGTCCGGCGGCCAGCGGAGGCAGGGTGTCTGCTAGCCGAGCGGCGGCGGCGGCCGGCAGCTCGGCGCGGCACTCCCACACCAGCCGGTTCAGGGCGTGCAGGTGCTGCTGCAGCGGCGAGCTCGACTCGCCCGGCTGCCGGTCGCGGAGGGGGTCGTCGGCGGCCAGCTGGGGCAGCCGGTCGCACACGGCGCCGACCGCAGCGGTCAGCAGCTCCGGCTCCAGCAGGTGGCCCGTCTCGCCGACCACCCAGAGCGCCATCCGCTGGACGGCCGGCGCCGCGCCGCCGCCCACCACCAGCTCGGCGTACAGGCGGGCGGCAGCCGGCCGCAGCGGCCCGCCCGGCGGCTCCGCGGCCAGCCGGCTGCGCAGGCGCGCCGCCGGCGCCTCGTCCTCCTCCAGCACCCGGTTGATGACATGCAGCAGCTGCGGCCGCCGCGTCAGGTACCGTTCGGCGAGCAGCGCGGCGCGGCCGAGCAGCAGGGTGCGCAGCGGGCGGCGCTCAGCGGCGGCGACCGCCTCCAGCAGCCGCTGACAGACGGCCGCAGCGCTCTGCTCGGTGGCGACTGCGTGCAGCAGCTGCAGCGCGCGCAGCCGCACCGTCTCGTCCTCATCGCGCAGACACTGCACCACCGCCAGCTGGAGCGGGCCGGCCGGCCGCGCGCCGCCCGCCTCACACAGCCGGCAGAGCGCCGACAGGCCGGCGTAGCGTACGTTGCCGTTGGCGCTGCGCAGCATGAGCGCCGTGCAGCGCAGCGCTGCCGCGTGCAGGCCGTCGGCCGGCGCCGAGCCGTCGCCGCCGGCCGGGTCTGGCGGCGCCGGCGGCGGCGGCAGCGTGGCCGCCGCCGACACACACTCGCAGAGAATGGCGAACCCCATGACGGTGGCCGGCACGGGAGCCGTCAACTGCGACACCAGGAACTGCGAGAACGTCTCCGAGAGCCCCGAGTCGGCCGGACACAGGTACGAGATCAGCCTGTGGACGGAAACAGACTCAGAGCTCAGAACGGAGACACATTATAAGGGATCAGTAGGGATATGGAAACAATGGCCGGGAACGCCGACAGCGACCACATATCTTACACGAGCGTCGCACATTGATTGGTCGCAACGTAGAAGCTTGGGGACAATGCAGCTTGTAATAAACATGATGAAAAAGCATGCAATTCGAGCTATTTTAAAGCAAAGGACTGGAACTTAGTGTTGTGCACGAAGGAAAGAGCCTTCTCATAAGGCCGGTCACGGGTGGGCATGGTGATGTTTATTATCGCAGTCACAGTCAATGCAATTTTTGTTGCGATACGCATGCAACAAACTTAATGCTCCTAAGATATTTGTCATTGGAAGTCCCGATGGCGTCTCACAGCGAGTCCCCCTGGGTGATGAAAACCGGCAGTCGGTTCTGTGAACGGACATTTTACCGCGGTACCCTGACTGTCGCTATGGCAACGGTCACTGCCGACAGACACACAGGGAGACGAGGGGCCGTGCCACTGAGTCGCAGTGCTAAATGCTTTATGATGTAAGCAACGCCGGCAGTGTTTACTGCCCAGTCACCAGTATCCACCCAGCCATCTGCAGGGACGGGGACGGCTACATAACGGGCCGCCGAGCCGACGGGATTGACAGACAGCCCAGCCGCCGCCATGAGTACACGGTCGCCGCCGCTGCTCCTGCTCCTGCTGCCCGTGCCGCTGCGGCCGGCCGCTGCCGAGACGGCGCCCGGCGACTGCGCCGTTCCACCGCCGCTGCTGCTCGCCTCCCAGGTGGCCGAAGTGGCCCGCACCGCGCTGGCGGCCGGCAGTGGTGGCGGGCAGGGTGCCCCGGGACAGGAGCCGCCCGCCGGCCGGTCGGACACCTCCGAGTTCAACGTGCTCGGCCGGCTGGAGGCTCTGGAGCTGGCCGTGCGCCGGCTGACGGCCGGCACCGCCGGTCCCGGCGCGCCCGCAGACCGGCCACCGTCGGCGCCGGCCACCTGTCTCCAGCTGCAGCGCGCCAACGGCTCGCTGGCGGACGGCGTGTACCAGCTGGCCGGCCTGGCCGAGCCCGTCTACTGCGACTTCAGCCACGACGGCGGCGGCTGGACGCTGCTGCTGACGGCCGCCAGCCGCGCCGGCTGGGACCGGCTCAACGTGCGGCTGCGCAGCGCCGACCGGCCCTCGCTCACCGACAACTACTCGATCCTGGGGCGCGGCGACCGGCTCAAGGCGTTCGGCACGGGCCACAGGTTCGCCTACCGACTGGAGGGACAGGCTCAGGTGGACCGCCGCCAGTGGGGCGGCATCTGGCTGGCGCCGCGAGACTACACCTTCACTCCGGAGACGGACACGCAGCGAGACATCGCGCTCGTCAAAAAATTCGACTTGTGGACGTACGGCGAGCCCAGCTTACAGAAGACGATGCCCTGGATCAACGTGGAGGACTTTTTGAAAGGCCGACCGCTGCTGACCACCACGCTAAAGGAGTCAAATAACTGGTGGGGCACCCTTCTGACGGACCCGGCTACCACCAGCTACCAGCACAGTCCGTGGATCAGCGCAGGCGCTCCCCAGTCCGGAACGGTGCTCTACTGGATGCGGGAGGAGGTACTGCCCTGAGCGGGCTGCCCGACACCAAGTGCCAACGGCTCACAACCCGTAGCGCCACATCCGTATTTCAGGTTGCGGGAAACAAATAATCGAGAAATTACGAAATCAGGCCTGTGACATCCACCGTCCATTAGCTTCGTACAGGGTGCGCTTGTCTGAATTGCACAGATGATGGTTGTTACTTGTTGCATGGTTGTACAGAAAATACACATAGTGCAAGTATTGCATGGCGGTTCAGGATTTATGGCTGTTGCACGGCAGACAGCGATATGAAGTAGTACGGGCCAGCAAAATGGGACACATTTAGCTGTTGTACGGGATAAAGAATGACACAGGGCGCAACTGACCTGATGAGCGAGCACTGAAGCCACGGAGCCGGCACACCCTTGTGGTCGAAGTCGGGCGGCAGTTTCCGGCTCTGAATCTGTCCCAGGATCGTCATCAGACTGGTAGTCAGGTGTGAAAACATGCCCGGGTTCAGCTGAAAGGATAACAAACATCAGTCAGCTGTGAAAACATGGCTGGATTCAGCTGTACGAGCAGATACGGCAACAGGCGTCGGATACAAAACATAAACTGGATTTAGCGGTACCTACCGACAAACCAGCACATAGACCTCCGCTGCTCATTGTTTAGGGACAATGGAACTGGGGTCAGAATTGGTACTGAGCGCACTAGCATGGAGGGCAATTCCGCGTCCAAAAAGCTTTTATCTCTACCCCATGCACTGAGTCAGGGTGCTGTAAGGATATAACGTTACTCTCGAACGCTCCCCGACACCGATTCCCCCGAACAGAGAGCTGCAGTGCATACCGTAGCGAAGGTGAGGCACAGCTGGCAGGCGGACGTCATGACGATCGGGTCGCGGTCCAGCAGGGCGGCCTCGATAGACGGCAGCTGCGCCGGAAGCAGCTCGGGCGCGCGCAGCAGCAGACTGTGCAGCGCGCGCGTCGCCTTGTCCCGCACCACGGCCTGCGCGATCGGTGCAGGATAGAGCGGTGTCAGAGCGAGACGGCACTGGCAGCGGCAATCATTGGCGACCGCATAATATGGTAACGACTTTGAGGATAGGCTTCATTTATCGCGCCATGACCTGGGGTGTCAAAACTTCAACTATAAACAATATGAGACGGTAAATCATGAGGCACAGCTTACACCTTGTACTTGTCACTAGGCATATTTATCGAGCGAAAAGAAAACATCTCAAGAAGACCACAAAACTGCTAGGGTTCTGCGACAGCCGATAGGAATGCACACAGTCAGCACCGGCCACGAAAGGGTCACGTGACAGTCATAGCCGACCAGAGTAAGTGTCACGCGTCAGCCAGATGGCCTGTACCCGGTTAACGATAAGTGCATGTCTGCCTCAAAACCCGCCGCAATCTTACGATTTCAGAAGGAACGGACATAAACACACAATATCATGTCGATTGAAGTTATATGCTGAGGCCTGAGATCATCGTAAACCTGTCGGTATCAGGCGCCTGAGATTGTTGGCCCCATGATAGACGCTGATTACTAAACCACTGACTGCTGACCATCTGACCACTTATCACTAGCTGTGAATGCTAATTACTGGCCACCCGACCCACTAACCTGTCGGTGGTGAAGCTTGTCGAGCACGGCCGGCAACAGAGCGCCGGCGTTATCCGCCGTCACCAAATGACAGACTATGTTCAGAGCCGTGCACACGACCAACACGTCAGCGCTGCGCAGGTCGCCTAGCAACGTGTTGATGAGCAGCACCGCCAGCTCGTCCGTTGGTCGCAGCAGTAGCGAGACAGATAGGTAACCTGTCGACATGGAGCCATTGTCACTGACAAGTACGTACCTATTGCAACATGGAGACGTACCTACATCACTGATAGATACCCTGGCGACGCGGAACCACTCATCACTGGCAGGGCTCTACCCTGGCGACATGAAACCACAGTCACACATCACTAACAGGTACCAGATTGCCAGTCAACCAGATGATGATCATTGGTCAAAGGTGTAACATGCTCTGGTTGCTCGTGTCGCAGCGCTGGCATCGCTACAGGAACGACTACTGTACGTACCGATCCTCTTTTGCAGCAGCGAGCCCTGCTGAGCCAGGGTGATGGCGTGTATGCAGATGAAGCGCACATCATAGCCCAGCAGGTGGCAGTAGATGGCCACGCTGAGTGCCTGGGCACGCACAGAGCCGTCCGACCCCGGCTGGGCCAGCCGCTGCTCCAGGCCTTCCAGCTCGGCGGTGATTGTGTGCTGGTGGGGAACGCAGCAGCGTCACAGAGAGCACAGCAGAGGTCAACATCGACGGAAATGAAAAGCAAAGGACAGAGCAGAAAAACATCCTCCTGTTATAAAAAAAAACTGTTGAAACTGCTGATGCCGCAAGAACAAAGCGATGTCAAATAATCCATGAAAAAAGACCATTGTATAAACTACATTCAAATCCATGCATGAAAATGTAACTTCACCCACCTCTATCTCTTCCTGGCTCTCACAAAGAGATATTCTTTTAATGAAATCCTTAAATGACACAGATCTCTTAATAGGAATCCCAACTAGGGCAGCTGCTCCTGCCTCTCCGACTTTGGGAAGGTTTTCAGCCACTGCCTTTGCAAACTTTGTCAGCTTGGAAGTCCATTGTGAAGCCATTTTGGTCGTATGACCTGCAACACATCAACATATAATGATCATTGATAAACATTGTTGACAATCAATTAGTTGACAATAGTTGACTATCAATGAATAGTTGACCTATGTTGGAGGAAGAAGTAGCAGCCAGAGGGTGCAAGGTCCAGATAAAAAGGGGCTTAGGAAGGTGTGGCAACAAGTTGAAGCCACAGCTCACAGCTCACCACTTCCCTAATGGCTACCTACTCTTGCGCAAGCTGGTATGCAGTCCTGGATCTGGCACACACCTTTTACCTTTCTAGTCTCTTATTGATAAATGATATCAATATCAGCAGCTCACAAATCAGTTCTAGAAGAGAGTTGCAATATTTGCCATCAATGGTGAACCCCTGACAGATTCAAGGGCCCTGTTTCACCATCGTGTGTCCCGACGTTGTGCGCCCTGCAGCGCTCTGGAAGCTATGGCATACCACCATCATCACTCGGATGACCTTGCATGCGATTCGTAAGCTTATGATGAATCGCATCTGGAAAAGAGATCCTTAAGAAACAAGAACAAAGGGGACAGAGGTTTGTGCATGAATACTGCTAGCGTGCTGCTGGCGCTGGTGCCGCGGCACACTAGCATTTTGTAATGACGTCATAGCCTAGCATCAGAGTGAAGTTTGTTGATAATGCCATGGAAACCCAATGCGCCTATGGGCGCAGTGCACTGCAGGGCTCTGCCGTGAAAAACTGCCAAGAAGTCAATGAGCATAACTCTATCAGCATCCCAAAACAACCACAACTAATTGTGCCGTGCCGTGCCGAATCCAGGATCAGGAGAAACGCATTTGCTTCAAGGATTGTAAATGACTGGAATTCCTTTCCAACCTATGTGGTCAACTCGCCCTCACTCAACACATTTAAATCCAACCTAGATTGTCACCGGGCGGCAGGGCTGCGGAGTCGATGGATTTTCGGCGACTCCGACTCCGACTCCGACTCCGGCTTTCAAAAACCAGCTCCGACTCCGACTCCGACTCCGGGCAGAATTGTCGACTCCGACCGACTCCAACTCCCGACTCCAACTCCGCAGACCTAGCAGGGCTGCGGAGTCGACAGATTTTCGGTGACTCCGACTCCGACTCCGGCTCGGGTTTCTAAAATCGACTCCGACTCCGACTCCGACTCCGGTCACAACTGTCGACTCCGACCGACTCCGACTCCGACTCCGACTCCGCAGCCCTGCCGGGCGGACATTGTCTTTGCCATCCCCGAACAGGACTTATAGCCTGGCATCCTTACCATGAGCTTGGTCAGAACGAGAACCACAGGCCTAGTTGGCCTGACAAAATCTCGAGAAGCTGTAAGTAAGTAAGTAAGTAACTACATCCACCATCACCACCACAACCACCTGCTGCCTGAGCCCTGATGTCACCACTCTGCAAGCTGAACCAAGTAGGCAAAAAATCCGACAATACTGAACTCAATTATGCACATAGATGAAGCTTTGAATTTTGAATTTCAAAGCTACAAGCTCTTGCACAAACTAAAACTGAAACATGATGCCATAGGCGGCGGAACGGGGAGGGCACCCGGGCACCGTGCCCCCCTTTGATTTTGGTTTAGCATTTTAACAGCCCTATGGGCGTTGCATGGAAAGAATGGGACCAAAAGTCGGCAGTGCCCCCCGCCCTCAATTGAAGGTGTTCCGCCGCTACCCAGACTGGAAAAAATACACGTTATGCCGAATATGTCCGGCGTAGTGGCGGGATTCCACCGAAAATTTCAGCGCACGCCCGGCATAACTTCGCATGCGCCGAATTCAGAGGGGTGTTCACGGGCACCGCACACTGCTGCGTGCGGTGTGTGCGGTGCGTCCAGCAGGCGTGGGGGTAGGGGATGGGTAGGCGGTTCTGACGTCACAGCTGCGTGCGGTGGACGGTCCGCTGTGGTGGCCAGTCCCGACCGGCCACAGCGATCGCTGTGTGCGGTGACGGAAGGCTGACGTAGGGACGAAGTGGGCGGAGCTTCGAGGCTGTGTGCGGTACACAGGGCCCGTGAACAGCCCTCAGCGCATGGCGGCGGACGAATTTTTCGGCGCAGGGCGGTCGCATATATTTTTTTATGGCGAAAGACGGTCACCGAATTTATGCGGTACGCTGGTCAATCTAGCAGCAGATTCACCCCGCGGGCGGTTGCGGGACGAGACGTCCCCGCCCCGGTCGTCGCGTGCTCGAACTGGCGAGCCGCCCTGAGTCTACTCAGCGGAGGAACGGCCGCCCTGAGGCCTCAAGTTCAACCTTCGGCGTAGAGATAGGTATGGAAAACCTTGACCGGCCACAGCGATCGCTGTGTGCGGTGACGGAAGGCTGACGTAGGGACGAAGTGGGCGGAGCTTGGAGGCTGTGTGCGGTCCTAGAACGCACACAGGGCCCGTGAACAGCCCTCTTGTTGAACGTCGCCAAGCAATAGTCGTTAAGCAATAGCACTGGGTTCCTGCCCACGGCAGTATCGAGGGGAATGAGAGCGCGGACGACCTGGCAAAACAGGCGGTCGCCCTGCCCTCAAACGGCCGATCGCTGACCAGAGCGGTTCATTGTGCGGCCTCGCATCAGTGGCGCGACAACTGCTCAGAATCACTATTCAAGCCACACGCCGCCGCTCCCTATCCCCGGAGAGGACCGAGAGGATGCCATTTCGGTGCACCAGATGAGGGCGGGCCACCGAGGCCGCTCGCTCCAGTACGTTACCGAATCGGCTGTCTCCATTCCGCGCGGGCCCGCGGGCCAGCAGTGCCCAGCAGCGCTCTGCACTGTGAGCAGAGAAGAGGCTGATGTGCCGGAGCACGTGTACTCGGCTGCCCGGCCCTCGCTGGCTCCTGCCAAGGTATTGGGTTAATGTGGAAACAAAAAACTCATTCGGAGGCTCAAACATGGGAGAGCGTACAAGGCCCCGAAACACTGTCTGGTTGATATCAGTTGGGGAAACTACGAGGAGCCAAACAAAAATTGGATTAGCCAATCAGCGGCTGGAGTGGGCGGGGCGATGACCATATATGGTCATAAAATCAGACAACTTCATCTTTTCAATGAATTTTAGCATTCAAATGAAAAAATAAGGCATAAGAATGTTTTTTAACCACACAAGACCTACACTCACCCGGTGCATAATTAACTGGCGGCTCTAAATCGCAGAGTTACAACGCAAGGTCAAACCGTGATTGGCAAATATGGCGGATTGAAACAGACGCGCCAAGAAATGTAAGCAGTACCGTGGTTTAAAAATGTCATTATTTTTATTATTTTGTATATGGTTTTTCTAATTGTAGTTAAGTTATTATTTTAGAATTAAATATTTTTGTTTATTGTAATTGAATTAAATCTTTTAACAATTTTCTTTAATAAAAACCAATCCATTTATTGAATGGCCAGCTGATTGTGACGCCCAGAACCTGCAGAAAAGCCGTTTTCCTATCGCCATTTTCGAGTCAATTCGCCGAATTTAATCAAATCACACTAATTCCTAGTGAAAAATGGAAGCCTTTTCTCTCCAATAAGGGGACGCGATACCGCAAGCACCGGCTTGTTATACCGTTTTTCACCCTTAGTAGCGGGGGCTGCATTTATGCCCATATATGGTCATCAAAAGTCCATTTATTGACCAATCCATTTTTTGACATTCGCCTCGTAGTTTCCCCAACTGATATAGCCTTGATCAGTAGATGTGCACATGTGCTTTATATGAAAAGGGCTTGATTTTCGCACAAATAGGCACCTATTTTTTGGCGCAAATCACGCATAAATTTCGGAGCAGCATCGCTTGCGCCGAAATTCGGCGCAAGCGGGTCTCACGGGCGTCCGGCGTAGTGTATGGATGTTTTCCAGTCTGGGCCGCTACCACTACTGCATGAGCGATGCCCAGTGTCAGCACTCAGCAGCGATGATATGCTGTACGACTTCTGGACCTTCTTACCCAAACCAGGACCCAAACTCTGAAGTAAATTTAACTGGATAATGAATTAGGTAACGAACGTTTGAAAATAATTCACAACGCTCGCTGCATCCAAGGTATATAAAAACACTGGCTACATCCTGCACTCTTCGCGTGAAACTCTATCGAGCTGGAAGGGTCAAGTAAAACTGCGTTCACTCGCAATAATTACGAGAATGGGCACGCGATAGTAAACGTTACACCTAGCCAGTCTTAGCTTACGCATGCAGGAAAAGGTGAAAAGTGAACACTTTATTGTAGTTTTATTTCACTGACACTGCGCAGTTGATCGTAACAATTTCGTCATTTATGAAACGCTACCATTTTACACCAAATTTGAAGGAAATTTGACAGGCCTCTATCCCTCTCCTACCAGAAAGGCAGTAATTAGCAATTAGAATCTACATCTGGGGGGGGGGGGGGGAGCAGGGCCGGACACACAATGTGGTAATTAGAACCTACATCTGGGGGGGGGGGGAGCAGGGCCGGACACACAAGTTCCTTCTTTCAGGGCCGGGATGCTCTCCTCACTGTCATGCCTTTTCAAAGTAATAGTTGTGACACCCCCATGTTGGGACCGTTTTAGTTTCTACTCGTTAGGAAATACGGGATATTCTTCACCACCGCAAGACATCGACCGGGGCCCGGGCAAAAGCGAGCTGCCGCCATGGACAGTGCATATGCACTATCCCATATGTTTGTCTTGTTCGCAGCTCATTTATCTCAGCGACAATTTCTTATGGATGACAGGGTTGCTGCTTGTGGTTTCAAACACATCTAGCATGTATCAGAAATTTATTACTTTGTTAGACTAGAAAATCATCACTACGACTTTCTATTGGGTTCCAAACCCTATAAACTTTCACACAACAAAGTTTCATAAGTGCGATACCATGAGCTCGTCACAAGAACAATATAAGGCCTTCTTTTGCCATTTTTCATGGACGATAACGCTCTCGGTGTCAAAAAGCAAAGCAAAGCATTGAAACAACAATAAGCACATAGAGACAGCAAGCAGAGCACTGGTTCATGCAGCCTACAGTACCATCAACCGAGGTTGTGAATGTGCTCAATATCTCTATGGTACACGGTTAAAAAGTAAACAGATCTTGGTTATAACCACAACTGAGTAAAGCTAGTCGAGTCGGGTGTTACTCGTTCAATCCGATGCCTGAGGCATTAACACACGCATATTTACATGAAGGCATCCGAAACAGGGCACGCTTCACCGTGATACCCCATCAATACCCTAACCATAAAGCTGCATTAGTGACGGTTACTCATCCCTAATTACTCCCGCTGGACAGTCAACGATCAAGTTACAGTATCTGGCCGCGACAGGCAGAATAGTGGCCGCGTTTGTGCACATTGCACGACAGAGAATCTGGCGCTGGAGGCTCACAGCTGACTAGTGCACGCGAGCGGACGATGTGGGGAGGAGCTAGCGAACAGTCCGCGGCGCCGACAGGAAGCTGCACGTGCGTGACCGACAGACGCGGCAGGTTACCGGCTATGCCCATTACATTACCGCAGTGAAACTCACGGAAAGCATTATAATAGTCCGCCAGCCAACGCGAAGCACCTCTGAAGAAAGCGACTGAGTTTCACACACAAATGTTTTTACCTCAGCAGGGCAATGCACAGCCCTGATATACTACACTCCAACGGATTACACCCCAAAATGGGTGTTTGCAGATTACTTTAACCGTTTGATATCCTAAAACTCAACGGATTACACCCCAAAAATGGTTGCTTGCAGATGACTTTCATCGTTTACGTCGAGCCGTGTCATTTATTCAGGTGCGCCGAGTTTTACCAGTCCGATCACGTGTCGACCGCCGGCGGCGCCGGCTCGCCGTCGTACCGCAGCAGCGGCGAGGCGATAAAGTTGAACAGGGCACCGGCGCTGGAGACCAGCTCGTTGACCACGTCGCGCTGTGTGACCTCCAGTATGGGCGCGATCTCCTGGTGGCAGCTGAGGCACTGCAGACCGGTGAGCGTCAGCTGCGGCCGCGCCGTGCCCAGGCCGGCGCTCAGCTGACCGCGGAACTCGAGCCGGTCGCCGACGCGCAGGTTGAGGCCGAACGCCTGGAACTGGTTGTCGGCAGACAGGTAGACCTCCGCGGGACTGACGTTCAGGTAGCCGGTCGGCATGTGCACCACGATGTGGAACTGGTAGCGGTTCCAGGCGCGCAGCGTGCAGCGTGAGGTCATGACGGCGTGCGCGGTCTTGCAGCGGCTGAAGCCGACCTCGTCCATCAGCTCGGCGTTGCAGTCGCCGATGGGCCGGCCGTACACGCAGGCCAGCGTCTGCTGGAGGCCCACCGGCAGGAAGCTGATCAGCGACTGCAGCTTGTTCTCGGCCGACTGGACGCGCACGTCGGCCACGGTGCCCTGCCACTGGACAGTGGCGCCCTCGAGCAGCTGGCAGCCGTGCTGCACCTGCGCCTGGGTGGCCGCGTCCAGAGCCGGCCGGTGGCACACGTTGTAGTACTGCTGCCAGGGCAGCGCGGCCGCGTCCGTCGGCGGCGGCGCCGTCAGGTAGGTGATGTGCACGGCCGGCAGCAGCGAGAGCAGGCCCAGCGCCAGCACCACCACCTGGTACGACGAGACGAGCCGCGTCAGCGAGGCGTGCCGGCTGCGCAGGAAGGCCAGGCCGAACGGCAGCGCCAGCAGCGCCACCGTGACCACCGCCTGCAGCAGGAAGCCGGCCTGGTACAGGTGGCGGCCCAGCGCCAGCGCCGGGAACAGCAGCAGAAAGCCGCCTATGATGGGCAGCGCGAACACCGTGCCGAAGAAGGTGCCGACCGCGCGCAGCACGCCGCCCGTGCTGGCGTCCCCCGCGAACAGCATGGCCATCTGGAACCAGACCACCGAGGCCAGGTGCGGGATCAGCACCTTGTAGGTGCCGCGCCACCGCTCCTGGGCCGCCATCGTGGCGTAGCAGCCGAGCGTGGCCAGCTGCAGGATGGCCAGCAGCGAGAAGTCGAGGAAGAGGCCGGGCGCCAGCTGGAGACTGGCGGCGGTGGCCGGTCGCAGCGTCGGGAACAGGTGCAGGCCGGCCATCACCAGGTGCAGCGTCATCGACAGCCAGGCCAGCCGCTGGTGGCGCTCGCTCAGCGAGATGAAGGTGATGGCTGTCATCAGCGCGGCCAGCGCCGTGATCTCCGAGTTGAGCACCATGCTGGCTGCCGTGTAGTGTAGCGCCGTCACCGCCGCCGCCATCGCCGCAAAGAAGCGCAGGTACGGATACAGGTTCTTCCAGCAGAACTTGGCCTCGGCTAGCTGTGTGTTCAAGTCGTCCTTGATGATCTTCATCACCTGAGACCAGATGCGGAAGTTACCGAGGTCCTCGTGTAGCTGTAGCATCTGCAGGGTGGAGACGACCATGACGAACAGCGCCGCGTACAGCACCATCACCGGAAGGATGAAGCGCAGCATTCGCATATCGACAAACGACACCAGGAACACGACCAGGATCGTCTTCAGCTGCGTGGTGGGGATCAGCGACAGCAGGAAGGCGTTGCCGCGCTCCGACATCGTCTCAATCATCTTGTGGTAGCCGTAGCTGACCGAACGTACTGGGTGGAACATGACTTTCTCCAGCAGCGACATCTCCCGGAAGGCCGTCTCGTCATCGCTCACCTTGAGGAACTTGTTGATGGTGGGCAGGTCACCATTGACAAAGTTGGCCGCCGCCGCCACCAAAGAGTCTTCGGAGAGCTTTTCACCGCCGACGCGGCTCAGAAACGACACAGAGCGCGGAGCATCGGCCGTATCGGCTGCCGGAGCCGCGGCGGCAGCCGCACCATCGCCACCACCGTCGCCGTCGTCGTCCCCAGCCTCTCCAGCGGCTGCGGCTGGCTCGGCCTCCAGATCGCGCCGCTCCTGGCTGGTGAGCCGCTGCAGGCGACTGCGCAGCTGCGCCGTGGTGATGAAGTCCTGTCCGTCAGCCATGGTGCTGAACAGCTCGCGAGCCGCGCGACGCGACAGCTTCTCCTCCTGCGTCATGTCCAGACAGTTTTTCACGTCAATGTAGTTCTGGTCGTTAATGCCCCGGCTTTGTTCAAAACATTCGCGCAGAAGGTCGGTTGCCTCCACGTTGCCCTGCTCAGAGGCCTTGGTGAGATAGTAGACGGCCTGCACGTAGTTTTGTTTTGCTTCGGAAGGGGCGGCGGGCGCGTCCAGCAGCTGTTTGGCCATCACAACCTGCGACTCCACGCAGCCGTCCTCTGCCAAGTTGCTGCGCAGTCGGCGCAGCGAGGACTGAGGACCCTCGTGAATGGTCCACTGTTTGCGCGTGCTGCGCCGGCCTGAGTCGCCACCGTCGGGCACCGTTCCAGCCATCACGCCGGCCAATTGATCACTGACCAGCTACCCGTCTCCGAGGAGGACGATTTTCCACAATTGGCAGTCCCTCGCCTGCAACATACAGTATAAATTAAAACCATCATTACAAAAGCAGCAACATGATCACAATTCATGAAATTTTGTTGCATCATAATCTTTTACCAGCATTCACATTACTATACTTGGTAAGGTCAACTCTGTAACCTACCAATGGTAAAAAGGGAGACAACTAATCAACTGAAAACACACAAAATCGTAAAATTGGTATCCATTGGACTAAATGAATGTCGAATTATGTATCATGAGCCAACATAGTTTCATTCGAGCTATGTCAGCTATGTGAGTAAATGTAGAGGCACCAGCCCGACTTGTTTAAAAAAGATAGATGATTTGTGTTTGCACTGCCCACTGTTCACATCTATCTTTATCTACATATCTATATCTACACATCTATATCTACATAAAAATCAACTGACATGGTCAGATCTGGTCAGGTCAGGTCACAACCTTGACATGGAGAAGAGAACTTCAAACAACTCACAAGTTTTATCTTTTCAGACAACATAGGTTTATCATTTCCCTAATCCAAGTATTAATGAGAGAAGCACAAAATAAATACTTCATAAAATTGATGAGGCCTACAGGCATTTGACCAGCCATTCCAGATTTTTTTTTTTTTGAGCTTATGATTAATTTCTATAGCTTCTACCCTTTGAAGGACAACTGAGGCCAGAATGTGGCACCAACCACCAGCAGCCTTAACTCCCAACTGCAAAGTATTAGCATGGCAAGCATAACAAGATCTTTGATCTCATTGGTGCAGACTGCTGAGCTGAAGCACTCAGGCAAAGCATGCCACATAGCACCGAATGGATTTTCAGTGTCATGGAGAGGATTTCATGTGAAGTAGTGCAGGCCCAACTTGGTACCACAATAAACTAAACTGCTATGCAAGTGACACATTCAAGAAAGTGATGTATGGGAGTGTCAGCCAACAGCCAGGGCATATTTTGTCAGTTTTGTTTGGTGCACAGCAGGCCCGGCCGGTGTGGATTTCCAGGCTGTTTAGCATGGGCTGGTCACTGGTGTCAGGTGTGACTTGTTGACACTAGTCATAATGGCATTCCAGATTTGCAATCTAGCTTCAACTCAAGTGAATTTGAACTGAACTTGAACTTTGAAGTGAGGGCTGTTTGGCTGCACAGTCAAAATGAAATATGTTGCAGCATGCAATACACATGTACAGTGAGGGCTATGTTGCCTGTTAGTTCTGCCCATTTATATAGCCTTGGTTTCGCCTGCACCACTATGTACCAATCGCATGTGTGACATCACCTACTGGTACTGAAGCAATGCACAGCACAAAATTTGGTGCTTGAGAAGAAGAAGGTGGCGCAACTTAAAGTCAACTATCCTATTCTTTATTGTAAGCAGGTAGCTGGTACCTATGCTATTTTCTAGTACCCATGTATGATTATCACGCTTTCAGTGGCACATTGCTATGCACCACATTTGACCATATTTTAACCTTTATTTGAGCAACAATCACAAGTCCAACCATGCCATGTTTTCCCCACAAATGGAAAAGGCTGCAGCGGCCTTTCGCAATCGCCCCTGCGTTCTGGCTAAGAATGGGCAGAGCCAGGCTGCTGACGTCACCGGTCACCTTATAAATGTGACGCATCACACACCTAACAGATCTGTGCTGCACAGCCCGAACACTGAACACAGTGAACAGCCCTCCAAACTTGACAATTTTCGATTGCCAGCAATGTACAAAATGTTAAATACTTTTGCCAGTTCCAGTTATTCAGGTATTCGCCATACAGCCACCCTCACCCTGTTATCCATGTGTCAATATTGACAGTCTTGCAAAAAAATAAAACGAAATTTGTCATGCATCTACACCCTGTAGGCTGTATAAAGGGCCTTTCCAAAAAATACACGAATCAAAACATAAAAATACCTAGTGTAAATACCTGTAATTCAAAGTTGTATCAAGTCATCAAGGGCTGTTCACGGGCCCTGTGTGCGGTCGGACCGCACACAGCCTCCAAGCTCCGCCCACTGCGTCCCTACGTCAGCCTTCCGTCACCGCACACAGCGACCGCTGTGGCCGGTCGGGACTGGCCACAGCGGACCGTCCACCGCACGCAGCCGTGACGTCAGAACCGCCTACCCATCCCCTACCCCCACGCCTGCTGGACGCTCCGCACACACCGCACGCAGCAGTGTGCGGTGCCCGTGAACACCCTTGATTACGGAGCGAGCGAAGCGAGCGTAGTCTTTCCTTAGATTAACGGAAATTTCTGAGTATGAGCGGCCGGCCGGCCGGCCGGCCGTGGTCACGCTTTTGCGACGCTTATATCTCAGCAACCACTTGACCGATTTACACGCGGTAATTTTTGTAGGGTAGCTTCATTCCTTCTACCAAGTATTGGACTATTCCCGATGCATGTGGGTGACCCCTTATGCACGTGCCACGTGGAAAACGAAGAGGTGTCACTTTTGTAATTGTTGCAATATCTCGGTAACTACTAGGCCGATTGCGCTGAAAGTTGGCATGTAGGTAGGCACCCACTAGGCAATGCATATCTATGTGCCAGAGTTGGGGTGCTGCTGCACGTGCGCACGTGCAGGGGTCGATTCCAGATCTCGAGAACGGCTGGACCGATTGCGCTCAAATTTGGTACATGGTTAGGGACCGGTTAGTAGGGTGCCGTGCACAAGTCAGTTGGGACCCATTTTGCACGTGCGCACGTGCAGGGTGCCGCTTCCAGATCTCGAGAGCGGCTGGGCCGATTGTGCTCAAATTTGGCACATCGCCAGAGACCGGTTAGTAGGGTGCCGTGCACAAGTCAGCTGGAGGTACCCCTCGCGATTTCGCACGTGCGAGGCCCACCCTCTCGCTCGCTCCGTTAGTCGCCCCAAAAGGCGTTATACTGGTCAAGTAATCAAGTAATCAAGATCAAGAATAATAATGAAAAATACAGCACTCAGCAAATCAAGGAAACGTCTAATTCTGGTTGACAGAAAACTGATTATTTACTTATTATCTCACAATAAATGACGTCATCAAGTGGTTTTTATAGCATTTTTGCCTGCCCCCGGTTTGATTAAACATTTTGATCTTATGATTTTCAGGTTATTACATTGCTAAATTTTATTCAATGACATTTACGTACTATTTTGTCATTTAAAAATTATTTTGTAATGAATTTGCAATAACTTTCATGAATGTACTGAACGCAGTCAGAAAGTTGGCGCATTTGCTGCAAAATTGACGCCGAATGAGCTAGAGGCGGCAAACGTTTTGAAACGTAAAACGCGTGGCAAAACGTACAACCTTTGACATTACGCAAAACCGTAAATGCGTAAAACATTGCGTAGAACCCAACGTATTGAGGCGCGGACAAGTCGCTGGCAAGATTCCTATTTCCTACTGTTACATTTTTATAGGATTCTTTGTATAGGTCGTAGTAGGTACTAGGTAGGTACCTTCGATTTTCCACCGTTCCGTGATTCCATCCTCAGGATTGGGATACAGAAATCCTTCTCCGCACCGCAACCCCCTCCGGGCTGGACAGTGAACAGGCAACTTTAATCTCATGCGGGCTGCTCCCTTGGAGCGGCACCGCTGCGCCGCTGCTCCCGAGCCGGGGGAGTGCACTCTGTAGCTGGGTGCGCCGGGCGCAGGGAGTGCCGGATGGCCTGACGGGCTCAGCCCAGGTGACTTACTAGGGTGCCTGCCCAATGTCTCCCCCTATATCCTATCATCCTCCAAGCTCTGAACTGGTCTAATTGGACCGAAAGGGCCTAACCCAACAAAACAAAATTCGATTTTCGACCAACTAAGGCATCATAGGCATAGTGTGAAGTGGTTTTGGTGGTAATCCTTGGGTACCCACTACCCAGCCAACTTCCAACTTGAACTTTCTTGTTCACCTCGACCTCACCCAAGACCTCACCCTACTGGCTACTTATCTAAGCCAGTCTCTAATGGCGATTTGAACTCTACTTTGAGCGTGCCGTTGTTGATCCAGTAGTTCTTTAGCTTTGGTGCAGTACCCTGCACTTCAAGGCTCAACATGCACGTGCGTATTAGATCACGGAGGTTATGTAGTGTTGATCACTGATAACTTGTACTTGGCACCCAAAGGACAGATTTGTGCCAGTGTAGGTACTCACTTGCACTTACCTACTAAATTTTAGTGCTTTTAGCCTGGCTGTTCTCAACATCTTTCTCAGGATCTGAAAGCCAGGGTCATAGAACTCCATGAAAGCATCTCCAGCATGCTGATGGAGTCTTGGGCATGTGCAGAGGCACCCCTTTCCTCTTTCTTACCACTCCTCTTTTCTTCCATCTACTCTCACTTTTTCTTTTCTCTCTGTCCCTCTTTCCTGCCCTTGCTCTTTCACACTCCATTCATAGACTTCACTTACTCAGTCATTCATTCATTCATCCAAACTTATGCATACCCATTTACTTATGCATACCCATTCACTCACACCCACTCACTCACATGCGCACCCACTTCTCACACTGGCATGCACACACACACACACACACCCATTCACACCCACTCACTTGCAATCACTCACTCACACCCATTTACTTACTGAGTCAGAGGGAACGATTCTCTCAAACTCAAACGATTCGGCCTCACCGTCGTAGCCACTGGTGACTCAGCGGACACCACGGCGCCTCGTGCGCCGCCGAGCAACACAGAGCAGGCTGCTCAAGAGTCAGTGTGGGGTCCACCCAGTCCCGTTCCAGCCGCGAACGGTGATGGAGACGGCTGGGCCGTCGTCCAGCGCCGACAGGGTGGTCGGCGCCCCCCGGCGCAGGGTAAGGCGCCACCCACCCCGCCCCGCCCCCGACCGTCTACGGCGGTGCAGGAGGCTCTGCGGCGGGGGGAGGAGGAGAGGAGGGCACGTGAGGCGAGGAGGGCTCGCCTCGTCCAGAAGGCCCTCGAGGCTAAGGAAGCCTCGTCTGCCGACTCCGCCTCCGGGAGTGCCAACGCGGCCGCCGCCGCTGACACCCCGGAGACACCTGAGGCGGGGACTCGGCCCATCATGGGTCCCCCGCCGCCTCCTCCACCTCCGCAGCGGCGGCCACCACCGCCGCTGCCAGAGACGCCTGTGTCGAGGACACAGGCCGCCGCCTCGACATCCCCGTCGGGGCGGCAACAGTCCTCCGCGGCTCCAGGGCGCCTCGCCAAGCGGCAGACGCCCCCGAGCTGGTCGCCCTCGGAGGGTGACGCCCCTCGGGCGAAAAAGCCCCAGCAGGGCTCGAGCCACGCCCGATCTGCCTCCGCTGAAGGGAGGCTTCACCGAGAGGGCTCGGGGCACCCCCGCATCCGTTACGGGGGGAGCGCCTCCTCGGAATTAGAGGACCTAGTCTAGTCTTTCAGTCTAGTCATTTCCTCTTTTATCCTTTTATCTTTTTCGCGCTATTGCGCTTTTTTACCAGGTGCATTTCTCTCGGTGTTTTTTACCTTTTTTGTGGTCAGTCAGGTATCTGCGTGCGCCTTTGCCTCATGTTATTCGCGCCCTTTTTGCGCCTTTTTAACCACGCCTTTTATTCTACAGTGGAACTGTAGAGGCCTCCGGGCCAACTACCAGGACCTACAGTCTCTTATCCGTTGGCGCACACCCCTTGTTTTAGGTCTCCAGGAGACCAAGCTAGCGCCAAACGTTACCTTTGCCATCAAGGGTTACTCAGTTTTTAGAAGAGACTTAGACACCCCGACCATTGCCCATGGAGGTGTACTTTTGGCAGTGCACCACAGTGTGCCCACACATCAGGTTCCGCTGCAGACTCCTCTGCAGGCGGTAGCCGCTAGAGTTGATTTCAACCACCGGGAGCTGACAGTTTGTTCTTTATACCTTCCACCAGGTATAGCGCTCCCGGTGGTTGAGCTGCGTCGACTTGTCGATGAGCTTCCACCTCCGGTCCTGGTAGTCGGCGATTTTAATGCCCATAGCCTGGCGTGGGGATGCGACACGACTGGCACTCGTGGTCGACTTTTAGAATCTTTTATCCGCGATGAGGCGCTGTGTATTTTAAATACAGGACAGCGCACCCATTTTACAACACCCTCCGGTCAAACATCGGCTCTGGACCTGAGCTTAGTCAGTCCGCGGCTAGCTCAGCTTTTTACCTGGTCCGTCCATGACGACCCACTCGGGAGCGACCACTTCCCAGTGTGGCTGGAGCACCAGGAGTCCCCAGTGTCAGGCAACCGTCCACCTAGGTGGAATGTTCGGAAAGCCGACTGGGGCGAATTCCAGGCCGCTGTAGAGGCTTCTGTTTTATCCAGAGCCGACCCCTCTGTGATGTCTACAGAGGATTTTACATGTTTACTCATTGACTCCGCAAACGGGTGCATACCCAAGACGTCGAGTCAGCCTCGTCGTCCTCCGGTCCCGTGGTGGACCAAGGAATGCGGAGATGCGATTCGTGCCAGGAAGCGCGCTTTTAGAAAGTTTGACCGGAGTAGTACTACTGAGAACCTCATCGCTTTTAAGAGAGCGCGGGCTTTTGCCCGACGCGTTTTAAAGGAGGCAAAGGCTGTTTCATGGCGCACTTACGTAAGTTCCTTAAACCGTTTTACTCCTACGACCCAAATATGGGCACGCATGAAGCGCATTGAAGGCCGGTTCAGCTCTGTTCCGCTTCCGGTTTTAAGAGTGAACAACACGGACATATCTCACCCTTCAGACGTCGCAGAGACGATAGGCCGTGCACTCTATCAGCGCTGCCGAGGAGAGCCGTCCTCACGACCTGCACCAGCCGCCGTGGACTTCAGCACAGCTGAAAATTTGGTGTACAACGAGCCTTTCTCTATGGCTGAGCTCACGTCTGCCATCAGCTCGTTGCGCAGCGTCTCAGAAGGTCCGGATGCTGTCCACAACGACATGCTCCGTCATCTCCCCACAGTTGCCCTCGAGGCGCTGCTAGCAACCTTCAATTCGCTTTGGGAGACTGGCACCTTCCCTGAGACCTGGCGGGAAGCCATTATCATTCCTATCTTGAAGGCTGGCAAGTCGGGACATGACCCTCTCCATTATCGGCCCATCTCTCTCACATCATCGCTTTCAAAGCTGATGGAGAAGATGGTCAATGTGCGTTTTAGCTGGTTTCTGGAACATCACGGTGTTTTTACAAACGCCCAGTGCGGTTTTAGAAAGCACCGCAGCCCTGTTGACCACATTTTAGCCCTTGATTCCGAGATACGCACCTGTTTTACTGAAAAGAAGCACCTTGGAGCACTGTTCTTTGATATTGAGGCGGCCTATGATACAGTCTTACGACACAGCATACTTTCCAAAGTATATAAGTACGGCATACGCGGCCGGATGGGCCTCTTTATCAAGAATTTTTTATCGGGTCGTCGGTTTAAAGTCCGAGTTGGCAGTGATTTCTCGAGCAGTTTTACCCAGGAGAACGGAGTTCCCCAGGGTGGGGTGCTCAGTGTGGCGTTGTTCGCGGTGGCAATCAATGACATCGTCGACGACCTCCCGGTTTCCATCGGGAGATCGCTTTTTGTCGACGATTTTGCCATCTGGTTTGCTGCTTCAAGCGCTCGACACGCGGCTAGACAGCTGCAGCTCGCCGTAACACGTTTGGAGAGGTGGAGCGGTAAGAATGGTCTTCGTTTTTCCACAGCGAAGACCGTGGCAATGCACTTTTGCCGCCGACGTTGTGACGACCTAGCTTTGGGAATCAAGCTCTACGGACAGGTGATTCCCACTCGGCCGGTGGCGAAGTTTCTTGGGATTTATTTTGACAGTCGCTTGACGTATAAGGAACATTTTAGAACGCTTCGGGAACGGTGTTTTAAATCCCTGAACGTTTTAAAATGTGTTGCTCGCACATCTTATGGTGCGGACCGCAGGACCCTTCTTCTCCTGTACCGATCGATAGTTCGGTCGAAGCTGGATTACGCTTCTTTTGTCTACGATTCAGCGAGCCAATCCAGCAAAAAGGTCCTCGACGCAGTCCATCATGCTGCAATCCGTGTCGCCACCGGAGCATTCCGCACCTCGCCCAGCAGCAGCCTTCTTGCTGAGGCGCACGAGCCGCCTCTATCCCTACGCCGCCAGATGCTTGGGATGCGCTATGCGCTGAAACTGCGTCAGTTCCCGACGCATCCGACGTATCCGTACGTCTTCTCCACCTACTACACTCGACTTGACAGAGCGCGACAATCGCTCTGCTTTGGAGCGCGCATGAGAGGTCTCTTCTCCGCAGCCAACATAGGTTTACGTGTCGTACGACGTAGCTGGGGTACGTCCTCTCCGCCTTGGAAACACGCAAAACCTCAAGTAGATCTCTCACTCTCCGAAGTTAAGAAGGATGACTTGCTGCCTTGTGAGGCGCGAGTCAGGGCCTTGCAACACATCGTCTCGTACGATGGTTTTAACACCGTTTTTACAGACGGATCAAAAACACCTGAGGGAGTGGGATGTGCTTTTATCGCAGGTCGCGATACCCGCTCATTCTCTCTACCTTCTTTTGCCTCGGTGTTTTCATCTGAGCTAGTCGCCATCGAGAAGGCTCTGTGTTTTATCGAGGTGTCGGACGGCCTTTCTTACTTGATTTTATCGGACTCCCTAAGTAGCCTTTTGGCGTTACGGAGTTTTAATCCAGTTGACCCGATCGTTCAAGACATTTTAGCTCGACTTCAGTCAGTGGAACAATCGGGAAAATTTGTTCAGTTCTGCTGGATTCCCAGCCACGTCGGCATACACGGCAACGAGCTGGCAGATGCGGCCGCGAGGCGCGCGGCCGCAGCCTCCTGCACTCGACGTCTGCCATTGCCGGCGCGTGACCTTTATTCGGCTGTGCGATCTTTCATTCTCTCTGAGTGGCAGGCAGAGTGGAGCCTACGTGGAGGCGGAAAGCTCCGTGAGGTGAAGCCGACTTTGGAGCCATGGAGGTCTTGCTTGCAAGACAACCGGTCCAACGAGGTGATCTTGTGCAGGCTCCGAATCGGCCATACATATGCCACGCATGGCCACCTCCTCCGCGGAGACGAGCAGGCCATTTGCAACGGTTGTTCCGCGCCTCTTACCGTCGCTCACGTGCTCTTATCTTGTCCACTTTTAGAACCAGACCGGACGCGCTACCTCGGCCGCATCGCTCCGGGTACCACTGTCCGCCACCTGCTGGGTGACGAGTCACCCTGGGTTTTATCTGGCAACATCTTTTCCTTTATCCGTACAGTCAAATTCCAAGCGATTTACTCGACCTGACCCAAATCCTCTCTAGTCTCCTTGTCTAGTCAGTTGTCTATTGCGACGCTTTTGCGTTGTTTTATTTTACCCTGTCTTTTTATAAAGTCTTCTACTTTCTAGTCTTGATATCTAGAAAGTTTCTTCTTTTGAAACACTTGTTTTACTAGCGCGACGTTATGGGCGCAAAATGACCTTTGCAGTCGACGCGCCCTAAAGCCCCAATAAACAACAACAACAACAACCCTCTGACTCATACCCTCTAATTGACTCCCACTCACTGACTCCCACTCACTCACCTCACATTCACTCTCTTTGAGTCTGAAGTCCAAAATATCCTCTTCAAAAAGAAAAACCATTGTGACAGAAGTCAGTACTGCAGTCAGCGAAGCCCTGAATGTCCATTCTTCGGTCAGTTTCATCAAGCTCCACTCCATATCAAACTTGCTGTGGTGTCTGACACCATTTCTTTCAGCTAGTACATCAACCAGATTCTTACCTGTCATGCCATAGGTATCCGTTTCATGGTAACCACCTGGGCTGCAAACTTGAAACTTGAAAGCATTGACACAATAATTGTTACTGATATGTTGAGAGTAAGCTTGTCATTTAGTAAGGGTACCTTCTTGATCTAACCTAATCTAATGGCGTGATTGTTGCCTATAGCTTTCCTGGATATATATTACTCATGCCTTACAAATGATTAAGAAGTAAGATAATGTGTTTGCACACCATATAGTTATTGCCACTGTCAGCCACAATCCAGCAATGAAAATGCAGACAAGCTTTGTTGAGCTCTTTATTATGATCTTCATCATAGCTCATATGTTAATTTATTTCATGGTGTAATGTAATGTTGCAGTTTCATTGGTAGGTAACTGAATTTACTCACTTTATTTCAGGTGCTGGCTGTAATTGATACATCTAAAAGTTGTGTCCCAATAAGTTGCTGCCATGGCATTGAATCAATTTATGCACCCTCGCAATATTTACCGGACACCACCAGATTTCAAAGAGCTGGTGAATGATTATCCGGAGGTTCGCCCCTTTATGACGACGGTGAGTTGCGCACCAATCGGCCGGCGTCAGCGTCCTGTGTCAGATAATTCTGTTTATGTCAGGTAAGGCTGGGGCCAGTAAGTGGTCAGGTCAGCAGCCGTCAAACATTGGCGGCCAGTCATCGTCCGTTTGCGATCGCCGCATAATGATGTCGACGTGTATCACGTAGTTCTTTTGTAGATAATGTATTCGGATTATGCATGTAACTGATATTGCATCCCTTTATCTTTTTCTGACCTATATTTTAATGCCTCTCAATTTACTTTTATCGTTTTCATTTTTTTTTTGTCCATGTGCGATATTCGGCAGGACATCGCCGGGAAGACGAAGTACGACTTCCAAAACCCTGACGCGCTGCGCGTGCTGACCGAGACGCTGCTGAAGAAGGACTTCCAGCTGGACGTGCAGATTCCGGCCGGCAAACTGGTGCCGACGCTGCCGAACCGGCTCAACTACCTTCTGTGGCTGGAGGATGTGGTGGGCGCGCTCCAACTGCCCGACGACCAGACGGTCACCGGGCTGGACGTCGGTGGGTGCCGGGCGATGTGCTGACCCCGGGGACAGCTCCCCACAGACCCGCCCGCCGCCGGCCGCGGCCCCGTGTCCTGTGCGGGGGCGCGGCCGGCGCGGCTCCGGCCGACGGGCGGACAGTAACCGAGTGTCGCGCACCGCGCACTGAGCCGTCCACAGGTGTGGCCTCCCGGCAGACCGGGGAGGCCATGTATGACGGCGGCGACATTAAGCTAGCTGTTCAACATACACAATGTACGTGTATATAAGATGAGCTCATGATTCACCGCAAAAATGTGTAGCTCTTAGCTAAAAACACCAATGGAATTACAGTACCTTAGCGCTGCGCTCCTGCTGACCGCTGCCCGTGTGCCGTGTCGGCAGGTACCGGCGCGTGCGCCGTGTACGCACTGCTCGGCAGCCGGCGCGGCTGGCACATGATCGGTACTGAACGCGACCCCGACTCACTGGAGGCCGCCCGGCGCAATGTCCAGAAGAACGGCCTCGATAACCAGGTCAAAGGTTAGTCGGGGGTATCCAACTCTAGAAAAGGAGAGGGTGTAGATCAGCCCAAACCAGCAGTGCCGCTCGTCTCGGGGGATGTGTTGCCAATGAATGTGCAATGTGCATACAATTTGTATACTCTGTAAGGACAATCATAATGTGAGTTACCTGATGCGTCGATGTCATGTTCAGGTTTTTAAAAACGTTTTCTCCTCATTTCGCAGCAAAGTTCCGAGAGTCGTTTTTTGCTTGGAGCGGGTGACTTGCCGGTCTGACCGCTGACTTCTTCACCCTGCAGTGTTAGAGGCTGACGATCTGACCCCTGCGACCGGCAGTGTTGGAGGCTGACTATCTGATCTCTATAACCGGCGGTGTTAGAGGCTGACGATCTGACCCCTGTGACCGGCAGTGTTGGAGGCCGACGGCACGCTGCTGACGGGACCGCTGCGCGCCGCCGGCCCGGTCCACTTCACGCTGTGTAACCCGCCGTTCTTCGACTCGGACCCGGCCGATCCGGAGGCGCCGGCGCCGCGCCGTCCGCCGCCGCCGGCCGCCTCCACCGGCGTGCTGCACGAGGTCTCCTGCCCGGGCGGCGAGCGTGCCTTCGTCACACAGATGATCAAGGAGAGCGCCGCGCTGGCCGACCGCTGCCGGTGAGAGACCTCGGGGGAGGGCTCTCTGCCTGACTGGGAAATTGTGCGGCCACCCTTGTGTGTGTGTGGGGGGGGGGGGACTGAACCATTTATCAGAAGATTTTTTTTCGATATTTAATGAAACCCTGATCATTACCTCGTATGTTTGTGTTTAGTCTTGAGCTGGACCGTAAATTTTGTTATTCTGTCTTTTGTTTTGCTTTCTACATGCATACAAAGAGAAGTGCAGACAGGAATTGGCTTTAAAGTTAAATGTTCCTTGATTTAGCTCGTCTGTTAACGTTTGTGCTTACCGGCAGGGTGTTCACCACAATGCTGGGCCACAAGTCGAGCGTTCGGCCGATGAAGAAGGCGGCGTACGAAGCCGGTGCCAAGGAGGCGATCGCTACTGAGCTCTGCCAGGGCTGGACCAAGCGCTGGGCCATTGGTTGGACGTTTGAGGAGGGACTCAATCTCCGCGAGAACGTCAAACCCACCAAACAGGTACGCTGAATATGGAGCGGAAGCAGGCTGCAGCGATAGCTGACTTTCATTCCGGCGGACGGCACATCCAATATGTGTAGTCAATATTTTAACCGTTCAGTTGATAGTTCTTCAAAGTCGTCATCCCGCCTGATCCAGCTTCCCGTCTTTCTGACCTTTATGACATTTCTGACCGTCTTTCTTTCTGACCTTTCTGCCCGTCTTTTCCCGTCCGGCGTTTCTCTCCCGCAGACCAAGAAGCGTGCGCCGGTGCAGTGTGTGGTGCCGCGGGACCTGGACGGCATCCAGTACAACGTCACAGAGGTGAAACAGCATGTCGTCGAGTGGCTGCAGGAGCTGAAGGTGAGCTGGCAGATGCCGAGCCGGCCAGAGCCTGTTCGTCATCCAGCTTTTAGACCCAAGTAATGTAGTAAATATAAATGCCGGCCAGAGCCAGCTGTTCGAGATACATTCAGCTTTTAGACCCAAGTAATCTAACTAGTAAATATAAATGATTACCAATGCTTCGATCTTCCATGGACCATGCTCCGTTGTCTGTTAGCTTGCTACGCCACTTTTGGGTTTTCGCCTGTCGCTGAAACCGTTCTGACTCCAGGTGTGCTCTGAGTTCTGAGTGTTCTGCTGTTCCGTGTGCCGCCAGCTGGAGGTGGAGGCGGGCAACTGTAACAAGTACTACGCCTCCTACAAGGTCACCGCCTGGGAGGACACGTGGACACACCGTCGGCGGCGGCTGAGGGAGGAGCGCCGCGCCGCCGCCGCCGCCGCCGGCTCCACCTCGGACCTGGCGCCGTCGCCGGCCTCTGCCGACCTGGCCCTGTCTCCGCAGCGCGCCGCAGACACCTCGGCCGCCTCCGACACATCAGATCTGTCCTGTCGCACCGACGACACCGACCCGGCGGCCGGCAAACGGTCCCGCTGCGACTCGGGCGAGCCGTCGGCCGGCGCCGGCGCCCCGCCGTCGGCCAAGCGGCCCTGCCTGGAGTCAGCGCTGGGAGCGGTAACGCTGAACGAACGACGCCGGGCGCCGGCGCTTGTGTTCACCCTGTTCGTGCAGAAACGTGGACCGGACATCCTGCTGATGCTGCAGCTCTTCAAGGGTGAGCTGGGATCCGAAGGAGTCAACGGCGTGCTCCTCTTCCTGAAGCGTAAGCTGGAGTCCCGGTTGGCAGTGCATACCACTACCGGAGGCAGCGGCGGCGGGGAGGGCGGCGCTGGGACAGGGCTGGGCGGCGGGGAAAGCTCAGAGGGACAGACGGTCCAGGACGCCGCGGCTCAGGCCGCCGCGGCTCCGGTGAAGACCGTCTCAGTCAGTGAGGGTGTGAGTCGCGCCTTCAATCGGCTGCGGACGCACATGAAGCAGAGGTTGAACCTGTCGCCAGCGGACAGCGCTGGAAAGACCCAACAGTCTGCCTCGGGACGATCTGAATCACATGTTGCGTCGGGACAGCCGGAGTCAGAGGTCGGGGCCTCAAAACAGGACCCCGCGGCTGCCGGTGAGGGCAGTACGTGAATGTGCTGCCTCGGGTGGTCGTCTAACTCGAAATGGTCGAGTGAAGTGACCGGTTCGTGTACAGGGCTGTGCTGATGTGTACGATTCTTCTCCGTTGTATCGGCCGCCTTTCGCACCGCCTCGGGATTAGACGGCGGTGATTTGTACCTTGGTTTTGCTGCAGCTGTGCTGTTTGCTTTTGACGCGATCGGCTACGTCCGCCGAACATCTCAAAATGTGCCAATACTCCTACTTCGTTAGCGGTGTCAGTCCGCTAGTCTGCCATCGACTCAGCCCGACCGTAAGCATCGTGTCGTGCTGAGTCGGGTTACATATCGACAGTCTAGAAGTGTTTTAATACACACACTGTTTTGTTAAGACCTAGAGTATTGGTCTGCTGGCACGGCACGGACTGTATTGTATTTGTATTTGTATTTACATTTAAGAGCGATCCACATACGATGTGCGTGGCGATTACTGCTCATCGACTGCCGACTGCCCGTCGGACGTCGAAATACTTAAACGTAATGCCGTAATTGGGTGAGTGCGGCATGGCGGGGCCCGGGGGACGCTGATACTGAACTGCAGATGAGGTCTGGAAGTGGGTGAAATGGTGTGCTGTTAGAATATTTCGGGGCAGGTGGAGTCAATCCTTTCCATCTATACTCCACATTTTTAGAAGCAGGCGATTGCGGCACCGTCAGGCCTCGATGGCGCAGTAGGCAGCGCGTGAGTCTCATAATCTCAAGGTCGTGAGTTCGATCCTCACTCGGGGCATGGTTTTAAGCTGAGATCGCGCAGCCGCGGTGGATATTGGCTCGCAACACGAACTAATCGCCACACAGCACGGCACTACGCGCCCTTGTGGGCACTCGATAAGCAGCGGCGTTTTCCAATTTATATCACTCAACACTTGCAACAGACACTCGTTACACGATCTGTACACTTGTATTTAGTGTGATAATTCGTTAGGTCAGCATAATTATTCGGCCCGTCCTTTGGAACACTCACACCCACAGACAGACACAGACTGACGAACGAACAGACAGACGGACAGGCGGCCGGCGCCTGTGCATACTAGCGTGTCGTTGTACTGGCGGCGCGCCCCGCCGGCCGGCCGGCCAGTCACGACACACACCTACGCTCTACCACACGAACAGATATCACAAGAGGCGGCGAGTGTGCGCGCGCGCGCGAGCGAGCGAGCCAGCGCCGCTGTTAGAAGACGGACTCTACCGAGCGCGACAGCTGCGTCGGGTGCGACGGACTGCGCGCCAGCCGCTTGGTGGGCAGCCGCTCCAGAATGGAGAGCAGCTCAGTGAAGTCGGGCCGCTCGGACTGGTGGTAGTTCCAGCACTTCATCAGCAGGTCCTGTGTGCGGATGGAGGATGGGGTCAGTCAGAGGAACCGGCGGCAGCACACATGCCGTACAGGTCAGCCCGCCACCAACACAGTCACGCACAGTGTTGGGTTCACAAACTGCAGTAGGGACAGAAGGGCACCTGGACTGACCTTGACGTCTCGGGATGCCTGGATGTTGGCCAGCGACTGTTTCATGCCGCGTCCCACCAGCCAGATGGTGGCCTCTGCCGGCTGGTCCTTCCACGGCCACTCGCCCGACAGCAGCTCGTACCACACGGTCCTGTATAGACAGATAACCGTCAGAGTCAGTCGCCCGACAGCAGCTCGTACCACACGGTCCTGTAAAGATAGACGTACAGAGAACCGTCAGTCAGTCGCCCGACAGCAGCTCGTACCACACCGTCTTGTCCAGATAGACGTACAGAGAACCGTCAGAGGCAGTCGCCCGACAGCAGCTCGTACCACACGGTCCTGTGCAGATGGGTACAGACGTACAGGGATCCGCCAGTCAGTCGCCCGACAGCACTCGTACCATACGGTCCTGAACAGACACAGACGTCAGGGAACAGTCAGTGAGTTGCCCGACAGCAGCTCGTACCACACGGTCCTGTATAGATGGGTACAGACGTAAAGAGAACCGTCAGTCATTCGCCCGACAGCTGAGCTCGTGCCACACGGTCCTGTGTAGATAGGTACAGACGAACGGAGAACCGTTACAGTCAGTTGCCCCTGCTGAGCTCGTGCCACACGGTCCTGAACAGACACACTACAGAGAACCGTCAGAGAGTCACTCAGTGCCGGCTGGACAGCAGGATAGAACAGACAGCGGTCAGAGAGTCACTCACTGCCGACTGGACAGCAGGATAGAACAGACAGCGGTCAGAGAGTCACTCAGTGCCGGCTGGACAGCAGGAAAGAACAGACAGCGGTTAGAGAGTCACTCACTTCCGACTGGACAGCAGGTTAGAACAGACAGCGGTCAGAGAGTCACTCACTGCCGGCTGGACAGCAGCTCCTGTTTGCGGTCCTGTTTGTGAGAGACTAGGGTTCGAGAGAAGCACACCCACGACACAGAACACAGTTCTCCATATAGATTAACACACGGCACGATCCTGATACAACATAGCACATTACAGTCTCGTAACCCACAACGAAGCACCACACGCACCACACGAAGTCCAGCCTCCGCCCTCCGGTCAATACACAACACACGGTCTCCAGTCAATGACATCACTTGGAGGTCCAGCTGTCCTGTGACACTCTTGAGTCGGATTCCACCAGGAAGTTCCCACGGCACACAGAGACAGATAAGACTAAGCGCCCACTCTGATATGTTATCAATATTCATAGCGACGGCGTACTCCCCCACTCTCGCCCCACGGAGTACTCCCCCACTCTCGCCCCACTTTGCCCCGCGGAGTACTCCCCCACTCTCGCCCCACTCTTTCCCCTTCTCTCACCCGAACGCGAAGATGTCTGAGCTCATGGAGAAAGGCAGGTCTCTGTTGTCGCCGGGTCGCAGGCAGCGCACAATCTCCGGACTGAGGTAGCACAGCCAGCCCTTGGGAATGTGAAGCCGGTGACGGTACCTGGTGATCAGATGCGGGCCGTCACACACCGACTAGGCACTGATGAAACGGGGTAGAGCGAGGGACGAATCGCGCGGGGGGGGGGGGGGCGGCGGCTGTCAGACTCGAGTGAAGATGACGAAGAGCAGGTTAAGAAGTAAAACTGACTCCACACTGCACAGGCTGTCAGCTGCAACTTCCCAAGCTTTGGAATATGCGGGATGACGTTAAAAACAAAGCATGCCAATAACTCTGTTATGACTTCCTTCAACTTCCATGCCCAGTGCCCACGAGCAGCTCGCTGTGATGCCTGGTGACACAGCCCGTAGCTTTGACCTAACGAAAAACCTGCATGCTTACAAGAACCAACATTGGTGAGGATGCAAAAAACCGCAAAGCTACAGGAGCAGCGTGTAAATTGGCAGGGTCCCAGCACAATGACTGACGTCCAATTGTAATATCAGCGGCATACGCTAGGAGGACCCTTCAGTGCTGGGGACAACTCACCCAAGGTTGGGGCACAGCTTGGTCAGCGAGAACAGGCCAAAGTCTGTAATCACCACCGTGCCCGTGATGTTGTCCACGAAGATGTTCTTCGACTTGAGGTCTTTGTGCACGATACCCCTGGCGTGCAGGTAACCCATACCCTGCGGAAGAGGCGGCGGTGACGGGTCAGAGAGCGCAGGGGACACAGGAGGGGAGGTCAGAGATAAGGCGGTGTCGGCCAGGGACCAGCCGGCACGGGCCTGTGACGTATCCTCAGCATCGAGACACTGACACCAAACTTCACAGACAGCTACCGGGACCACCATCACCACGTCCAAAAAGTCCACCGACAAGTCTCACAGACAACTAGCGTTGACCACGCAGCGGCATCAGTATCACATCAGCCGCGCAACCCCACCACTCACCAGCGATATATGCTTGGCGATGTTGCTGATCTTGGTCAGGTTGAACTTCTCCTTGTGGACGTGCAGCAGGTTGTAGAGCGGCTTCCCCTTGCAGAAGCTGGTTATGATAGCTAGCTGAGGAGGGCACATGCAGGCGCCCATGAACAGCACAAGGTTCTCGTGGCGCGTCTTGCGGAACGTGGCCACCTGACGGCGGGGGCAGAAAACAGTCACCACTAGCAGCCAGGCGGCTATACGTAACAAGACAAACACAAGATACCGGAAATGTTGGGATCATTGTTACAGCAGATACACGGGACTGAAGTTAAGCTGGGACGAGACAAGCCGCCAGCAAACGCGACCTCAAGGGGATCACATTGATACTAGCAGTCAGAGAAGAGATACACAAGGTCAAATGTCCGGAAGTCAATTAACTTCTGATTTTTATCGGATCACAATGAATATACCTCTCGTCCCCTTTTCCTCGATTCGTGGTCTGTCCGATACCACATCGCCGTTCCAGCCCCTCTGCCCACATCCCTCCCCACTCACGTCGCGTTTGAACTGCTCCAGGGCGTCGTCATCCTCCATGTTGAGCAGCTTGACGGCCACCTCGCCGTGCCAGTGGCCCTTCTTGACGACGCCGAACCGACCGCGGCCCACCACGTCGCCCAGGCGCACCTCCTCGAACGGAATGTCCCACTCGCGCAGCGATAACTGACGGTCAGACAGGGTAAAGGGTGAAACGACGCCGAATAAGCTGGATGGATGGTTATTGGTTAAATTCTGGACACGGACTCCGAGGAGCAATGACTATCTGAAAACATGTAACTATTTCACCTTCAAATTATGATACATGTCCGTCGAGAGTCGTTCAGTTATAGCCGTTCGTTATACTCACGCTGTTCTGTCGCGGTAGGCCGTCCGTGTCGGAGACGGTGGAGTCCTGGGAGTCCAGGCGGCTCGCCACTGTCCGCTCAGAGTCGGTCGACGTGCTGGCCGACGTCTGACTCATGGTCTTGTCAGAGTCCTGCGAGGCCACGCCCACCGGCTGGGCGGCCGGGGGCGGTGGCGCCGGCGCCGGCGGCGGCGGCGGGGTGGGCGGCGCCGGCGGCAGCGGCTCCACGGTGACGGCGCCCGGCTCGGCGGCCGTGGCCGCGCCCACCTCCGGGAAGTTGAACTGCTGCAGCGGACTGGCAGAGGCCGGCGGCGTGGCCAGCAGGTAGGCCGGACTAGACGGCGCAGAACTGTTGCAGCTCGACGTGTTGCTGCTCGAGTCCTGGCCCTGCCGGCACCGGGAGCAACGGACGTCACTTTCACAGCACGCGGGCATTATTATACACACGATTGGCACAGCTCAAAGTGCTCATCAACACCACGAATCGGTCCCTTCACACGAAATCTCAACGGCGACCATAATCGAGCCTCCGCACACACAAGCCGGCAACCGTTCACGGCCAATCGTCTCGAACCGCGAGCAGCAGTCCCCCGGAGCCCCAAACCCAGACTTCAGCCGCATTGCCAAGGCCTCGTTCAAAACAATGGAAGCCGCGAGTAAATGTTTACCCCTTCCTTCCGACGCCAGAGACGAGGACGGCGGCCGGCAGCTGCCCGATTCTACCTAGCTCGTGTATGTGTCGAAGAAAGAGGGATGAGTTAAATGCTAATGGGACTACGAAACGTCTGGTATTCGAAATTTCGCAATTTCAGTCGGCCACCGGACGCGAAAGAGAGTAAGTATGGGGCAGCAATGACAAAATGTGTTAAAGACAAAATCCCAGATCCATAGACAACATTTCTTATGTACTCCATAGGAACATCACCAATCGAGTCCTGCACGGGCATGCCATGGTCCAGGCAACAAATGGCCTCAAGCAAGCAAGCCCAATCACCCTGGCCGCGGAAATTAACTAGCGTAAATAATTATCTATTTATTATAACACTGAATAACTGAATGCGGAAATAACTATTCAGTAATTTCCGCGATACGAGCCCATATTTTGACACAGCCCGATCTAAGTTGCCGACTCCCGGCCCAGCCTCACCCCACCACCTCGACCCCAGCTAATCTCTGTCCCCACAGCCCAGACCCGCCCCTCCCCATCAAACGCCGCCCTGCACAGCGGCCGGCCAGTCCCACCTGGAAGGCTGGTATGCTGATGCTCGAGTTGTTGTAGTTGGGGTAGCCGTGGGGCGGCTTGCGGTGCAGATACCCCGAGCTCTGACTCTTCCTCTGGTGCTTGCCGGCCACCAGTGGTGACGCATTCCCCTGCAGCCGATCGACCGACTGTGACCGAGGAGAGCCGCGCCGCGCCCGGTCAGCGAGACAACGAGCACACGGACCCGCGGACCCACACACACGGACCATCAGGCTAGCACACCGACCCGAGGACATACGGAGAGCCGCACTGCACCCAGAAAACGAGCACACGGACCCGTGATCTGACCCACCCGCGGACACGCCCAAGCCGAGTCCTGGACACAAGAATCCGCGGACACAAGGACAGGATCAAGGGCAGACGGACCCGCGGACACCAGATACACGCAGATTTGCGGCTGATACACGCAAAGACGGATAGACACACATAACGGGCTACCCTGAGAAGCACCATACAGTCCAGCATCAGTGCAGTAACCAGCGGCTTCAGCTGGTCCCTGCCGACATTTGATTACCCCTAACGGCACCGATAACCGTATAGACATCCCTAACAGCGCGTAACTGAGCAGTTCTGTAATCCAACCAGGACTCCCCCGCCCAGACCAGCAGCCAAGCCAACCTGGTCCACCCGGCTACCTCACCTGACTATTGACTTGGTCAATGAAGAAGTCGACATACTTCCTCGGCAGACCGCAGGAGGGCGGCACGTGTTCCTCGCAGTGGCGGTGACATTTGTACTTGCACTCTCGACACCGCAGCCCTGTCGGCGGTCGGGGCTCGGTGTCACGGGTGTCGCCGGGCGGTGTGGACGCTGCCTAGCGGTCCGGACGGCCGTCCCGCCGCCCCCGCGGACGCCGCTGGACGGTCGCCAGCCGGATCTCGCGGCCCGGTGGCTCCCAGGTGCGCCGGCCGGCTGGCACGCCGCCCGCACACAAACTGGCCCGCCCGGCGCCGGCGCACATCCCGAGACAAACATGAGCCGGGCGCACCGCGGCCGGACGGGTCGGCTGTTCATAATGAGCAGAACAGACAGACGTGCGACAGTGGTGAGGCCTCACAGACTGCGTAACTACCGCGTAGCCAGGGTCGCACTGCAAATAGTAAAAGCTCTTCAGCTACGTTAACTACGTAGACAAGAAGTAAGTTATGCTGAATTACCTGAATACTTTGACAAAAATAGAGAAAAGAAAAAACACATTAATGTGGTCAAAGAAAGGATTAACAGAGGGTGTGTCTGAGTGAATCATCAAATTTAGTTCATGCAAGTCCTGAAGTACCCATCAGGGCCCGATTTCACCAACTAAATACATTCCATTTCGGCGTCGTACAAAGCCACTTTAGGCATACTATGACACATTTGATTTCACAAGAACTCCGTACGAAGTCTTCACTTCGTACTAAAGCAGACAGTGAAAATTCACAGGGAAACAAAACAATGCGAACTTCTCTAGCAATATACAGCCATTGGGACTATTTCAAATATATAGAGAGCCCCATGATTTTGTTTCCATGTTTTTTATACCTATGGTTTTCATCATATGAAATGTGATCACGTGTAAACCAGTTGTTAGAAAGAAATGGGAGGAGAACGTCAGGGGAAAAGAAGGAGAAAGAGTAAAGCGAGATAAAAATTGACGCATTTGTCAACGTCAAAATCGAATATGAATGATGAATATCTATCGCACACACTCACATTCCACATGCACTGCTGTCCCGCTACCCCGGACACCCTGCTCACGGGAGCAGCACCTACCATAGATCATCTGCTTCTTGCACAGGTCGCAGGTGGACACCTTGAACGTTTTGGCGAATTTGTGTTTGATCACGTGACTCATACTGCCGGGCATGAGTGTCGGCGTGTGCGGAGAGCGCGGCGCCTGGAGACTGGTGGCTGCGGGAGACACGCGGGGAACGGTCAGACAGCACACTAACGGCTCACAGAGAGGCGGTGTGACACTCTGGGCTGGGTGGTGCGCGGAACGGTCAGATGGCGCACTAAACGACACGCGGACAATCAAACGATACACGGAAGGTCATACGGTATGCAGGTCAGAGTTAGACGGTTTAGACGGTTCACCGACGGTACGTGGACGGTTATACGGTGCGTGGACGGTTATACGGTACATGGACGGCTATATGGTACATGAACAGTTATACGGTACATGGACCGGGTTATACGGTACACGGACGGTTATCCGGTACCTGTACGGCTATGCGGTACATGGACGGTTACACGGCACATGGAAGGTTATGCGATAGATAATCATTGGTCAGCAAATGGGCGAGCATACGGTACATGGACGATTATGCACTACACGGACGGTACAATGACGGTTACACGGTACGTGGACGGTTATACGATACACACTCGGTCAGGCGGCACCCGCACGGCACTCGGCCGGCGATAAGCCTAACTGCACCAGTTGTAACTCACATTTGGTGGGCGTGTGTGTGACGGTGGACGGCGCCGGGCTGGCCGCTGCTCCCGGCGACCTCAGTGCCTGCTCCACAGACTCAGCCCCCTCCGCCTCCGACCTGGGGCACGGCCATACTCCGTCACGCGGTGGCACAACGGTCACACCCAACACACGGCCATCCTCCGTCACACGGTGGCAGAGGGGTCACACACAGTACAGTACACGGCAATACTCCGTCACACGGTGGCACGCCGAGTGGAGGTCACACACAGTACACGGCCATCCTCCGTCACACGGTGGCAGAGAGGTCACACACAGTACACGGCCATCCTCCGTCACACGGTGGCAGAGCGGTCACACACAGTACAGTACACGGCAATACTCCGTCACACGGTGGCAGAGCGGTCACACCCAACACACGGCCATTCTCCGTCACACGGTGGCAGAGCGGTCACACACAGTACAGTACACGGCAATACTCCGTCACACGGTGGCAGAGCGGTCACACACAGTACACGGCAATACTCCGTCACACGGTGGCACAGCGGTCACACCCAACACAAGGCGATCCTCTGTCACACGGTGGCAGAGAGGTCACACACAGTACACGGGTAATACTCCGTCACACGGTGGCACGCCGAGTGGAGGTCACACAAAGTACAAAATACTCTTATACGGTAAGATATTATGGTCACATGGTCACGTGAGGCACCCTTTCCCGAGCGGTCACACACAGCAAACGGCACGTGGACTGGCAAGCACCAGTACAGTGCGTGATGGTGACAAGCCTAAACGCAGGCGTGAACAAAATTACTTTACGGCGTGAGGACCGTGATATCGAAGCCTGTTTACTGAATGAATCGAAAATCATTCCTAGGATCGCATATAAAGCATACGGCTGTTCCAACTACCAACCAATACATACACGTACGTAACACATCCGCAATATATGATTCGCATGACGATATAATGTCATGTTGTTCAAACGCGGAGCACCCAGAAACAAAAAAATAGTTCGAAACAAGACGACCACACAGTCGGAACAACTGGCCAGACCACAAATAGCCGATTTAATGATAAATTACATAATCCTTCTTAGTTTGTTGGCACGGAAGTGCAATGACAAAGGCAGGCACCCACCGCTTGCTCACAACAGGAAAAACGGCCCCGGCCAGCGGCTGGTGGCATTTGTCGAGCATTGCACACGGTTTAACGGAGGAAAGCCCAAGCGGTATCCAGTACCGTTCCACCACGCGGCGGGCTGTCGTCTCTCCCCGGACCTTACCGAGGCTGGGAGGCCGCGTCGCCCTCCAGTCGGCCGGTCAGCTGACTCTCGTGGGAGCGCGACTTGGTGAGCGCCGCCGGGTCGCCGCCGGCGGCCGCGGATGGCTCTCGCAGACCGGTGTGGTGCCGGCGGCTGGCAGATGGCGTGGCGCCGTCTGAGGACGACCGGGGGACGGGGTCAGTCAGAGGCCAACATCGCATATAACACAGACACTTTGAGGCTCCGAGATCTCCAACCACAAGTTCAAACGGATCCTTCATTAACACTAAATGTCTGTTCTCAATGTTACCCTACACCGCATGGCAGCTAGGTCAGCATCGGGAATCATCAATAAAAGCTCAGGCCTGGCCATTTCACACTTCTCCCTCCCCCACGTCGCGGCAGTCTGGCCCTGGAGACCCACCTCGTCCAGAGCGGCTGGCAGGCGGAGTGCGCGGCGGACTGGGCTCGGTGGGCGCCGGCGCCGGCAGACTCTGCGTTAGCTCGTACGGCGTCGGCTGCGAGTGGACCGAAGACTCGGACGGAGTCGGCGCCGACGACTCCGATTGCTGCGTCTCGTCCGACGAGGACACCGACGACCTGCTGGATCGGCGGACGGCACGCGGCGTCAGGCGGTGAGCGGCGAAAACGGACAGTGACGACACGAAACACGAGAGCAACAAACCGTGCCGTCACGGCGCTAGGGGACAGTGAGGCGAAACATTTTCCATTTCCGCGGTAATCTTATTTAGAGCGGCATCAAAGATATACATTTATACGGACAGCAAGCGGAACCATCTACATTTACCAAAAACAAATATTTACAAAATCAAGCATAACCTCTAGCTTTTCAAAATTGACGGCCGAAAACCAAATACCACAGCACAATTCGAAACGACCGGCCGCGTTAAGTCACAACCGGAATGCTATTATCTCTACATGTCAGCGTGCACAGTGCAGCACACCCTTTGCGATAAGTCACCGTGAGCGCTACGTCCGGCGTCGTGCCACTGGCCGGTGATAGTGTATCGGTCGCCGGCTGGCGGGCCGGGCGGGCTGGCCGGGCGCCTGCTTACCGTGGCCGGCGGCGCAGACTGGGCGAGGTGGCCTCCCACGAGTCCCAGTAGAGCGGCAAGTCCGGACTGCCGCACGGCTCGCCCACCAGCTGGCTCTCTGGAGTGGGGAACGGGACGGAGTGAGAACCTACTAGAGCACAGTGAGACATGAATGGTGATTCACAAATCGGCCGCTGAACAATCGGCATCCCGTGTCCATCATTCTATACCAGATTCCTCACCACAACACACCGCACGAGAACCAACAACTCAGTCACCACCACAAACAAATCAAAGTGGCTACCGCTAGTCGCTAAACTGTTCAGCGTTATCTCGCACTTCACCAAAGCACAAAGCCTCCCTTCTCTTCACCGACTGACGAAAGTTAGCCCTCTATTTATCGACCAGCCACGTTACACTTAGCCATCACCTTACACAACACCACAGCCTCTGATACTTACCGGTGTACTTTTTCATGTTGTGCATGGCGCGCGCCAGCCGTCGGACCTCGTCCTCGGCGGCGCCGGCGGCCGGTAGGAGAGCGCGGAGCTCGGCCTCGCCGCTCTCCATCAGCGCCTCCATCGACGAGTACCTGCAGCACACCATCTGAGAGAAGGGGTAGGGGTAGGGAGGTCAGTACCGGCAGCACAGGCGGTACCTGCAGCACACCATCTGAGGGGGGGGGGAGGTCAGTACCGGGCAGCACACCATCTGAGGGGAGGGGAGGTCAGTACCGGCAGCACATACGGAACCTGCAGCACACCATCTGAGGGGAAGAGGAGGTCAGTACACCAGCACACTATCTGAGAAGGGGGAGGCCAGATGGCCGACAGCATACCAGCTGAGGGAGAGGAGAGGTCAGTACTGGCAGCAAACCATCTGAGGGGGAGGGGGGGAGGTCAGAGGACTGGCAGCATATCATCCACAGACAGAACGGGCAAGTTACAACACCAGCAGAACATCTAAGGGGGAGGGGTCATGAGTGGCAGGGTCGGTGGCAATGAGCGGGAGCCGGGAGGGCAGTAGGACCCTGAGTGGGAGGGGTCGGACTTCATAGTCGGACCTGGGCGGGTTTGGCGGTAAAATCAGGCAGCCAGGGGCTCAGGGGCCTGTTTCGGGACAGTGCCGGAGAGCCGAGGTGACCCCGAACTGACCTGGACGGCAGGGGGACTCAGTCCGACCACCTTGAGCCACAGCTGCAGCGATGGGAAGAGGTCACATCCAGACGCTTCCAACTCCTCGCTGGGGATCCGCGACTTGGCCACCAGCTGAGTGCTGAAGAGCTTCACCAGCTTGGCCTGGTGGGCACAGGGAAAACGTCATGCAGTGCACATCATAGTATCTATACATAACTTGGCTCAGGGACGGTGGGTAGGCCAAGGTGCATTCAGTTTATAGTTGTGTCACATAATTGACACTTATATAAAAATGTTCAAGGATAAAATGTACCATGTTCGAGTATACCCAAAGGAATATTGGTTTAAAAATGTAGGTACCTTTAAAACAAGCTTGCCAGTTTGGCTTGTACCAATAGTACCAAGATGATAATTCACCACGTTGATATTTCACCAACTGTGCAAATGCTACCTTTACGCAACCACCCAGCCCCCAGTACAACTGACCTCGATTCTCCTGATCTCCTGCTGAGTTAGCACGGCCCTGGTCAGGCACTGTGTCCGCAGTCCCTCCAGGTGTTCGGCCGATATTTCGATCAGACACTGCAGATTGGTGCACCACTCTATTGCCTGCAGGGTGGTCTGCTCTCCATCCTCTTCACTCATCTCTTCCAAATCAACACATCGAGTGGAGTCTCACCAATTTCCAGGCACCAGAGAAAACGAAATTCAACACTGAGTGTCACAGCAATGTAAATAGTTCTTCTTTGACAACCATCGCAAGCTTATTGACAGACTATTTACAGATTTTCTTCCTTTAGAGTATCATCATTTCCATTGATGTGTGCATGGCATTCAAGTTGAAGAAATGTGTTCTTGAAGGAGGAGTCTGCAAACCAGTAAAAAATCATTTAAGGTATATTTTGATTAACTCGTACCCTGTTGGTCTATTGGCGGACCCTACAACCCGTTAGGGGGGAGGTGGGCTTTCGTCCCCCCCCCCTAAGGTCTTGGAAAGTTACCAACATATTTTTTAAATTCAAACCGCGTAAGATAGCGCCACCAGGGAACTAAATAGTGACCATGTTTCGTTGACCTGGGTGCAACCGATGACGTCACAGGTCACGTCAAAGGTCGCATTTTTCACCGATTAGGTACGGACCTTCTAAGGAATGCGTTATTACGAGCGAGCGAGCGCAGCGAGCGAAGTGAGTCTTTTCAATATAACGGAAAAATCTCAGTATGAGCGGCCCGGCCCGGCCCGGCCTGTAACGCTTTTGAGAGGCTTATATCTCAGCAACCGCTGGACCGATTGGCCTGCGGTCTTTTTTGTTGGGTAGCCCCATCCCTTCTACCCCGTATTTGACTACTTTTGATGCATCTCAGTGACCGTCGTGGCACGTGCCACGTGAAAGGTAAAGGGTGTTCAAGCTGTTCTGCAAAAGTAGTGATTTTGAGAGGCTCATATCTCAGCAGCCGTTTGGGCGATTGACTTGCGGTAATTTTTATAGGGTAGCAGCATCCCTTCTACCCAAAATAGGATACTCTCGATGCATGTGGGCCACCCCCACTGCACGTGCAAAATACAACAATAAGAGGTGCCAAATTTGTTCCCATTTCAGTAACTCGGTAATTACTGGGGCGATTTCGCTGAAACTTGGCATATAGGTAGGCACCCACCACGCAATGCATTCCCATGTGTTGCGGTTAGGGTGCTACTGCACGTGCGCACGTGCAAGGGGCGTTTCCAGATCTCGAGAACGGCTGGGCCGATTGCGCTCAAATTTGGTACACGGTGGGGGACCAGTTAGTAGGGTGCCGTGCAAAAGTCATTTTGGACCCCGTTTGCACGTGCGCACGTGCAGAATGCCGCTTCCAGATCTCAGGAACGGCTGGGCCGATTGGGTTCAAATTTGGCACACCGCTAGCGACCAGTTAGAAGGGTGCTTTGCGCAAGCCCGTTGGAAGCACCCTCTCGCCCTTCCGCACGTGCAGGGCTCACTATCTCGCTCGCTCGTTCTTCGCCCAAAAGGCGTTTTACTGGTACTTATAACATCGAATAAAAGGCATGGTATAAAAAATCATCGATAGAACGTTGGTCGCTTAATACATATGTTGCTTAGGAGGTCACTGATGCCAGCCGCCAGGTCAGGTCACAGAGGTCAGGTCACTAAGGGTCACAACATGGACCCAACTATACTAGGGTCATGTGATGCATGTTTTATGGCCAATTTTACATTCCAAATTCAATGGTGCTGGTTAGATGACCGTTGGAGCCGGTCTAGGTTCCGTTCTGGTGGAGATCAGGTCAACGTCAGGTCAAAAAAGGACAAATTTCAAAGTCGATATTTTTGCATAAAAAGGGTATCTGTTCGATGCAGCTCATAACGGGGAATTCAATGGTTGTCTTCGATTTACTCTGTGTGGTCTATAATGGCAAAAAATTGAGTTGGGAAATTTTACCAAATAATTTTTGAGTAATTTTTCACTATAACTGCCAAAAATAGAGCTATCGAGCTCAGATTTGGCATGTCAATAGCAGGCGAAACACCAATAGTTCTATAAAATACATTCTGTTTTTCCAAATTTTGAAAATTTTTGGTACCTTTTTTGTGGGTATTATACCTAAAAATCATTTTTAGTTTTGGGATTCAAAATCCAAAATTTTCAAAAATCTGAGACAGTAGTTTTGTAGCCCTATTAATTCTACAACTTTTTGATCCCACAAACTTCATTGTTCTTTTAAACTGTAGGCTTTCAAACTGTTCTTCCCACAAAACCCTTTTTTGGCAGAACTCTTTCAGTCACTCTGAAGTCATTTGTGGCCAACCTATCATAAGTTCTGGAAACTTAGTGGAACCATGACAATGTATGACAAGCTCTGCTCAGTTGACAGAAAACATCCATTCAGCAGCTTAAGATTCATTTACAAAAAGAGCACCTGTCACCAACTGACGTGCAAGGCTCGGAAATGACATCCGTCATCAAACCCTAAAAATTGCACCAGATCTCTCGTTAAAAGGCGTGTGAATACATTCAAATCCTAGAGAACATCATGAAAGACAGAAGAAACCATTTTCACATGAATCTTTCAAAATTTTAAAGGGTTTCTTGCCTTTAAGCTAATCATATATTACAGGATATGTATATGAAAAACATACAAAGAAGAAAACCAGAAACTGAATGAGTCAAAATACTGCATATGAAATGATTGGAATTGGAATGAAAGTTGCAGAGACAACCATATCCTAACCGCCTCCCAGCAACGTACATGCAAATTACAAAAATGGGATGACGAATCAACACACCCAATCACCATCAAATCATGAAGTACAACAAATGCGAACAAATATGGGTGAGTGCTTTGCGTTATAAGTGTTAGCCTGCTTTTTACGAGAAAGCATCAGCTGTCTATCATTGAACGCAAGAAATTAAGGTCCGTAATTGATCGAAAATTCCCCTTTTATTCCAATTTTATTTTATCTCATACCATTTTAATGGCAATTAATCATTCATTCTGAAATTTTGATAACAAAAAATAAGTGTTACAGCAAAGTATGACTATTTTTGTTGCATTCGTTCGAAATTTAGAATAATCAGCTGAGCTCGAAAATCGCAACCGGTTTGCCCGTTTGGCATCAGAAATTCTTGGTCAGATGCGCTGCATTTGTAGAAAACATTTTCCACTTGGATTTTGTAGTATTTAGGGCCTTGGATTTTGTTGAAGTTAATTCATAAAGAAGGGTCTTTTAGAAATGGGAAGGATTGATTTGTCTATTCCTGTGGGTTATCGACGTCGTTAAATTATTAGTGCGTTTTTATTGGCTAGTAAGAGTGCCCCATAGATTATGTAAATAATGCTGGTATTTTTAAATAATTTCAATTTAGGTTTTTGTTCTACTTATTCTGCTTAACTAATGAAACATTGACTAATTTTGGACTTTGATTGTGAAATGGTTTGTCAAATATCTGCCAGCCTGATGAATGCAAAGTGGTTTGGATGTTTCCTTCCATTATTTTGTGTTATATTTCCATCAACGCAAGTTGATTTAAATAGCCAGCCTTGACTTTCTGAATGCACTTTGGGGTACTTTTCAGTTGCTGTTTTCATTTGAAGGCTGCCAGCCTGCTGGTATTTTTTGGCTTGTTATTGGTTGAATTCAAGTTGTCCATGCCGGAGGTCAAGAAATGCCAGCAATGAACTTCCTTATAAGTTATATGGTACCTAAACAGGATGTTTCCTGAAAAATCACATGAATAATGAACAGTGCTCAGCTGTACCCAAGGGTGTGCCAATTGCCAAAGTCTTTTTAGTCTCAATAATGCCCTGACCGCCTGCATATTTCAAAAGCACATTAATAAAATGATTTTGTTGACCACACCCACTGTGCTTACTTGCTGACTGTTAACATGTCATGGTTTCAGCCTTATCAGATTCTACTCCAAGCTGCATAAAATGGATACCAACATGAAGCAGATACTAGAAGGGCAGCTTTCAAAATATACAAATGTAATGAAAGGCTGGCAATATAGATGGTTTGTTTTGAACCCAGAAACTGGAACCCTGACTTATTACATGGTGAGCACTGAACAGGAGACACAAGTCCCTCAGTCCTGAATGAGTTCTGTCCTGATGGGAGAGTTTTATCTAATTTTATCTTAGTGATCTGAGTGTCTGCTGAACATTACATATAAGCCAACTTTCTTCTATATGTAGGTAGCCAATTGATGTCAAGTTTCCCAATGCTATTGTATGCTATTATTTATTTTTGAATAAATAATAGCTTTTATGTGATTGAATGTTGCTGAATGATTAAATTGATGTTTGTGACAAAGATGCCCTTTAAACAAGTTATCAATGTTTAGCTGTCTAGGACTTATCTTTGTTCAGTTGAACATTTGACTCCCAGTGTGTGTTCCGGTGTGTACTGGTTGGTGTATGCTGACACCGCTGGCTGTGTGGCTCACCACAGGTGGACGAGATGCGCTCGAGTCGTCCGCGCGGCTCGATCCACCTGGCCGGCGCCGTGGTGTGTCCCAGTGACGAGGACTCGCACACGTTCTCGGTGAACTCGGCCGGCGGCGAGCTGTACCGACTGCGCGCCGCCGACGCCCGCCAGCGACAGCAGTGGGTCGACCGGCTGCGCTCCGTCATCGAGATGTTTAACCGGGTGCAGGCCGAGGTGAGCCGCCGCTCGGCGTCTGCCGCTGTCACTGTCTGTCACCGACGTCAGCCGCCGCCCTCTGCCACCGCTCTCTGAAATGTTTCCGTGTCGTTCGGGGCAGCCCCGCTGACCGTCCGACTTCGTGTCCGCAGACCCAGAGCCCGCCGCCGCCGCCCGGCGACGCTCTGGCTCTGTCGGCCTCGCCGCGTCAGTACGAGGCCCCGCTGTCGGTGCTCAGTTCCCTGCACGACGCCAGCGCGGCGCTGCAGCAGACGGCGGCCCGACACGGCCAGCTCTGCTCGGCCATCGGCGAGCTGCCCGGCCACGGTGAGAGATTCGACATTACCGGCTGGTGATATAGCCGGTCAGCTATGCAGCTGCGCAGAGTTGCAGGGTTTGCATAAGGTGTGAATGAATGAATGAATGCGTGAATGAATGGAACAATGAATGAATGTGTGAGTGAATGAGGCATTGTAGCAGAAATGCGCCAAAATTGTGTGGTGACAAAACTCGTCATAGACACTGCTGATGCTGGTTAGTAGCTAGTTACCTATAGGCCAACCAGGTTTAGTTCCACCAATTTCTTATGCAGCAAATAGCAAGCTATAGAAAAAAAAACGGAAGCATAACTTTCTGATTAATGCTGATCATTCTTTAAATTACACCTTCCAAGAGAATTTCATCTCGTTTGTGTATAAACGTAACCTAAATTGCCCGTCCGAATGCGGCGCGAGCTCTGACACTGGCGCCGTGCCGGCAGTCTCGGAGGACGTGACGGTGACCAGCACCGACTCGGAGCTGCTGCTGCTCAAGGCCACCTCCCAGGCCACGCTGCTGTGCCTGGAGCAGTGCTACACCATCCTGCAGCAGCAGCGCTCGGCGGCCGCGCTGCCCATCGGCCACCCGCTGCCGGCCGCCGACCGCGGCAGCCTGCGGCTCGGAGCCACGCGAGCGCGCCCTGAGAAGGACTTTCTGTCGGACGTGGCTGACTGGTTCGATACAAACTTCGGCACGGCCAAAGCGTGAGTGCTGCACCGTATCGCTGGGGTGGGCTTAACGCCTTACTCTTGAATACTCATTCTACCGCACCGCGTGAGCACAACGCCTTTCAGCTATACGAGCTCGTAGCGTAGCGTAGCTCGCAGCTCGTAGCGTGTGTGTGAGACTCCTGCTATGAAATGCTGTGCTGTTTTGTCGTAAATCTGCGCGTGGATGCGGCGTTTGAGCCGAGTGTGCGGCACCGCGTGTCTCGAGTGGCCCCCGGCGCGTCTGCCGGCGCGGCGGACGCTGACGGCCGTGCTGCCCGGCAGGCCGAGGAGGCCGCTGACGGCGCCGAGCAGCCCGCGACCCGCCCAGCCGCCGCAGCAGACGCCGCCATCCAAACCGGCCCAGCTACCGGCGCCGGCCGCCCCAGGTCCGTCCCAGGGCCGCGTCCGCGCCGCCGCCGCTTTTGTTATTACACGATTAAATGCACCTGCTGGTGTTCTCTGCATACTCAAAAGCACTACTAATAGCGTGTGGCTATATTCGCTGTAGGGAACACTTTCCCATATTCACACCACGCTCTTTGATTGCTTTGCTTGCGATTGAATGGTTTCCTGGTGTGTCAGTGTGTGATGATAATATAGCTTTGTGCTATTCGCTTACGTCCTACATTCTTGGGATATTTGGTGCTAGCTGTGTTTGATGCATTCCCGCTATGTGTGTACCATGTGTTGTATCCGCGCGTGTGACCGTGTCTGTCCGTCTGTTCCTCACAGGCCGGCCGACCAGCGAGTCTGACAGCCGGGAGGGACAGGAGCAGGAGGACGAGGAGGAGGACGCCGAGTCGGCCAGCCTCCGGCCGGCGGTGTCGGCAGCCGGCACCCTCCGACCGCTGCTAGCCACGCTGAAGCTGGGCGCCGACCTGACGCGCCTCCGGCTGCCGGCCGCACTGCTCGAGCCGCGCTCGCTGCTGGAGAGACTCTCGGAGCTGTGGGCGCGCCCGGACTCCTTCGTACGGTACGTGAAGACGGCCGGGACACTGTCCATAGATGGTGGACTGCCACGGCGGGAAGGGAGGAGAGTAGCAAGCTTAGTAGAGAGAAGAAAGAGAGTAAAGATTCAGAAGGCAGTAGTGCGTGCTATTACCCGTACATTATTGATGTAGCCATAGCTGGAAGGTTCTCACTTCTCAGGAGGCATCAGTGGGATGGAACGCTTTGTAACGCAGTATTTTGCTCTATTTCGCTCTGCGTTCCGTTTTGAGCAATATCGAGACACTTTAAGAGCAAGTCCATTTCATTTATTATTGAACATCACAGTTGCATTTACCACCACAGCTTCGTTGAAAAGCTAGACATACTCGTACTTTCTTTGCTGTTTTCCAGCATCGCTGGCGTAATTCTAGTTACAGTCGCTTCGATCAGACACTAGCTTTTTGTGTAGTCGTGCAAAAATAGGTACATGCATTATCGCGTGCTGGAGGAACAGTGGAAGGTCTATAACTGTATTGCGTCGATATGTATGCTCATATATTTTGCAGTTTGCACACTTACAAAAATCGCTATATAGTTTGTAAATTGCCGCGTCTTGCAGCATGTGCTGTACCGTGAAGAGTTATAAGCTTTTTTTTCGTATGGCGTATCCGCTTTTCGCAATCAGTATTGCAACACTAAGTATCCGAGCTGGCTGTGCACTGCGCAATGTGCATCGTCGGGACGGCCGTCCACTCATGGCAGTACCTCCTCTCGCATCCAGTAGAGCACCGTTCCGGACTGGGGCGCGCCTACATGGATCCACGGACTGTGCTGGTAGCTGGTGGTAGCCGGGTCCGTCAGAAGGGTGCCCCACCAGTCGTTAGAAGCCTTAAGCGTGGTAGTCAGCAGCGGTATGCCCTTCAAGTAGTCTTCCACGTTAATCCAGGGCATCGTCTTCTGTAAGCTGGGCTTGCCGTACGTCCACGAGTCGAATTTTTTGACGAGCGCGATGTCTCGCTGCGTGTCCGTCTCCGGAGTGAAGGTGTAGTCTCGCGGCGCCAGCCAGATGCCGCCCCACTGGCGGCGGTCCACCTGAGCCTGTCCCTCCAGTCGGTAGGCGAACCTGTGGCCTGTGCCGAACGCCTTGAGCCGGTCGCCGCGCCCCAGGATCGAGTAGTTGTCGGTGAGCGAGGGCCGGTCGGCGCTGCGCAGCCGCACGTTGAGCCGGTCCCAGCCGGCGCGGCTGGCGGCCGTCAGCAGCAGCGTCCAGCCGCCGCCGTCGTGGCTGAAGTCGCAGTAGACGGGCTCGGCCAGGCCGGCCAGCTGGTACACGCCGTCCGCCAGCGAGCCGTTGGCGCGCTGCAGCTGGAGACAGGTGGCCGGCGCCGACGGTGGCCGGTCTGCGGGCGCGCCGGGACCGGCGGTGCCGTCCGTCAGCCGGCGCACGGCCCGCTCCAGAGCCTCCAGGCGGCCGAGCACGCTGCCCTCGGAGGTGTCCGACCGGCCGGCGGGCGGCTCCTGTCCCGGGGCACTCTGCCCGCCACCACTGCCGGCCGCCAGCGCGGTGCGGGCCACCTCGGCCACCTGGGAGGCGAGCAGCAGCGGCGGCGGAACGGCGCAGTCGCCGGGCGCCGTCTCGGCACCGGCCGGCCGCAGCAGCACGGGCAGCAGGAGCAGAAGCAGCGGCGGCGGCCGTGTACCCATGGCGGCGGCTGGGACGTCTGTCACTCTCCGTCGGCTCGGCGGCCCGTTATGTAGCCGTCCCGGTCCCCAGGGACGGACGGACGATAAACACTGTCAGCTTCCAGCGCTGCAGTCCGGCCTCACGGCGCCCCGGGCTACTGCTGTCTGTCCTCAGCGCTCTGATTCACCGTGGGACTGCCGAGTGTCATTGATGACTCATCAGAGAGGATATGTTTTGACAGGCAGATATCATTATATTTGATGATAGTTTGGGTTTCCAGCTTATCACAGCACTTGGAAATGCCGCCAGATTGTATGTTCTTGGAACGGAAGGAATGACGGCATTTGCTTACAAACAGTGTCATAAGGTAGCATAAACATATGTCAATGTGTAAAACCGAAACACTGACCATTTTTTATTTTCCCCATTTGTCCCTTGCCCTTGGTTTGAGGCAAAGGTCTAGTGCCGTTCTCTCGGCGTATCCGTTTCATGCGTAACTGTTATGAAATTCCCCGTTTTGCCTGACTTTTCTGTCCCCTTTTCACTCCTGACACCTCGACATCTCCGCTCCAAATCCGACTCGTACTCTCTCAGCAGTCTGTGCGGTGTCCCGACAGATAAATCCTGCTCCGTTTCTGACCGCCGCTCTGTCGACCCCCGCAGTATCGCACTGGCCGACTCGCCGGCCGCCCGGATGTGTCGCCTCCTCGAGTGGTACGTGCCGGCCCTGGGTGCCGGCTGCCCGCGCGCCGGCAAACCCTACAACCCCGTGCTGGGAGAGGTGTTTGCCTGCTCGTGGCCGGCTTCCGAGGGCCGGGCGGAGCTGCGCTTTTTGGCCGAGCAGGTGTGCCACCACCCGCCAGGTGAGAGAGACAGCCACCATCTGGGGACTGGGGAGGTGTGTGTGTGGGGGGGGGGGGGGGGGGGGGGTGCTAAGCTGACACGCAATGGGCAGTCTCTGAGCCTCGATGTCCGCGTGTAATTGGATCATGAGACCACGACAAAGCACCATGCAGGATGTTAATAATCCAGTAGATGTTTGAAAGTATACGTTTAACGGTTACCGGTAAATGCAAGTACACGCATCGAACGTGTGTGTCCCTATTTGACGCGTTCGTGACTTGAGCGCAGTGAGTTCGGTGTGCCTCCCGTGCCGTGCCGCAGTGACGGGGCTTTGAGTCTTCTGTCATGAGGCTGAGATGCGTGTGTAAACACAAGCCTTGAAAGTTTTAAATGAGTAAATTACATAGACACTAATGAAAGCGCGACAGTGATTATTTTCCTCTACTCAGAAAGACATTGGAACCTCATATCTAACTTTCGGAGCTTGATCAACACTGAGCTGCAATGAGAGCTGCAGTGAGTGCCTGTACTGAGTTCAGTGAGTAGCTGCAGTGAGTTCAGCGTGTAACTGCAGTGCGTTCAGTGTATCCGCTCTCCACCCCGCAGTCTCGGCGCTGTGCGTCTCCTGCCGTGAGCCAGAGATGAGCCTGCAGGCCACCGTCGGCTGCCGCGCGCAGTACGTCAACTCCGTCAGCGTGTCGCTCACCGGCGAGGCCACGCTCTTTCTACCGGCCGTCGGCGAGACGTACACGCTCAACTACCCGGCCCTCTACGCCAGGTGAGACCTAACCGCCCGGCCGGCGAGACGTACACGCTCAACTATCCGGCCCTCTACGCCAGGTGAGACCTAACCGCCCGGCCGTCCTCCCTGCCCGCCGTCGGGGACACGTACGCGCTCAACTACCCGGCCCTCTACGCCAGGTGAGCCCCGGCCATCCTCGCTGCCGCGGCCCACCGGGGACGACCGCACTCGTGCCGGGGAACGACCGGGGTTTGGTCATTCTTCGTCCCTCTCAGAGTAAGGTGTGATTTGTACCCCAGCGAGCGAGCAATGACCGGTGACTAGCGTAGAACGTCTGAGATGACGGATTGAATGACGGATGCCAGGCTTAACCAAAGAAATACTGAATACTGAATTACTGACAGAGTTAGGTGGCTTAGCATCTGTTCTGTGTGAAGAAAACCGGCTGTTTGGACAGGTCACTGCTGAGCGACGGCTGGGTTGAGCTGGGCGGTCAGGTGAAGATCAGCTGTCAGCAGACGGGCTACACGGCCTCGGCCACCTTCCACACCAAGGTACCGTCACGGCGCCGGCGTTCGGCACGCAGTGCTGTCGCCCTATGGACGAGGCCGCTGACGGCGAACCTTATCAATACCAGTGGTGCAATGTCTACTGACCTCACTTACCTCTCAATACTCTGCCAGAACGTTTGGTTTGTGTTTTTAGCGCACATAATCCTACGATGTAAATTCTAACTCGCCTCATTTGCCAGCGTTCTAACTATTTCGATTATGCTCGACACCATTTGTTTACCCCTGTACCACCCGTCCGGTGCATCTTTGGACGGTGTGCTGCTTATACCGAGCTGTGTCTATGTCGTCTTTTACAGCCGCTGTCTGACGAGGGCGAAGCGCACCGCGTGACTGGCGAGGTGCGCGCGCCGGACGGCCAGCTGGTGATGCGTCTCACCGGACACTGGGACAAGCAGATCCAGCTCCTGGGACAGCTGCAGGTCAGTCGTGATGCGTCTCACCGGACACGGGGACGGACAGATCCAGCTCCTGAGTCCTGGGAGTGGGACAGCTGCAGGTCAGTCGTGATGCGTCTTACCGGACACTGGGACAGGCAGATCCAGCTCCTGGGACAGCTGCAGGTCAGTCGTGATGCGTCTCACTGGACACTGGGACAGACAGATTCAACTCCTGGGACAACTGCAGGTCAGATCGGTGACCGGCAACACACCGGGGGTCCATGAAATCATGGCAGCCTAACTCTCAGCTGATCATGTTTTTTTTTTTTTTGCAGAGGGTAGTGTACGATACGACGTGTCGGCATGCCGCACTGACATTGTTTACAGCCGTGTCCATATTTGGCGAGAAGTCAGTGTTCTGCCCTATCCGAGCGGCTCCCGCTGATCAGTATACAATGGTATCCGCACCGCGTCTGTTATGATCCGCAGCCGTTTCCCCACTCGCGCCGCGTCTGACCGCTACCGCCGTCGACAGGGCGACGAGCCGTGCACGGTGCAATGCGCCGGCGGCGGCGCGCGCCGCTGGCTGCGGCCGCCGGCCGCTCAGGCGCCGCACGAGTCGCGCAGGGTCTGGGCCGCCGTCACGGCCGCGCTACGGGACGGACAGACGGACACGGCCGACGCCGAGAAACACGCCGTGGAGGAGGCGCAGCGGCAGCGCGCCGGCCAGGGGCACACGCCGCGCCACTTTTACCAGCACGAGCAGAGCTGGGTGTTCCGCGAGCCGACCGCCTGACCGCGCCGGCCGGCCGACCGGCGCCGCTCCGCACCGGACCGGGGGTGGCACCAGAGGCGCAGCGTCGGACGGCAGTGACAACCGAGGTGCCACGTACTCCGAGTTTAACCAAGCATTTATGAGCTAGCCTGTTCGGGCACGGTTTCTGCCGTGCGGCCGCCGTATGTATCGTCCGCTTCCTGTGTATGTCAGATGTATCTGGGGAGTGTTATTCAGTATATGCGAGCTAAGTGGGTCCAGAGGGGAACGCCGAGCGTCGGGAGGCGGGATGTTCATGTGATGGTTGTGCCACTGTACTCTGCTATAATTACGCTATATAATTCCACCGGGTGTCCGGTGGGTGCACATGACCGAGGAACGCGCCGCGGATGGCGCCGTGTCGTCTTATATTCCAAACTGATGTACTCGTGTGTGTCCGTGCATGGGGCTGAGCATTACGAGGCTTCGTCGCGACGGTAGCCACATGTTTAGGGTGCGGCCGGCGCTCCATTTTAACCACGTTACGTGAGACTCGAGCTCAGCAGTCAGCAGTCACACTCGGTCGGCGCGGTGTGCCCTGTATAAGGGCTCCACGGGGCGCGATGGTAATGTGAACATATCCAGTATCTGTATCCGCCCGGACCGGCGCACGCTAGCACCGCCGCGCGGTTTGATCGTTTGCACTCCGGCCGGTGTCCGACGGCGAGCTTCTGTATGAGATCCATGTGGGGACGTGTATCGTGTATCGTTATGGCCTGTAAGGCCGCTATCCGTGCGTGGGGTGTCTGGGACCGCCGTGAAAGCGCAATAACGCAGCAATTCGCGACACCGGCACGGTGTGGTGGGGCCGCGGGCTCGCCTCGCCGGGACCTGCGCGTAGTAAACTGACGTCGCTTCACATTGTGATACAATATATTACGTACTGTGACGACCGCATCTGCCCGCTGGAGACTGCTGAGACCGCTCGTCTTTCCGCGCGGGTGGGAGGCATCACCCTGTGCGGCGCTGGTCTATCGGACCGCACTGGTACTGCGGTACAGAGCCATGCAGGACGACCGCTGCATGGAGTCACAGAGATAGCCAGTAATGCCCGTGGGACGCCACTGACCGCAAACCTGACTGGGACGTCAGGAACCGCGCACACCGCTCCACAGAAAACACTACACATCACTACACTTCACTACACGTGACACTCATTCTACGCTTCACTGTACTCCACATCACGCGACACTCCGTGGTACGTTCTGCTCCAGATTTTCGACTTCCCTCTACGGCACCAGCTGTTGACAATGGGGCGCTTTGCTGAGTCCTGCAGCTCATACCAGGACGCTCACCTAAACCCCGCAGTTCCTGCACTCCGCAGAGGGACATTCCGCCGGACCCTGCGCTCAGTAGAGGGACATTCTGCCGAACCCTGCACTCCAACGCGGATCCCGACACTCACACTCACCTGGCCGCGCACTCCGCGCCGTACGAGAGGCTGTCACGCTATCACATGGAAGGTAAGCGTATTGTGGCCGTCAGGGTCCCTCATACATCGGGCGGACCCGGCGACTTACAAATGAACAGCCGAAGAAATCGGACCCGCGCGCGGCCCGGCGACTAGAAACATGAGGCGGACAGGAGATGAGGAGGGGGACAGATGACACGATTCGGATCGGCGAGCGCGAGGCGTACCTTGGATTGTATTACCGCCGTGTGTCTCATGATCCCGACGATTGTTTCAAACATAACTAGTCGAGAGCCAATAAGGAAAAGCGCGTAACGGACAATACTTAGCCAGCACGCCAGGGAACGGGTCTTATAGGTAATGCCCCACAGGACTGGTCTACGTTGCAATGCACCTCGGGCAAGCTGATCTCTGAGCCGACGAACGTGGTACCTGACATATCGACTAAATTTATCGGCAAATGGTCGCTGACAAACGGTGAAAACGGTTGCGCTGTCACCAGTCAACATCGGCAAATATCTGGCACTTAGACGAGGTAAATATCGCAGCACCGAATACTACATCAGAGCATAGAAAGGATGGCTGAAGGAGTGAAGGAGCCTATCTAGCTGTTCATTGGAGTGATCGCAACCTTCTAAAAGCATGCAACGACATTTGAGAGTGTTAAGGAGGCAACATTTGCGATAAGAGCAGAGGAAGAATCACCAGAAGCTAAAAGTAGTAAGGGTGATCAGTGACCTGTGCGAAGAGTCCCGTTAGTCAGACACATACGATTCCAATCGCTGAGGTGGCCGGCGCAGCTAAAATAACCACGAAGATTCGACCGATGCATACTACGACGGAATATCATGTGCCGGCCGAGCCTTGCCGAACAACTATGATTACGGATCAGTCTTCCTGACTAAATTACGGAGTTTGACAAATCGGCCGAACGTAAGACAAGACAACCATTTTGTAAGTTTGTCTGAACGGTGAACCGTGAGTCCATGTCCCACCGAGTTCCAGTTTGGTCGTCCGGTTCGTTTGGTAGCGCCTTGTCGGGAGCGAATTTCGAACGCAAGACGCTGCCTGGATATGCCCCCTGGCCGATCACGTCTTTCTCGTGGCACCAGCAGAACCCCAGCCGATTCAACAGTAGATTCATGTGGCTTGCCGCCGTCGTAAGCGTTCCACGACCTGCCCGAGAACACATCAGATCCCTGAAACCCTGTTGTGCCGGGAGCCGCTGGAAGTCTGCGAGAAAAGCTGCGTGAAAGATGCTCGGATTCGAGCGGAGAGTTTCTTACGGATGGTGGGCGGCCGGCTAGTTCTTCCTCTTCTCGTTGAGCTTGGCGGCCGCCTTTTTCTTCATGAGCTGCATTCGGCGTTCGGCAGAGACCATCGAGTTGGGTGGCGGCGCAGCGCCGCCCCCGGCTTTGGCTGAGGACGGTGAGCCGGGTACCGAGCGACCGGAGCCTGGAGCGAACGGTGACGGGTTAGTGGGGGTAGCACACGGACACAAACCTGCACCCTTCCCACCCACCAGCCGGACTGGCGGGTGCCGAGAGGCCGGTCAGCCACATCCGTGGACACTGCGAATGTGCAGCTCTTTCAGCCTTTCTTTCCTCCATGTTTACGATGTCCAACTTCAAAATAAATGCATACCTTAGCTCCCTCTCTTCGCCTTGACACACCTTGGAAATGACAGGCAGGTCAACTGGACAGCTCAGCGTTAACTAGCGAAATGATCGGTATCCTTGGCGGCTACTGTGACTCACCTGACGACTTGTGGCCCTTGCCGGACGACATGGAGCTCTTGCTCATGTGGAGGGATCCCAGCGGCTTGGACGACACCTTGGTCTTGAGCAGGCTGACGCCGGGCGCCGGCCGCGAGCCGGAGGCCAGCGACGAGCCCTGTCAGAGAGGGTGGCGTCAGACATATTCTGATCCTCTCCCCACCCCCAAATGTGAGTGGAGGAAACAGGAAACTGGTCTAGTTACGGAGCGAGCGAAGCGAGCGTAGTCTTTCGTAGATAAACGGAGATTTCTGAGCATGAGCGGCCAAGATTACTTTGAGCGGCCGGCCGTGCCGACGCTTTTGTAACACTTACATCTTAGCAACCACTTGACCGATTTACATGCGGTAATTTTTGTAGGGTAGCTTCATTCTTTCTACCAAGTATTGGACTATTCCCGATGCATGTGGGTGACCCCTTATGCACGTGCCACGTGCAAAACGAAGAGGTGTCAGCAAGGGTCGATTTCAGATCTCGAGAACGGCTAAACCGATTGCGCTGAAATTTGGTACATGGTTAGGGACCGGTTAGAAGAGTGCCGTGCAAAAGTCAATTGGGACCCATTTTGCACATGCACACGTGCAGGGTGCCGCTTCCAGATCTCGAGAACAACTAGGCCGATTGCGCTCAAATTCGGCACATCGCTAGGGACCGGTTAGTAGGGTGCAGTGGACAAGTTAGTTAGAGGTACCCCTCGCAATTTTGCACGTGCAAGACCCACCCTCTCGCTCGCTCCGTTGGTCGCCCCTAAAAACATTTTACTGGTTTATTTCCTACTCATTTCGATTTCACAAGGCGACAGGCGTCGAGAAATGATACTGACCTTGGAATCCTTCTTCGCCAGCAAACTCTCCGACTTTTTGTCCGGCTTGGCTGATGCCGTTACGGTCGGCTTCAACAAGGACCTACTTGAGCCCTGAAACGTAAAAAGAAATGCATTTAAGTAGGTACTTACAGTGATAAATGACGTCAGTATCCAATGCTCAACATAGCCATACTTTCTACGGCATCGAAATCTGTATGATCACACTACGTGGATATAAGATACAAATGCAAAGGTTACCGGCAATGGCGGTGAGTGCGACACAGACAAAACTCCCTGGCCACCCACGGTACTGAGTACTGACCGTCGCCGGCTGCTGCTGGTCGCGGCACGAGGAGCACAGCCACACGGAGCGCGTGTCGCCGCGCTCCTGCTCGGTGATGGCCGGACGGTGGCACTCCTGGTGGTACAGGTTACCGCACTCGGCGCACTCGATCAGCTGGTTACCCGTGCTGACGCCGATGTTTCTGTCGGGAGCCCGGGGAAAACGGTCAGTCAGACGGACCAAACAATGGTCGCGCGTGAAACGAACGGCGGAACGCTATACCAACGAATGCTACAGAACTGGTACTAAACCGCGAGCATGTATATTTCTATCTCAGAGAAATTGGACAAAACAACATTTTAGGTATCCCTCAAACAAATGCGTCCATGCCGGTGTGAAACAATTACGTATGCTACGCGGTATGAAACGTCTTGTCATATTTGAAACAACATTATGATTCGCCTCCACTTCGCAAAATAAATCTTATCTTTAAAAATAACGAGACATAAAAAATCTACGCCAAGGTCTACAAATCAGCATCGCATTCAAAATCGTGTCTGAGCAACAGATATATAAACGAAATAAATGAACTAGAACGGATGACGACATTTTTCCGCATAACACACACATGCGGCAATTGATAAGTCTGGGCCAAAGATGCAAGTGGGAGAGCTATCATTCTATCTCGACGCTTCTAATCAAGACCATGTTCGTCTTTGAAAACATGAGGCAACACCGCTCTGTAAGTGATACCACTCAGATAATGTTTCGCCAGCGTGTCGATAGTCGGTAACGCATGAATGCAAATAATGGCGCAACGTCTTGCCGTAGCTCAAATAAATTGAGCAAACACATTGCTCTTCTCCGGCAGTCGACGCAACTAGATCACGACAGACATTCCTTTACCGATAAAATATTCAGTCGTAAGACTACGAAAACAAAAATCGAAACAGCCGTTGATTATCGTCTGTGGGACATAAGTCCCTTAACGCATGTTAAATTTATGCGTATGCTAATGATTATTGACGAAGCTGCAGAATTAAGCTCACCACAAACCTTGAGGCCGTCCACTTATCAATCACCCCGGGTTTACCGCACCTGCACACAACACACGCCAATTGGTCCATGAAATCCATCTCGAGGCCGGCAGTGTCGTTCAAGTCGGAGTCTTCCGACTTTTTACTGCCGTCCGAGTCCCGAGACATAGTCGGTGAGGGCGTGTGCGATTTGAACGCCACTGGCGACTCGACGCGCGCTCGCTTCGAACCAAACTCCCCAATATCTTCCTTTATCTGTATAAATAGACAGCCACCGTCACGCGAGCAGGGTTGTCAGTCACGCAGATCGTAATGCAAAGGATAGGAATTGGACTGGTAAATGAGTAGGACAAAAGTCATGAGGCTGCGAGATCACATACCAAATCAATGAAAGATGCACCCAACGACACGACTGCCGAGACCAGCAAAGGCGGCCGCCGACCGAAACGGATTTAATGGTGGAGCTGATCTATTATACAATACCTATGCATAAAACACGATAAACGTTAGTAAATGCTTTGCTCCCAAGCAACGACCGTGGCGAGGCAGGTACACCCGTCATACTCGCAAAAAACTCACGAAATCATCAAAACTCCTCGTGTGAATTCGTAACACAAGTGATAACTTCCGTGAATAGAGGGTTCAGCCTGATAATAGTAGCAGGGCTGCTGCGGACTGCACGCACCTTGTCCAGGCCGCGCTTGATGGGCAGCGTGTCGGGCCGGCCGGTGGGACCCGGCGTGGACCGCGGGCTGCGGTTGACCGGCGACAGCTTGCCGCCGGCGCGGCCGGTCCGCTGGCGCACTTCCTCCAGCAGGGCGCGCAGCTGGTCGACCGAGTCGCGCGAGCGCGAGTGCAGCAGCCGCAGGCCGCGCACGAACAGCGGGTCCAGCTCCATTTGGCGCCACTCTGCCGGTCACAGCGACACGTCCAGACAACGAGCGACGTGGCACGAAACATGCGATAACAAGGAAACCTTTCTAAGGAAGTGCCTAAAACATATACCAGCATGACTTATGCTAATAAAAGATTCAAAATGTAGTAACAATGCTTTATATGAATCAAGGTCACATTGCCTTAGTTTGGTGTCTTGATTTTGGCTCTGATTCCCTGCTTTATAGGGATATTTGTTGATAAAGGACTACCTAATACTAAGTATGCATGCAACTATGGTACAGTCAGAGCATCTTACCAAAGTAATATGAACATTCAAAACCACATTTCCAATGCAAATCATCATCAACTACCCATTGTGCCTATTGTAACAATCAGGTTTTTGCACAAGATATGACTTGTGAGTGGTAAATGCAGGAAGAAATAGTGAAAAAAACTGTGAAAACCAGTAGACATCTCTGCAAAACCAGGAACTGATAACATCCTGCTCATGTAACTCAATAAAAAAGCATATAATCAAAACTGAAAAGACTGAAAATGACAAAGTTGAATACAGAAATATGAAAAGTTCATGTCAGATATTTTTCTGCAAAAGCTTTGGAGATGGTGCCTATTCTGCTGTTTTCGCCCAGAATCACAGGTGAGAGCAACACATCAATCAATTGCTGTTGATAAAACAAACCCTTGAATAGAAGAAAATTTGGATTATCTTATTACCCTTTGTTATCAAGGATAAGCAATTGGTAAAAATCAATCAAATTACAGCATTGAGAATGAGAACTAAAAATAGTACCTACTAATCAAATGGCACTGGTCAGCTTCTTTTTTTTTAGAAAATTTAGAAGCTAGTCTTATTCAAAAAGAGTAGATGCCTACCAATTAAGCCTAAAATACAAGGGGAGTGCTAAAATATGATCCTAAAACATTGGTATAAGGTGTTGGCCACCAAGCTGATCTGAAGAGGCTGACTCATAGGCATAAAAATGAATGTCCAAATCACACACTCTGATGCCTTCATAGTAGGACTCTTGGTAAGTTTTGGAAACAAAAAGGAAGCAAATCTGTCACCTTTTGATGACTTTTTCTGTTGAATCAGAATGAAAGCTTCAGGTACCTACTTTCATAGACTAAACAAATCTATCAGTTCATTAAGTGTAGGGTCATACAGGGGCGCGGGAACTACTTTCCGACTGGGGGGCACACTATAATAGAGATTAACCTAGGGTACCCCCAATTCTAGTTTTCTCACCGGTTTTAGGCCACTTATTTTTCACCCCTCGGCTTTTTCAACAAAAAAAGAAAACATTTGCAAAAAAAGTGTGGTATTCCGTCTCAAAGCTGTGGGGGCACCGCCCCCACGGCCCCAGAGTTGGGGGGGCAAGCTGCCCCCACTGCCCCCCCGGCTCCCGCGCCGATGGGGTCATAGCTGGAAATCTGTTGCTGTCCAAAAGAACACTGAACAGTAGACAGCAGCAAAATTGTATGAGCTGCCCAGAAATTTAGCTATGACCTTTAGTGAATAGGAAGTACGGGCTAAAAAAGCTGAAATCAAAAAGCTGAAATATGAAATGTTTGTGGGCTCAGACATCCAAAGCTTGTCTATCAAAATAGGTATTCACTTCTCCATCATTCATCAAATCAATATTTTTGAAAACTCAAAACTTTTGGCAAAATCATATTTTATATGCACAGTGAGCAATAAGCAATTAATTCATTTCATGTTGATTCATTTCTGTTGATTTGACAACAGAAACATCATTTGCCATCCTAGGGTACACAGGATATTTCATCCACAAGTTATTGGAATTCATATTACATTGTCCTTGTATTTCATTGGTTTATGACTTGGATAGGTAGTCAAAATGTCAGCAATTTACACTGGTGGCTCAGGCTAGGGCTGGTCAGCAAGCATTGGTGAAAATTGTCAAGTTTGAATTCGTTTCAGTTCCAACTAGAGCATGACCAATTGAATCCCGCCTTTCAAGGATTTTCTGATAATAAAATGATATAAATAATCATTAAAGTACCTTATAGAGGACCCCAGATCCCAGAAACGCCAGCAACCACCTTCTCCTCTCCACCACGGCTCTTCCCTTGGCTCTTCCTTTGTTTTGTTTTAGCGACTGCAAGAGCAACCTCTCAATCAGTATGCTACCGAACCCTGCGCGCTTGTGACAGTAGCAACTAGTTTTCAACTATTTTCTAGTCTTACTCAAATATTCGACTAACTTTGACAACTATACCAGCACAGTTTATTTTTCTTTTTTCGCGGTAAATGATAAAAATGCATCGCAGTTTTTGACAAAGCTGGTGTTAAATCATTTGAATGTTTCAATAAAGCTATAAATCTAGGAAATCGATGTCGTAACACATTTTAAAAGTTTTTCATTCTGTTTTGAAGCAGTTGAGTATCACGTGAAATATCAGCTGATTTGTTTTGAAATGCTTCTAAAACTCCACTCCACGGTTGTTGCGGTCTAAGGTAGGTGTGTATATTGATTGAATGGCTAATAAGAGTTGAACTATTTAACCTTTTCCCAAATATTTTTCCACTCTTCTAAATAAATTAAATTTATCTATACACGGATAGTTTTCAAGCCTCTTGAATAAGCCTTGCTGTGGTTACAGTTTGTGTTAGAAGTTTGAGGTTGTGAGTTTTGTAGGCATTTAAGTTAGTTTATTTGATGCATGATCTAATATTTTCGTGTGCATGGAATCCTCTTTGAACTCCACACAAACTCACAAGACTGGGGACTCTAATAAGTTATGTATGGAGCTTTCAGAGGTTCTCGCAGTTTCACCCACTCAAAGCTATGGGACAGGTTATTTCATTTCAGTAGGCGGAACTATGGTCAAGCGTACCCATTTTCGGGAACGCATTTTCGTTCCCATGTTTGGGAACGATAAACCCAAATATGGGAACGCCATGTAGGCATTATTTAAAACAAGAAAAAGAACCGTTAAATGACGTCCAAAAAATATAAAACGATCGTGAACCGCCTGATAGTTGTCTCAATATTGTTGGGAAAGAGTTTGATATTGTAAGGCCCATCGTAGTTTCAAATCGTTCCCCTATTTCTAAAGCAGTCCATCACCCGGGCCGCGAGCCCAAATTTGGGAACGCTCTCGTACACTGGCGCTGCAAGCGTTCCTTATTATGGGAACGGCGTACCCAAAATTGGGAACGATTTCACCGACGCCTTTCAGGGGCTCTTTTCATTAACAAGCATCACGTCCAACGCCGCAAATTATTGTTAACGCAACAATCATCAGATGACCTTTCCGGCAAGACCGTTGCATGTTTCGCCCGGTCTTCTGCGCTTTTATTCCCGTCGATCTCGCAGCGGGCACGCCCCCCTCTGCAGGATTACGTAATCCACAACGCTCAGCGATGTTCAACAAGGTCTTCCATACCTATATCCACCGTCCGCGCCGAGGGTGGAGACATGTCAAGCACCTGTCTGCTAATCACCGAGAGTTGACGAGCACAAGAAGTATCCAAAAATGGGAACGCTGAATATGTTACACCCTCAAAACACCTAGTCCCAATGAAAATCTAGTTTTTTCCTTTCTTAATGAGTGTAAGTGGCAAAAGGCCTGGTAGGATGGGCACGAGGAATGATCGAAATCAGCATAAAAATTATAAATAAGCCACACAGAGCGACCTATATCAGAGAAAATCCCCCCAAACGATCATGCTTAAAAACGCCGAAGACAAAAACCACGCTCATGACGCTGCTTATAAAACAACGCTAACAGCTAGCATCCAAATAAAATATGTCTTTAGGGACTGATAAAATACAGCTGAATGATTTTAAACCACTGAAACTGAGTTTACAACAGTAGTTCGGTAAAATCACTGACGTTCTACGCGGTCGATCGCCCCGACACCAAAAGTCAACAATATTACCTCGGGACTGTCCGCGTGTTCGCTTGCATATGTCAGCATCTGGTGTCGCTAGAATGAAACTTCATAACCAGGCGAAAATTATTATACTTGACCTCAAAATGTAAAAAATGCTTCATTTTCCTTAAAATTGCATGTTAAATGTCGTATAACCCATATTTCCACCATTCTGTCATTTTTAAAAAATCATTAAAAATATCATTCCACGGTCAATTTCCTTGTTCCACGGTCAGATTAAAGATAACTTTATGGAGATTTAGTAGATACTTAAATCAGCGTGCACTTTTTTGAGACGTGATGCACTTTTGAGTTTTAGTGGGCGAACGGCCGAAAAATTGCCTTCCGTTCTCATAAATGGGAACGCCCGTTCCCATATTTGGGAACTCCGTTCCCAAAAATGGGAACGTTCCTATATTTGGGTACTCATGACCATAGTTCCGCCTACTGATTTCAATTTTTAAGTTGAAATTACTGGAATTACAGCAAATCACTAATAATTCTACCGATTGAAATAATGGGACAGTCAGACTTATGTTCCAGCACTGTTTAGTTTCCCGTAACAAGAGGTGTTGAGCCATACCTGCGCCCCACTGGGGGGGGGGGGGGCAGAATCTGCCTCACTTTCTTTTGTTGCCAATAGTTTCTTAGTAGAATTAGTCAGCAATGTCGAACTTCCTGTACCTCATCATTCGTAATTTTGACATGTTCCTTGAAAATTTGAGCAAAGTCTGCCTGAATGTTTTTGAAACAATGATGTTTTAGTGAAGTCATGTTATTCTGCTTTTGCTTATAAAAATGCTTTTCTCCAAATGCTCACTTCGCCCCGTGAGTTGATTCCTTAAAAACTAAAGATGTTAGAGGCATTTAGAGAAATGCAGTTTTTCAAGACATAACATAAAGCATGATTGTGATTCTACTTTGTCTCAAATGAATATCTCCTTTTCTACCTATTTTTTTTTCTGTAAAAGAAATGATCTTTTCTGAAAATCATTATGAAATCCAAAATTTTAAGTTTCTTGAAAAAGGGATGCATGCTAGAAAAGTACTGTCTGGCGTCTGCTCATCTAGTATCTATGTTCCAGCTTAGAAGAATCATTGAAAAATGTAGGAGTTACAGGAATTATGATGCCATGACTCATATTAAAAAAGGAAGCTCTAGACCATGTACAAGAACAGCAATGGCATCATTCGATTTGTTGTGAAGCACTACATCAGATAGATGCATTTTTGGGGCCTTACCTAACAATCAATTTCAAAATTTGACCTCACTTGACCTGACCTTGACCTGACCTTGATGTAAACTTCATCCAAATATGATCCATATCACTAATTGAGTATTCCCATTGAATTTTATGAAGAAAAAAATTTCCCATAAAACATTTGCTCCACATATCCTTTTTTATATTTCATCTTTGGTGACCTGACTCAGACTGACCCTGAGTCCTGACCTTGACCATTGCATGACATTGCATGCAATGCATCTTGTCTTTGTAGCTTAAGAACAGGTTTTGGGCAATCAATTGCAGGCCTTTCTTCACCAACTGCTTTCCAAAGGCAATAATGTAGAAACTTGTAGACCTGACCCTTGACCTGACCTCTGACCTACTTCGGCATTTTTTTTTTTTGTTTTTTAGGTCTGTCTTGTTGAGAGCTTTCGATTGCTGCTTTCCACGTCTTTCTACGACCATCGGTTCGAAAGTGAAACCGGGGGCAGAACTCCCCCCCCCCCCAGCATGTGGCTCTATGGCTGAATAGCCCAGCTGGGCACGGGACATGAAAAGGTCATAAAAATGGCCTTACGTCAAAGTCCTAACTCAGGTGTACTATGTTCACAGTGTTATTCACCAGCATTGTCTGTGTTTGTTTATCATATCTGACGGAGGCTCCATTTGCAGCACCACTCGCCAGCTGCCATGGAGTACTGGCTCATTTCTGCCCCCGGTGAGAAGACCTGCCAGCAAACCTGGGAGTCACTGCAAAATGTTACCGCCAAACAAGGAGACCTCTCGACTAACTGGAAGTTCCATATTCCAGACCTGAAGGTGGGTCGATGCTAGGTGCAATGCTTTTCGTTGCAGGCCTTTACCATACCAAACTGCCGACGATTTGTAAGGTGCCTGTGATATCAGTTACATGATCACAGTGAATAGTTGGTACAATGTCGACTTTAACAAATGTGACACTGAACAGATGTTCATATCCGGGACTTATCATGAAACGGGAGCCCGGGGGATGGTGAGTGTCCCGGGCTGCTTTAAATTGTCGGTGAGCCATTTCTGACTCCGAGACGCCACCAGGTCGGCACTCTCGACCTTCTGGTCGGTCTCTCCGAGGACCTCGGCAAGCTGGACTCCTTCGTCGAGCAGGTGATGAAGAAGGTCTCCAACTACCTGGGTGATGTGCTGGAGGACCAGCGCGACAAGTTGTCGGAGAACCTGCTGGCCAACGGGGGTGAGCGGGCGCGGCGGAGGACAGTCCGCGGGGACGGGGGGGGGGGGGTAATTATCGTTCCCTTGCAGCGGACTGCGGAGGTGTGCCGGCCGGCCGACTCCGTATGTAGTTGTATCCCGACGATGTCAGCCGGCGGCTGCGGCTTTAGAATGCACCGCGTCTAACGGTGAATCTGGTAAAACTTGACGATGATTAAACGATGATTTAATGTAAAGGACACCTCTTCTAGTACTGGTAGGCCGCCATAACTCGACTAGAGTAGCTGCAACGAGTAATATTTACCGAGATTACGATATTCGATCTCTGAAGTCATTGTGCGTTCCTAGCACATTACAGAGCTGGGCATTGCGCAACTTAGGTCCGCAACTCCGCAACTCCGCAACTAGCGGACTACCCTCATGAGAGCGGAGTTACGGATCGGCTACCGAGCCCCAAAAAGTTGCGGAGTTGCGAGTTGCGGAAGCGAAAAATTCTAAAGCGCAACCGCTACCGGGGCCGCTACCGAGATACGGGATTGAAGCGAGATACAGGTTCCAGGACAAGTTCATTGTGTTTATCTCGTCAAGACTAATCAATTGATATGCAACATGACCTATTTGGGTCAGGTCGTGACCTTGAACTGAAGTCAAATTTTAAATTTGACCTTTCGAGGTCATCTTATATATCATTGATGGCCTCGAAACGACGCGCCTTGGTGGAGAAATGCTATGGCGATTAGATTATTGACCTAGCTAAATTATGTTAGAAGTTATGCCCGATAAAAGCCGTTTTCACGAGTTAGAGCGTCTGAAGCTGAAATTCATCAAAATCCGGGAAAATTGGGAACATTTTCACTTTGATGACCTCTGGTGACCTTCAAAAGGATGCAGTGCTATGTCCTATAAGACATAGCACTGCACTTCAGGACGAAAACTGATAAAACATAGGCCTAATACCTAAACCTAATAGAGATGGGTAGCGGAGTTGCGGAATAGCGGAGTTGCGAGTTGCGGTTTCAAGATCTGAAAAATAGTTTCGGAGTTGCGATTGCGCTTTGGCTACCTCTGGTTGCGGAAGGTAGCGGTAGCGGTTTCCAAATTTCGGTAGCGATGCCCACCTCTGGCACATTACTGACGATGATGTCTTCTTTCCCTGTGTGCTTTCAGTTGACCTGGCCACGTACATCACCCGCTTCCAGTGGGACATGGCCAAGTACCCCACGAAGCAGTCGCTCAAGAACATCTCAGACATCATCAGCAAGCAGGTGTCGCAGATCGAGAGTGACCTCAAAATCAAATCCAACACCTACAACAATCTGAAGAGCAATCTGCAGAACATTGAGCGCAAACAGACGTGAGTTCTTTGACCGGTGCTGCGACGTTGGCAGTTGTTCTCTGCCATCGACCGCCGTCATTGAACTCCCTACCAAGTCCTGACGAATACAGTAACGCTCGTTTAAAAATTGCACTTGAGCTCTATGCTTGGCCCAGCCCAACTTATCTGACCTTACCTGACCTCTGTTCTCTAGGGGCTCTCTGCTGACGCGAAACGTGGGCGACCTGGTGAAGAAGGAGCAGTTTGTGCACAACTCCGAGTACCTCACCACGCTGCTCGTGGTCGTGCCCAAGTAGGTTCGCCCGACCCGGGCCATTACTGAACACAGGAGTGGGTAGGATAGTTTGCTGTTTACCGTGCTTAGTGCACACATCACTCTCATTATCTCTGGGCGTTATTTATTAGACGATTGGAGTATCGTAGCTTCGTGGACGTACGCATAATTATGCTTTTTGCTCTTTGCGTCATCTTTTTAATGAAAAGCGGCCTTTGCGAACCCTCGCTCGTCCTTTTTTTGCGAGATCTAACCCATGATACATACCTAAATGAATGATGTGTGTGTGTCACTGTTCGCTGTTTCGCTGGGAGCTTTGCGTCTTACGCTACCGGCAGTCGGCACCATACATTGTTTAACGAGACTGTATCCCGCCTGCGGTCAGGATGCACTATCAGGACTGGCACAACAAGTACGAGCGTCTGACGGACATGATCGTGCCGCGCTCCACCCAGCTGGTGTTTGAAGACAACGACCACGGCCTCTTCACGGTGTCGCTGTTCAAAAAGGTGGTGGACGAGTTCAAACAGAAGGCCCGGGAAAACAGGTCAGTGGCGGGCGGGGAGGGCGCAGCTGCGTCAGATGCCTGTAGCCGTGTGGGGAGGATGGGTGGTGGGGTTTCGTTACTCCCAGTGATCACTGACTTCTCCCGTGTCCCGTGGGATAATTTCTGTCTGTCAGGCTGTCTGAGGCCTGAGCTCTGTCATACATTCCGGTTATATCCGTTTTGACTGCGGTGGATCAGCCGCGGGGCTTGCATGTGGACAGCTGTCACTGTGGAACGCTAAGGAAAGGCCTAGCGAACGAGGGCTGGTGAGATATCGAGGGCTGTCCCTCTCCCCGTGCCACCAACCGACCGCCGCCGGCACCCTCCGCTCCCAGGTTCGTGGTGCGCGACTTCACCTACAACGAGGAGGAGCTGGCGGCCGGCAACAACGAGTACTTCAAGCTGGCCTCGGAGAAGAAGAAGCAGCTCGGCCCGCTGGTGCGCTGGCTCAAGGTCAACTTTGGCGAGACGTTCACCGCCTGGATCCACATCAAGGCGCTACGGGTGTTTGTCGAGTCGGTGCTACGGTGAGGCCCGCCGCCGCCGGCTGAATGGATCGCTGGGGGACTTAGACCGGGAGGGGAGGGTCGCACCCGGGTCTGGGCTCGTTTGGCTCGTTGGTAGTGTAAGCCCTCTGGTAGTTGACTCCGTTTCTGCCGGGCTGCGACTCTGTCGTTTTCCAATGCGGACAAGGTGTCTTTGTACGGTGGGCGACGTATGTAGCCACATGCGGTCACCGTCTAACCCAGTCAGATAGACGCTACCACCAGCAGCTAATCTCCCGTCCCCGCTCGCACGCAGGTACGGCCTACCGGTGAACTTCCAGGCAATGCTGCTGCACCCGCAGAAGAAGAACCACAAGCGACTGCGGGAGGTGCTCAACCAGCAGTACGCCCACCTCGACTCCACGGCGTCGTCCGGAGACAAACACGACGTGAGTAGCGCACATACCCGTCATTTTCCCGATGGATATGCTACCAGGGATGTCTTGCGACTTGCGAGTGACACGCCGTGTAGTTACGACTCCAACCGGGCTGAATATGCTACTAGGTGTTTAGGACTAGCAAAAATAAAAATGATATCTAGAACGTCTATAAATACTATTTATACTGACGTCCTAGATATTATTTTTATTGTAATATCGGTAGTAATTGATGTTTCAACGATACAAAATTTGGTGCTATAAAAGGCTTGCTGTAGGATGCGAAATCAGGGTATCTTTGTAGGGTCAGATCAAACGTTGCCAAATATTCAAGTGAGCTTAGATCAAAGTGTTTTAAATCATTTTTCACCGGCGGGAGTCGCGCCTCCCCCAACTGACGATCGGTCCACCCTCGCATCTATAGGTGATGGACATGCCCGGCCTCGGCTTCGGCACCGGCGAATATTACCCCTACGTGTACTTCAAGATAAATATCGACATGGTTGAAAGAATCTAGAGACTAGTGTGTGCTGAACGCGTGCTAGCTGATGTATATTGAGCGCGTTGTGCTGTAAATACGTGCATGAACGCCGTCAATGGAATCCATATGTAATCTATGTGGTGGATGATTTGCCACGAATGTGCAACGTTGAGTAGATGGCCATAGGTGGCCAAATGTTGTTTACTTATTCGGGAATATTATAATTGAACATTTGAGACATTTTACCGAAGTTGTTCGGTTCGATTAGACATTCCAATTTGCGTCTGGCAGCGGGCCGGGTTGGTGCCATTCCTGACGGTCGACGTCGCCACTAGCAGTTGTCCTCGCATGCCTTGCATGATGGTGGCAGGTGGCGCTACGTGTGGTCAGTAGAGTGCATATAGATGGCGCTGCAGTCGTACAATCAGCCGCCGAGCGCCGCCCAGCTGTGTTACCGTTTTGTAGGTGTGTGGATGGAGGGAAGCGAGAGATATCCGTGCCGGTGCGTCGTCAGTGATCGTGTGTATCCAAATACGCGAAATAAACTGTACATTGTATGTCCTGAAGGCCGATCATTGTTTATATTTTGACGAGCAGTTGTATGTGACATACGTCTTCCGTACTTCCCGGTTCGACTCGATGCGCGTCGTTAGTACAGCTCTAGCTTCTATTCTATCAAAACATAGGCCGTGGGTGTTTACAGGGACGCGGTCAGCGACGCGCCGGCGTGGTTCTGCTGTCCTGAATACAATAATTCCCTACCACACGCAGTGGAACTAGTGTCCGGTCCGGTGGACCGACCAAGGAGGGGAGCGACTGTGGCGGAACTGAACACTGCTGTTTGTTTATCGGAATTTTAGGGCGCGTCTGTCGTCTACAGCAGTGGTCATTTTGCGTCTAGAGGACTGGCTTGGTTACTCGGGTCCAGTCATGTTCACACGGGCAAGACACGCACAAGCGGACCCCGGCCCGGCTCAGTCGAGAGGAAACTCGTCAGGTATGGCGTCTCTGCCAGGACTCTGGGACTATCGACACTGTCCCAGGCTGACCCACACCAGCCGACTGGCACCCCGGCTCGCCCTGCTGATGAGGTGCCCGACCCCGTCGCCCGGTGCTGACCCGTGGAAGCTGGGGCGGCCGGCGACACTCCATCCATCTCGGGGCGCCCCTCGCGTCCCAATCAGCCGGTAAATTACGGTAATAAGCTCCGGCAGAGGGGGAGGTGGGGAGGGGCCATCCGGTGTGCGTTCCAGTGGAGCAGTGGGCACGGGGATGGACCCAGGGCGTGCAGTGGGGAGACGACTTCGGTTGGACTGTGTTTTCTGCAGAGCCAACAGGGAGGCATCGTGCGCCCTCCGTCTTCGGTGTGCCTGCCGTCTACCTACTAACGCATCAACAAATCACTATGCGATCGGAGACCGGTGTGAAATATAATAGCAATGGAACGTTAGCCTGCTAGACAGTAGGTACATAGACAGCCCGTCAAACGAACATTTCTAGCAGTTCGATGGAATCTAGCAGGCTCGGCGACGACAGAATTATCGCTATGCACTTATGGAAAAGGCAAATCACTGCATTATTGCTACAAAAAGGTAAATATTATCGAATACCTCAACTACAAAAAAAGTTCGATAAACCAAATAACGATATTAAGCTTTTATCGCCTGGCTCTGATCTTCAGCTCCTATCGTCTGGTTCTATTATTATCAAATAAATATGATGATGATGATGATTATGGAGACCCGAAACCTTCACCCGTCACCGTATAGGTACCTAACGGTTTCACGGATCTCCATCAGCCACCAAATCTACCAGATAGCTCCGGCCAATGGCACTTCCCTGCTGACGTGATATACGTGCCATGCAGCCCATATCTCCAGCTCGGCGGTCCGTGCAGCTGCAGCTCATAGCTGGGACTCCGCGGTCCATGCAGCTCATAGCAGCGACTCGGCCGGCCGCGAAGGCTGCAGGTTTGACCGGCTGTCTCCCACGCTGACCGCGCCTTCCGCTCCGTAAACGGACGGGCCTGTGCGAGCAGTGCCACGCCGCGCCTGACGCCCCGGGCGGTTCGGCGTGAGCGGCGGCGGCGGCGGCGGCGGGCGGCGGCAGTCAGTGGCGCGCAGCCGTCGGAAGCACGTCGGTGAGCGACGGACGGTGTCGCAGTGACCGCGACGTGAATCAGAGTGCGGGTGCCGGCAGTGAATGGCCGAGCGTTCAGCGTTTTGGTGCTAGTCGCCTGTGCGGCGTCGTGGTCTCCAGAGTTTCGGTGTAGCGGCAGTGTCTGCCGGCCGGCCAGCGTCGGTTGAACGGTGCTGTTCTCCCAGCGAGAGGAGCGCTGCTCGGTCTGGGTGGTTTTGAGTGAGAGGGTGCCCGACCTAAAGCTGCAGCGCTCCTTTTCTTCAGCAGCCATAGGAACTGTGAGGAGGGTCGGAGCCGAGAGGAAACAGCATCACAGACTCGTCGCGGTGATACACCGGAAGAACGACGGCGCCATGTCAGGTGAGATATCTGCAGGTGCGTGGATTGGGTGTCAGTTTAGAGATAATTGACATTCCCTGTCAGCAGCGTGATACTATATGTTACATACTCACATACCACGTACCTACCTTTTTCCTAGCGGGCCACACGGCAAGCCGATAAAAGCGCATTTCGATTTCCATCCTAACAATATCTTGGCCATGCTATGGTAGCCATTTATCTAGGCTAGATAGCTCAACTAACAGATTGAACCGTTCTTATCGAAACATGAAAAATTGTTGGAATTATTAGTTCTTATCATTTTATTAATCTTATCTCTAAACGGTTTTCCGGTCGCTCTCCTTTTGCTTTGGAGTCCTCGCAAGCATGGACGCTTAGGAACGTCGTGAAAGGTGGGCTGCACAGTTATTGCGAGTTCACGGTAGAAATTCACGATAGAAACACATTTAATTAACGCTTTTGTCTTTACTCTTTTTGCCAAATGGTCACTATTTTATAGTTGGATAAAAGGAAGTCTGAAAAGTGAACGGGCCATTTATAGTCTCATATCTATTTCTCTACCCGGTTCCTATGTGAATGCGAAGCGAAACAAAGGCCCTATAAGAATGGAATGTTACGTAAGTGCGCACTTAGACACCGGCCCGAATACCGTCTGTCCAGCTCACATTCTATGACGCATATCCGGACTACTGAGTCTGTCCAGTGTTTTATCACCGCCCCAGCGACTATTGGAGGAAGCGATCCACGACCGCAGTCTTCAGAGGAACCGCTGGTGACTCAGGCGGCGCGCCGTCAGCGATTGAGTGCAAGCGGCGGCTGCCGCACCCCGAGAATTAGTGGTCACTAGTCACTGGGAAGTGAGCAATTGGGCACCGGACACGCCGCTCAGCTACGTGGGCGTCAGGGGCAGCCTGGGTGCCACTGCACGTCACCCAGTTGGCGCCAATGTTCATGGATACTGTCAGTCTCCCAGGCTTCAGTGACCTTGCACGGCGGAACGACCTGACGAACGCCCGATTATGGGAAAGTCGAGCCGACTTCTCTATGAATTGCTTCGGTGTCCTTTGGTCAGTGGTTGGTTCCGTCACCTTTGGTGGCTTTAAATCACCTTGGCACTATACATAACCGTCACGCGACACGTGAAGTGGACACGTTTCAATTGCACGGAATTATGGGAGTAGAACACCAGACATAGGCTGACCTGGTTAGAGGCGTTCTGGAACCTTGACTATGTGTCTCAGCGCATGGGACCATGCTGGGAACCGGTAGATACTAGTTACCATAACCAGCTGGTGGTTACATTCGCCCCGGACCGACTCATGTGACGTGACATTCACATGTTTGGTCACATGTAATGGATGTAAGACACCCTGATAGTGTCCGTTCAACATTCAGCGACTTATTTCAGCCTGTCCGTATCGAATGATTAAACGGCTCCCCGATTGATGCGAACGAGAACCAATACATTTGAATAAGCTCTTGCACGCGAGTTTCTGACTGCCGAAAGAGTTTAAACCTTCAGCCTGTACCTAACTGACGTCCACTCCAACCAGCATTGTCCTGAATTCGTGGCCCGCTTTGTGTATTCGGTCAGTGACCGGCTGCAGTCATGACCATCGTTTCTGCGCGTAGGTTCCGGCAGTGGTCTGCAATCAGGTTTCATGACAGCCCACTCGACCGGTCAGGTTTGGTCAGGAGTCCGCCGGCCCCGTCGGATCTCGCCGGACGAGGGTGCGAGCTGACCCATGTCCCTGGGCCAATGGAGAGGCCGACTGCGTGCCGCCGCGTCGGATCTTGCCGGTCAGAGAAGAGCTGACCCATGTTACTGACCCATGTGAGAGGCTGGTACCGCTGCGTCGGATCTTGCCGGTCACAGAAGAGCTGACCCATGTCCCCGGGCCCATGTGTGAGAGGCCGGGTGCCGCCGCGTCGGATCTCGCCGGTCAGAGAAGAGCTGACCGATGTCCTCAGGTCCATGTGAGAGGCTGAGAGGCCAAGTGTGTGCCGCCGTGACGCCGCTACCTGTCACGCGTCGGTGAGAATGTATGTGACAAGCAGTCACTGCACGTAAAGTGAAAGCTATTCACCTCTCAGAGAGCCGCGGCGGGATCAATCTCCGAACGCAGGCCTTATGCAACCGGCGGCGGCGGAGAGGGCCGCGGCGCGCCCGCCGAGAATACCGTTACGACATGACCGGTCATTACACCCGTCACAGCCGACCGCTGCCGCCGGCTGTATATATTGGCCCCGGGGAAACTGATCGGAGGGAAACGGCTGTATATATTTGCCCCGGGGAAACTGATCGAAAGGAAACGGCTATATACATTGGCCCCGGGGAAACTGATCGGAGAGAAACGGCTGTATACGTATTGCCTATTGGCCCCAGGAAACTGATCGTAGCTTGCTGGATGTACTGGCCCAAGGGAGACTAACCGAAGGAAAACGGCTGCATATATGTTTCGGCCAGGGGAAACTGGTCAGAAGAAAATAGCTGTAGGTACTCGCATTCATTGGGCGCGCAGAACTGATCGAAGGGAACGAGCTGCACATATTGGTCCCATGCGGTCGGTGACCCATTTAGGAACTCCTAATTGCCGACTGTATGCAGTATAACGTATACCTAATGCATATTGGCACCTGTGGCAGTAGCAAGGACTGCTCCGATATTTTACAAGCAGGTAAACCGGCCGTTTGGTTCGTAATCAGATTGGCCTTTTAATGAAAATAATGTCTGCGATTTCTTAGCCGGCTCTCATGGCTATTTTCGGTCATCATTGTCACTCGTCTCATGGGATTTCCAATTTAGGGGCTATTGGGCCAGACGATTCTTGATTGAAGACATGGCCTCTCACAGGATATAAATCCCTCTACATAATTGGGAGAAAGGGAGAGCACTTCTGTTCGTTCAAGGCCTTGCTTTTATGGCTGGGACTATTGTTACGCCATTCTAGAGAAGTTTTGCACATACATTATATCCACCCTCATTCCCTCAGTCTGGTAGCCTTGAAACGGACGACCTGTTCATCCGCACTAAAATCCAATTTTAGACTTAACAACGAGCAAAAACTGCTGAAGGACCGGCCCATAGATCACGAGTCTGGCTGGTGCCGTCACCGGGACCAATAGGGACAGAGGGACCGAGCCGATGGTAATCGCTGGAGGACTGTAATGGGAAGGGCAGCCCCGCCCGGCGCCCCACCTCAGCTCAAGGGTCATAATTCAGACCCCATCCCTAGAACCGACGCGGCCCTGACCAGTGACCACGACCAACCCTCAGTGGCTGCCATATGCACATTGCACAGGTGCATGGGTGCCCGCGACTAGATCGTCTGTAGTTCTACTTCTGTCTGTAGGTCCACCCGTTAATGTTTGTCGGTCTGTCTTTCCGTCGATTTGTCTGTGTCCTCCTGTATGTTTGTCCATCGACTATTCCTGAATCCTGGTCCGTTCCCTGCATTCCTGGCGATCTCCCGACCAACTCTCTCCTCTTCCTCTCTCCTCTCTCTCTCTCTCTCTCTCTCTCTCTCTCTCTCTCTCTCTCTCTCTCTCTCTCTCTCTCTCTCTCTCTCTCTCTCTCTCTCTCTCTCTCTCTCTCCTTCTCGTCTGATCTCGACCGCCATTGGTCCCTTCCCGAAAGTTGGTCCTCGGGACAGGCGGGGGTGGGCGGAGATGTTTATTGTTTATCTACTGAGGAACGCGCCTCAGGCACTCCTTTCCTTCCTATCCGCCAGGCTAATCAGAATTGATGGTAGACTGTTGGTCCGACAAGATTTTCTGGAATGTTCTCCACCTCTGCCTTACTGTATCTTTCAATTCTCTTCTGCTTCTTCCATGTATTATTCCTTCCTGTCTGGCACACTCGCCATCTCGCTCACTCCTAGCCCTATACCTATCTCTTTTCCTCCTCCTCTCTCTCTCTCTCTCTCTCTCTCTCTCTCTCTCTCTCTCTCTCTCTCTCTCTCTCTCTCTCTCTCTCTCTCTCTCCTGGTTTCTTATCGACATCACTTGTCTCCATCTTCTCCCGACTCCCTCTCCTCCTCTCTGCTCTTCTCCGTCCCTCTCTCCCCTCTGTCCCGGTGCGGTCCGTGCCGTCTGTCTATCGGTGCTCGGACCGTGTCGCCGTCCGGAACCTCTCGAGTGACAGCTGCAGCCGCCGCTCATTGTCTGACAGAGCTCGTCCACTGTACCGGAGACCGTTTCCCTATCTGCCATTGTTCTCAGCAGTAGAGAATCTGTGTCGGGATCCTTGTTATCAGATGTAGCCTAAATCTGCCGCATGTCATGTGCTTGGGATATGGACGGCGTCGTCTATACTCTAGAAGGTATGTACCTACATATATGATTTCAAGCTTTTACGATTAGACATTGTTATTCGATGTATGTTTTTACTTTTTTTTCGGCTACTAGTCGTTTTGCCGAGAAAAAAAATCAAACGACTAGTAGCCGAAAAAAAGGTACATCGAATTACCTACCTATACTTATGCCTATCGTGTACCTACGTCCTAGTTGCCTGCACCCCCCGCATATATAGCCAACATGTTTCAACAAACTTTATATGGCACCGGTATAAAGGCAATCCACATAAATATTTAAAATCTTAAGAAATTCAATCAATTTTTTTTTTTTAAATAAGCTATTTTATTGGCCATGTGGTGGACACCTGCAAAACAGTCATCATCACACATAGTTATTTGGTCACTTGTCATTATTATGTGGCACTCAATCGTCGAGTCATTGCCGTGATTATCGGCCAGTCCTGACCACATTACCGGGTTGTTTCGGGGAACCATTGAGCCCAGTACACGGTATGGACGACGGCCGTGAACGGGCGCTCGATGCCGACAAACAGTATCGATAATTCAGCATGGGGAGTGGGGACGCCACGGCGAGTTGTCTGGGAGTATAGGCACGTCGTCAATGTCACGGTCGTTCTGTGTCGATTTGGTGTGTAATTCGACCAATGCTGGACTGAACACAGTGGTCAGTGGTCGCTGGTCACTGGTCAGTCACAGTCGGTCTGAGGTAGACCGATTTTCCTTCCAGGCAGATTGGTGGAGGTCCATAAGAGGGTCGGTCCATTGCTATTGTGAGGCGACAAACTAATCGGTGAAATACTTGTATTTCCCTTCAACATGTCGATTTTGGTGGGAGATTGGTCAGTGATAAGTTTTGCTCGACAACAGCCGGTCCGTTGATTGCAGCAAGAGTTCACCTACTTCTCTAAAAAAGACGGTCGATGCAAGGCAGATCGAGTACCCACGCGCGTGTATGATCATTGATCAACACCACGTGCCTATCATTGATGTAAATTCTTCCCAGAACCCGGTGCTGCTCCGGGAAAACGGTACACGCTATGCAAGTGACCCGGTCCCGGTCGACTGCGTTGGTGGATTTCGACAGGAACTGATCGGGACGTTCCCGGAAAGAATGGTCGGCTGAGGCGGCAGCGCTCCGTCAGCGAGGATTATCGGAAGGGAACGATGACGCAGCGCGGAAAGACGCATGCACGTGTGTGATTATGCATTTCACAGAAACGTATCATCATTAACAATGGGCGCAGTGGCATGACTGATACTGCAAAATGAGACGAATGAGTAATGAATAGCGGATAACTCAAGTATGGTATTAATCATGCTGAACTAGAGATTACAGCAGGCCTGCCCGATCCGAATTTGCAGCGGACTTTTGTTGATTGCCTAACGTGTACTCGCTACCGCTCATTGAGATTTCCTCCGAGCCGGAGAGAGTGCCAGTCACTGCCTCTGGCATGAGATGACGGTCAGACACACACGCACTCCGCGTTGTGTGTGTGTGAGAGGGAGGGGGGGGGGGGCAGAACGCGCTCTGGTGAGAGGAAGCGGTAGCCAAGGCCGGAGACTGACCACGCGTGCAAAACTCCAAGCCCTCCGGTCGTCATGCTTGTCCCTTTCTACAGCCTGAAGCGATGCCGCTGACCAGCCTGCTTGGCGCAGAAAGCCGACGCTTTGGGTCCTCCGACTGGAACGCCTTTGCATCCGACAGGTTACTATAGTCCGGTCAGGACTGGGATCGGTCCTGGATGACTCTCCAGGTGAAAGTTGCGACCGCTGCCTGTGGCTGGAGGGGCGGCGACGGCAGCTGGGCACTGAGAGCTCACGTGGGTGCTCGAGGGATGCTCTCAGAGAAACGGTTCCTCTGTCACGTGGGTTCTGGAGCGGTGCTCTCTGAGAAACGGTTTCTCTGCCCGGCTGTAAGTATAGCGACCCTATCTCTCCTGTTCAGGGACGTATGTGAAGGGTATACACAATGCCGGTTTTTGCCTCCCAGAATCAGAATGGACAGAGCACAGTGGCAGTGCTGGTTGTTTCTTTCCGATTGAGACGCGTATTGCGGAACCAGAGGCTTTCCCACTCCCAGCGTTTGTTTGGGACTTGGGAGAAGCAAAAACACTGTCTCTCATAAAGGCTCACAGTACAGCCGACACAATGAACAAATAGTCAATGAAGAAAGACATGGAGACGCATGAGGGCACAACAAAATCACCCGCCGTTTGTTTATAGTGTATCCTTTATACACCGCACTGATGTATTACAAAAAGGTAGGCCACTGTCTCCGCACCGTCATGTGTCAACGAGAAAAGCAAACCGCACGATAATTCTCATGGACTCGTCAGTTAAAAACCCGGGCATGCATCAGCGATCGTACTGAAATTTTTGACATCAAACTGGTCATCCTTCACGGACCGTTTCAGTGGACATTGGTCAGCTTCTTGGTGATCTGCTAAATAGAGCGCGACGTTAACAATAATATTCCCTTTAACATGCAATAACAATTAAAAGCAACTTCATTATTCACCCATTCACCATATCAAAAGCCTTGCGGTAAATGTGCTCCATTAAGCATTTGCTGTCGTAGAAAGCGTGAAGGTGACCAGTCCCAATTCAACCACAAACCTTGAATTGTGTCCCCAACAGCAGTTGCAAAACACGACCGATTTCGTTAAATCACGTCAGAAGCAACGCGGGTGTCGTGACGTAACTCACGACTCAATCACAAGTCACAATTGTGTGGCACTGAACGTTCCGCGCTGAACAGTTCAGGTCTGTGGGGTGGGCTTCGGCGTCTGTCTATCTGTCTGTCTGTCTGTATGTCTGTCTGTCTGTATGTCTGTCTGTCTGTATGTCTGTCTGTCTGTACGTCTGTCAGTTCGTTTTGTTTGTTCATTTGTTTATTTGCGTATTTGTTTGTTTCTTCCTTCTTTGTTTGTCCGTTTGTTTGCTTGTTTGTTCACTTGCCTACCTGTTTGCTAATGCATACTTATCTTTTATTTCTTTGGTTCGGTTGTGTGTCTGTCTGTTCGGCTGCCTGTCTGCTTGTGCATTTGCGTTAATTGGAACACCTCGCTCCCTCAAGTAGTCTAATCGTGTATCTGGAGACGCTCAGCGAGGTTTCATACCTGTAAGAAGTGGTTATTTTATCAGACGGGCGGTCTCAAACCCGTTTACGGTCCACGGTCACGCCCTGCATAACAGTCCGGTCCGGCACCGTCTAGGTCCATACTCTGATGACTGACCGGTGACTGATTAGTCACAATGTTGGGACACACATCAACACGCTGATGCCGTTGCTGGTGCTGGCACAGCATCACATCAGGTCAGTGTTTCTTTGCCACGCTTAGTGCATAGTAAGCTGGTGTTGACCGCTAATTTATCAGCCTACGATAACGTCTGATCAATCGTTTACCGAGAAAACACTCTTATAGATGTCTAGTGTTTGTTTTCTTCTGCTTCATCGGTCATGTTTCCGCACCATAGCGCGAGACAGGTCGTGAAAGTGCGAAATCTGTGCGAGGTGACGTGCGTTTTACGTTTGTCCCTGTCATGGCGTCCTTGTAGTTCCGTCCAGTCGCCTTGGTCCAGTCGAACACACCAGCAGGCATGCAAGGTTGTTTCCATTCCGACCGAGCGTTAGATCATAACGTGATCTAATGCCATACGTGGCTCGCCTAGAGCAAGCTTTTTTTTGCTGCTATGCCCCGGCCCCCCACCACCTTCACAATCTCCTCCAGCGATATTTCTGGTTCATTCCACCGTGCTTTACTGGGTGCTCCCTGAATGGTTGTAAACCCATAAACAATAACGGCAGTAACCTCAAAAATTAAATCAGAAATAGGAGCCAAAAGGTTATATTTAAAATGGTCGAATATTTCGCTCCTGGAGCTTCATCAGCGATAAGTACAGAAAACACCAGTGATAAAGTTTTTTTTTCTGTAATTATCGCTGATGAAACTCCAAGAGCGAAATATGCGACCATTTCAAATATAACTTTTTGTCTCCTATTTCTGATTGATATTCTGAGGTTACTGGTTATTTCTTAAATTTTTAATTTAAATAATGAGCCTCAAGCAGAATTTCAGCTTTTTAAGATGGTTTTAAATCCCTCAAATGAATATTGCACCATGTAAATAACTCTCACTCTCGTGTTGTTTGTCATGCTATGCATGTCTGTTCTGGCTTGCTCTTTGTCCCTTCGTTTACCTCGTTTGCCTTGTGTTGCCTTTCCGGCTGCCCTTCCGGCCTGTCGGTTCCGTCAGTCGTGCCTGACCTATCCGTTTTTCCCTATCGCCTGTCCCATTTCCCTGTGTCTGGTGACCTGACGTTCCTCTCTCTCGGCGCCCACAGCCGCTCGAGGATCGCGGAGCGGGGTCTGTCTGCTCGTCTGTCTACTGGGCTGTGTGCTGCTCCACACGGCCAGTGGACACGGACGGCTGTACGAGCCGCCCGGACGATCCACCGCCTGGAGGTAGGATCCACATACTCTCTCATGACATATATGGGCGCGTCCGAGTCTAGGTCATTGGTTCGCTGATTGTCTGTTTTCATATTGCCTAGCACTTATCATAACAGCCGTTTATTTCAATTTATCATTTTTCGCAGTTGATCACACATGTGATCAGAGATAAATGAGACCCTAAATGTGTGAAGAGATTACCAGTAAATCACCAGGGGAGCGGATGAAGAAACTTTAGTCGATAGTGATTACGTCGCTAGCTAGTGGCGAAAGACAAAAGTTTATGTCACATCTCGCTTACTCACATAAATAAATCTGGATGGTAAAAGCTGTGAGCGGCAATCACGAGTTGGCTAAGACACAGATGAGAAAGGCTGAGAAGATATGCGGGGAGATAAAATCAATTTCGACACTTTTCTGTAAGGTACACGCCTAGATTGATCATCGATGAAACTGTTGATAAAGTCTCAGATTCCTTACGATTGGCGCATGATTGCTGAGTGTTGCGCATCTTTACCTACATATGCAAGCACATGCTCACCGGTGTTCTCCGCGATCAGGTACGGCTTCTCACTGCCTCGGAACGACAACGACCACGAGTTGAACTGCGGTGGCTTCAGTCGCCAGTGGGTGCAGAACAGCGGCCGATGCGGTATCTGTGGCGACGCCTGGGACCTGACACAGGTGAGAATGGAACTACCGCGACGGGTCAGAGCCGGCCGGGTGCTGTGCTGTAGCCCAACCGAAACACAGCGCAGGAAGAACAGCGCTGCGCAGCGCTACACAACACCAGAGGACTGGGCGGGATCGTTAGCGGATAATCTTCCTCGGGCATGGCGAATGAAGATTTTATTAATGCCTCATTGCACCTTTATCAGCAAACCTCAACTTTCATCCAGATCCTAAACATATAACATCTTGCTGTGCATGAGAATAACCAAGCAGCTGTATCCCACTACACCAGGCTTCACTGTGTGTACCATCACCCCAAGTCAATCGGCTTTATAGTCCCACCATTCATATGCACCAGACTTGTAAACGACTCTGAGTTGATTCGTGAATCGACTCAGAATCAAACCGTTTTTCGATGAGTCGTGAGTTGATTCGAATCACTTCATCGAGGAACTTGATGAGTCATGAGTTGATTCGAATCGATTAAATTTAGCATCATGAGTCATTTGATGAATCGATTCAAATTTTCAGACTCAAACAAAGAATCGACTCAAAAAAAATTTGAGTCGTTTACAAGTCATCATCAACACCCTAATAATCAATGCTAGATCACCCTTCAGCTTTAGCCATCACTTAACTCCATATTTCAGACTTACAAGAGCCTCAGAGGCTCAGGCACAGGCGCCTAATGAGCCAAAAGCATTTGGCAGTTGGTAGGTACTTAGTCTTACCAAACCAAGTACCTGGTACACTACCTAGGTACCTACATTTTACATGTCAGAAGTCAGAAATGACACCTGCGGCTGCCTCCCCTTCTCCCAGTCCCAATTTGGTCCCAATAATCAATCAACAGCATAAGAGTTTGGGCGTCTATAGAGTCAAATACGCCCAAACTACCTATAGCCTATAAACTACCTATAGGCTGTGCTATAATATAAATAAACTCACCTATAAACCGCAAAATTGCGATGCTCAACTGCCAATAAACCACAAAATGCACATTTTCCATGAAATAGAAGTTTAAAAAGAAACTTGTCTTATGACATCATAGAATCTTCAGAATAATGTAAAGGAGCGGCTTTGAAATATTTCCTCAGCGATCTCCATTCGCCTAAAATATGTACTATGAGTGACGTCATGAATTCGAGAATAGAATGTGAAAGTCATAGTATGTTTTAAGAAAACTACATTAATGGCGCAGTTGATAACTTTCACGTCTGAATCTCGTGACAAATTGGCCGGATGACGTTGCCCGAATTGCACCAATGACAATTTATTTTTACCAAAAGAGCCACTTGGTCAGTGCTCCGGTGCTCCTGATATCGATTAATATTCAATGACGTCATTTTTAATCTAAAATTGTAGACTAACAATATTTTTTTTATATTCCTTCATTTTAATCTCCACGTTGAGCCAACATAAATGGTAAGTGACGGATGGGCTCTATCTAGCTGGCAGCCAGTTGGCACTGCTAAACTACTGGTGCCGTTTGGAGAATGTATATTGTATACCTACATCATCAACATTAACTACTTTCAATGAGTCTCAACTCAAGATCATATCTGATTCTGAGGCCTGAGCCACTCATGCAAGGTCATGGCCTCCTAGTGGCCCATGGAGTCCCTGCTGATGCTGGATATTTCACAGGTGGGAATTGGGATTAATCCTATTTTTGAGGTTGTACTGTTTGAATAATTTTATCTGATAAGTAAGAAGTAGTAACATTTGTCTCATTATCATGTAGAAAAGGTTTGATTAAAAAAAAAAAACATGAATGCCTCTCGGAACTTGTGCTTTTGAATTTTCAAATAAGACTTTCTAGGTAATAATAGGAGATAGGTTACTATGCTACTCCTTAGTCCTTACTTATATTATAATTGTCTCTCAGAGTTACTTACAAATTTATCTGACATTGCACTGTTGAGTGTTGACTGTTGAGTGTTGAAGATAGGTAGGTGTAAGGTAGGTACCTATTTACCTAGTCCTACTAGGTAGGTAGCTGCTTGAATCTTTGGTCAAGGCTACTATGCTGCTTAATACAATTGTGGTATGCGGCATATTCATTTTAGCATAGCTTTGAGTCAAATAATCAACAAATGTCTATAGTGAGTCATGGGTTAAATGAAATAAGTTCAATAAAAATGTCGTATGAGTCATGAGTTGATTTGAATCGATTCATCAAAATGTGTGAGTCATGAGTTGATTCGAATCATTCCCTTGGCTAGTTGCTCGAGTCATGAGTTGATTCGAATCATTTTATCGAGGAACTTGATGAGTCATGAGTTGATTCGAATCAATTAAATTTAATATCATGAGTCGTTTGCTGAATCGATTCAAATTTCCAGACTCAAACAAAGAATCGACTCAAAAAAAATTTGAGTCGTTTACAAGTCTGATATGCACATGTTCCGTTCATTACTTAGCACCGCGTGGAGGCGCCTCCACCCAGGACCATGTTTAGCCCGCACGCGCCGCGTGGCGCAGCGAGCACGGGAGTCAGCGCACAATGGCTAAGGCTGAGGAATGGCTCCGCCAAGGTCACCAATAGCCCGCGGGGACAGCCGGGCTGCTCCGAGGGCTTACAGGTCAGGACTGTCGGAAATGGCGGGCTGACCTTTGACCTCAATGACCTCTGACCGGCGGATATGAAGAATAGAATCCGGATTTGTGATCGATTCGGCTGTATTTGACAACTGTTATTTGGTCTATGAACAGACGTCCGTTTTAACTTTTGGTGGCGTATTGAGGAATGTGCACTATGCAGCTTATGGCTGTGATGTGAGGGTTCTCTGGGAAGTGGGAGCTGTCCGTCCTCGCTCTCAGCCGGCGTCTCAGGCGGTGTAGTCGGCAGTATCTACTATCTATCCAGGCCACGGGTCGGCGCAGCGGTAGATCGGCCCGCGCGGTGTGTTTGCACGCACCGAGTTGTGACGCGGCGGTGGTCGGCGATAGGTCCACAGACGGGCCCGGAATGGGGTCTCCGCAGGTCGCAGACCGCAGACAGTGCCGCGGCGGTGACGGAGACGGGGACGCGTCTCCACTGAATGGGCTGACGGAGCCGAGTGGCCTGAAACGCTGCCCGGGTGGAACGGAGCGCTCCCGGTTCCATGGGACCACCAGGGAACTCTGAGATGAGAAGCTGACTCGATATAAAGGATCTGTCGGCGCGCCATACCTATGTAGGCTAAGTAACGTTAGGAATCCTACTCGCCGAAACTCAGAATTTACACGAAGGAGGTAAATCAGCCTAGTGGAAATACCGTATGTGCATTGCAATCCTAATTTCATCTCGTATCAGAACAGGGAAACTATTTACAATAAGGGTTTGCATTGCATTTTGAGTGCTTCAAACGTTGGTCTTAGGATGGGATACCTCTCAGATCGTCAGAGTTCCGTCACAAAGGGATCGAAAATCACGCCGCTGTCGGACCGGGCAGGCGGGTCTCTGGCCGGGCCGCCGCTACATGCCGCGGACCGCCACCGGCCGCTCCCGCTCGACAGGAGAGTGGTCAGACGTGCGTGCCCGCGTGCCTCTCTCACTTTCGCCAGCCAGCCGGTCAGCCGGCCGGCCGGCAGCGCGACCGGTCCGACCGCCGCCAGCTGTCTGACGAAACCCCGCCCCGGGCTGCCGGCGCACCTCAGAGCCCACCGGCCTGTCCGAGATGGTTTGGGCGGAGGATCCCATGTGTTTCAGTGGCTACATGGCGGCCAACCGGCAGTTCATGTGTCTGTTTGTGCGTCCATCCGTTAGATCTCTCTGTCCGTCTGATCACCTGACCAAGCGCTTCTGGCTGGTGTAGCCAGTAGAAACACTGTAACATACAGATATCTCTTGTATTTCGCCACAAAATCGAGACATATATAATTTTACATACGAACTTAGTTATCTAGTATTGCACACATGTTGGCGAGAACATCGAATGTAATAAACGAATACATATGGTTTTTAATATACACATAGCCAATACAATTGTCCAAACAATACAGCAGTTTAAGCGAACGGAACGTTAAAAGGGGGGCGCACAACTTAATCGAAGGCTTTAGCAATTTAGAGACTGGTAAAAGCGACACCTATTAACAAAACTGTAGTCCGCCCGTCCGCTCGGTGATCCGTCAATCCGCCCGTCTCTGTCCGTCCGTCTTCGCATTCGTTCCCGTCCTCGTCCGTTCGTCATTCCTCTGTCCGCCAGTCATGGCATGTCCGCATACATCTCTCCCTGACCTTTCGATTGTAAACGGTGGTTCTTCCTTGTTTAGCGGCATCTGAAGGACGAAACATTTTACCCACAAAAATTCGCCTGAGCGATTTTTCACGATGCGAGTTTTCCACAAAATTGAATTTAACGACAAGCCCTTAAATTCGACTGTCCTGCAAAAGCTATGAAAGGGGTATGGTAATATAACATCGGCAAATTTTATATAGAGCACAGAAATGCGGCTGAAGTTCGTGTTCAAAGTCACATTTCGCCATACTTCTGGTGCCTCTCTTGTTGCCTCGTCTCCCCTGACCGCGGAGCGTTTTGGCGCTGTTATGCCGTCCCGGTCAGCGAACAGCGCTCCAGCTCCGACCAAACACGTCCCTCGACGCCGTCGGCCCGCCGGGAGCGTCCGTCGGTGATCAGTGGACCGAGCGGGCCCACTCCCCGTCGGCCGCCTCAGCTGTCGGCACCGACGGCGTTCGTCGGTCAGCGGCGCGCGTCGGCGTGGCGAATCCCACGGTGCAGGGCGGATTTATCGGGCCCATTTCACGGTCGGCCGCCGGTAAACGATGGCCAGACTTGAAATAGCAGAGACTCACGGACATTAAATAGCGCGACGATATGACAGCGACAGAGCCCTGACCACACGATGGAATGGCTTCCCATCATTAGCTATCGTAATAATGACGATACGTGCGCAACAGTTGTCACGAAGATATAAGAAGTTTTGTAACATCCCGTAGAAAAAGGGTAAATTCGCCTTCACTGTCGACCAACCGAAGCTGCAAGCTGCAGACAAAGCTTATTCCGCGATGCTTCATGTCGTCGGCGCGCTCTGCTATACAGACATATCCACTGTGCAGTATAGGGTCCGATGTCCTATGCACTTTCGAGTGCAACGTTCAGCCCCTGCCGTGGCAGGCAGACGCTGCCCGTCTTGGACCCATCGAGTGCCAAGGAAGTCGACAGGCCTGGGAGTGGCCGGCGGCGCCCGGCACGGTCACCACCCCTGGGGCGCCGCCACTGGGTATAATGACGTCACGGTGGGTGGCCGCCCTCCCCTCCGTCCTACCCCTCCCCGTACCCACGGTCTGGGGAAGGAGGGTCGGTGGACGGGGCAGCCAGCCGCTCCGCTCTACCGTCTCAGATATACATGACTGCTGATGGATGTGCCGACACATACTGATGGTGAATTATAGCCACGTTCTGCATGCGCGACTGCGATGGAGGCAGGAATTATTTCGTCGATTTACATAACTGTGTTACAACGGTTTACAAGGTAACCACTACTTGCTGATTATTAATCGTTTGGCAGTGCGATGTGATCATCCACCTGAACCAGGGAAGAACGTGGATTGGAAGTGTTATTTGATAACACTTCCAATCACTTGCAATATCATAACACTTGCAACATCATGTTATTTGATATAATCATTTAAAGCGCAAGTACCTTGTTAAAATCAGGGGTTAAAATGCTGGGACGACTGATCGCGAATTATATGTAGGCGGACAATTCCTTCGTGTTAGCGTTTAAAACAAGAAGAATCGTATACGAAGTCAAGCTAAAGATGCAACCACGATAAATTCAATCTGCTGTAAGCCTGATTTGAAGTAAAAGCTGACTGTCGCGGCCGGAACCAGTATGTGCCCTGTTGGACTAACTGGTGTCGGTTTTGGTACAAAAACTGCGGCGGCGGCAGCCGACAGAAGCGTGGGCGGCGGCTGCCGCCGGCGCTGGATGACCGTTTTCCCACAGCGGCGCGGCGCTGTTTGGGTAAACCACCCGTCTGACTGCCGGGCGAATGGGAAACATGCCACGGACCGACCCAGATCAGACTCGGGCCCGACGGTACCGACGGCAACGACCGCCGGTAAATGATCAGCTCACTGCGCTTGGCTAAGTGACCTCAGATGGACAGCGCACTGAGCCTGGCCGACAGCTCAATCGGCTCAGCTAATAGCTCAGCTCACTCAGCTCACTCAGGCTCAGCTGGCAGCTCATTGAGCTCGCCTGACACCTCGCTTAGCTCAACTGACAGCTCAATGAGCTCAGCTGGACAGTTCACTGAGCCCAGCTGTGCAGCTCACTGAACTCAGCTGGACAGCTCAGATCCAGCCGCTTCACGAGCTCACCTTCCTTTCCTGCACAGTGCACCGCACCTTCACCGATTTACCCTATATTCTGCACTCAGTCGCCTATCTGACCTCCTCTCTCCACATTAGCCGTTTTCACGACGGGCTATCCGGCGAATGCACCTGATTTGACCAAATCTGCACCTAATTTCTTTTACAGCAAATATCTTCATTTTATGAATTTATTTCAGTGTTTTAATCGATGATGCTCTCTGATAATATGACAAAGCAGGCATATAAGCAATTAGTGCAACCCTAGCTGGCTCTGCTAAGTGCTAAGAGACACACTGAACCTGATTTGACCAAATCTGCACCTGATCTGTATAACGTGTACCAGATGGCCGTCGTGAAAACGGCTATTATGACATTAACAACACTCATCGTCATCATCACATTTAATGTCGATGCAGCGAGCTCGTCTGTGCTGGCTTGATTTCCATGTTGACTATTGGTGCCAACGCGATCGTCACGGCGGTTTCCAATTGTCTTTCGTATGCAGGTGGCACGTAAATAAGACCGATGACTCTGCAGTTTGCATGCTCTACTGACATTTCGAACGTGAACCAGCGACCACTGACAATGGGAAGCAATCAGACAGCGGTGTCAGGCGCGTTGTCACCGATTTCTACCACATCGCTCGGTATCAACAGACCCCAGCTGGAGGTTTGGATAGTTGATAGTGCAGGGTACTGGACTTGGTCTGGTGCTGCTGCTGAGCCTCATGTCTATCTGTATATGCTGATGTTGCTGATATCTGCTATCCATCTGTGGGTGCTGATGCCGGTAGGTACTATGAAAGTCAGCACCGGTACCGGACCGGTCACTGACGTCTCGCTACGCTCCACTGCACACGGGGTGCGTCCGGTCACGCTCCTCCCTGCACTACCCTCCGGTCGGCAACGGTGACGGAATTGTACTGGATGACGCGTGCTACCCACCATCCACCGAGACATACCCATACCCATAAGCCTTGCTATCTATCACCGACCTCGGACCAATGCAAACATACATATAACGTTCTTCTCCATCGCTTCACTCGCTAAGGCTTGACGGCTCTTCAAAACTATAACATTACATAACTCAATGCACGGAAGCAGTTTTGCAGTCTCGTCACTCACCGACCCGCAGTCATACAACTCTCACTACCAGTATAACTGGTCATCTCTGGTCGCGACTATCTCCCCATCTGACCGACTGATCAGCGTTGACTTTCTACTTCCACTTCCTTAGCTGATCTGACCCTATCTCAGGCAGCAGATCGACCGGCGACGCCAGGCTTGAGACTAATTTTAGACGGACCGCAAGACGACATAAAGAGACGGAGAGAGAGAGAGAGAGAGAGAGAGAGAGAGAGAGAGAGAGAGAGAGAGAGAGAGAGAGAGAGAGAGAGAGAGAGAGAGAGAGAGAGAGAGAGAGAGAGAGAGAGAGAGAGAGAGAGAGAAAGCAGATTCAAAGGGTGATGAGCGCGGATACAAAATTATGCCAAGCTGACGAATGAAAGAATGTTGTGGTCGGAGGCAGAAAGGCATAAGAACTAATGCATATATGGAGCGAGTAATGCGAAACGGACGAAAACGAACGGAATAGGGCAGAAAAATGAACGCCCGTAATGGCCGTCTGTCATAACGATGAGAGGGCCACAAAGATGGAAAGAAATGCAACCGGGGCGAGAGCAAGACCGCCGGATAGTTTTCACCAGCCATCTGTTGGAAAACAGAGCGCAGCAGTGGTCAGCGACTGTGCCTCGTACCGAGATTGATCGTTCAAGCGCGGCCACCACAGGTGTTTTCAGAGCTGTGTATAGCGGCGGCTAAATATGGGCCTTCTTTCCTATCACTTACCGCCCACCTGGGGCGCACGCGGCGATACGAGAGAGAGAGAGAGAGAGAGAGAGAGAGAGAGAGAGAGAGAGAGAGAGAGAGAGAGAGAGAGAGAGAGAGAGAGAGAGAGAGAGGGAGGGAGGGAGAGAGAGAGAAAAAAATGTGGCGAAGTAAGAGAGGAGAGGAGATTTCCGAGTTGGAGATAGTGGAGAGAGGAGAAAGTCAGAAAGGTGAATAAAAGCAAAGGCGCAACACGTTGATAGCTGTTGGTCCGTGACATCGGATGTTCCTGCACAGGTCAGCCGATCTCAAGGCATTTGTTGCTATGCCCATAACCTAAGAATAAGAAAAAACTAGCCTTCAGTGCGATTAGCAGCTTGGTCATTGGGTCTTCGTTTCATACATCTGAATCGAATCAGAGCTAATGAAGCTCGAGTGAGTCCCGGTATCATTGAAAACTGCTCCGATGACATTGAATTGGTGAATCAGAGGCGCCCGCACATCTCTCAGACCCATAGGAGGATGTCCGGCGATGTGAACTCACAGCCGTGGAGTTCCGGCTGTACCGCGCCGCCCCCCCCCCCCCCTCCTCTCCCACCCACATCCGGTCCTTCGGCGGCTCCACCGTCAGCCGGCGGACAGCTCCGGTGGGTAATCGCAGCCGCCGCGCGCGACCAGAGGACAGCTCCGGGCCGATAATCGCAGCCGCCGCGCGCGACCGCACGGCCAGTTGGGCTCCAATGAGGCCTGGCTCCTCCAGCCGGGGGCCTGCTTTGGGTCCTCAATGGAGAGACAGGCTCCGCGGGCCGGTCACTTCCCTCGCCGGACCCCGTCCGGTCGTCTTCCCTCGCTGGACTTGCCATCCGTGCAGTATACGTATGCGGCCGGTCTGTATATTTTAAATTTGTTACAAATATACCTACCTTTTACAAATACACCGAAGCTCAGCGACCATTACAAAGCTTCATTCCGTCGTTCTTTCTGCTGGCTGGTAGCCGTTGCCGGCTGCGGGCTATATAACTGTTTCTGACGGCGTTATCGGTCCGCTAAATCAGTTGGCCACCTCTGCAGCCGACCGAGACGGATCGGAGTGCCGTCGACCTCCACAACTCCGGCCATGGCTGCCGTCAACCTCCTGCAGTCATTGCAACCGAGTATTACATCCGACCTCTGTCCATTGTATCCGTCTGGCTACTGCGGCCAACCACGACCATCAACGGGTTCACTGTTCAGTATTCATAGTCCGGTCATTACCAGATATCAACAATACTATGTAATCTCCAGTCATTGTTGTCGAGCGCGGTGACCTCTGGTCATTGTTACCAAGTAGGCATGGCCAAACTCCTCGGTCAGTCCGCCCGCTGTACATACAATCAGTTGTGATAGACAGCTGCTCGGTTTGTCGACGGCAACAGTATGGGTCATGTCCGAGTCCTGTCACTGTGGTGGCTGGCATTATGTCACTTCCTCAGTGTTCATGCTTTATCCAACAGCAAATGTGGTGATCATACGCGGGAATTGTGATTCAAAGCTAGTCATAAGTCGGGGCTTATCGCAATCAGATGACACATTTACATGAAAATGTACATATGTATACCATGCTTTAGAAGATATGTCCGAACGAGGATGGATGGAACTGATCTGACCTTACCTGACCTGGTGTCGCCTGACCCTCGCCGTGTCTGTGTTCCAACCCCGTCTGAACGAGAGGGTTCGACCTGACCTGACCTGACCTGACCTGACCTGCCCTTGTCTGTGTTCCAGCCCCGACCGAACGAGGCTGGCGGGATGTACGGCCGCGGTGAGATCGTGCGCACATACGCCGCCGGCTCATCAATCCCCGTAGGCGTCGAGCTCACTGCCAACCACAAGGGCTACTTCGAGATGCGCGTCTGCCCGGTGAACAGCAACGCTCGTCCGGCCACTCAGCGCTGCCTGGACCGCTACAAGCTGCAGCTCTCGGACGGCGGCGGCGTGCGCTACTACCCGCAGCCGGCCTGGAACGGCAAGATCCAGCTGCGCTACCGGCTGCCCGCCGACCTCACCTGCCGTCAGTGCGTGTTCCAGTGGCGCTACGTGGCCGGCAACAACTGGGGCACCTGCGGGAACGGCACCGAGGGCATCGGCTGCGGCCCGCAGGAGGAATTCCGAGCCTGTGCCGATGTCAGGATCGTCGACGAGGCCGGCGAGTTTGACGAGACGCGCTACGACTGGGCGGACGGTGAGCTGGGCGGCACGGTGCCGCCCTCAGACGAACGGCAGGCGCTCGTGGCGGAGACCATCGCCGCAGTGGTCCTCGGAGTGCTCGGCGCGCTCGCCTTCTTTGTCGGTGTCTGCTGCTGGGCGCTGGCGCGGCGCCGCGGCACGCGCAACAACAAGAAGAAGCGCGGCGTGACGTTCGGTCGCCAGATCTTCCTCATCTCCAACCCGACGCTGACGCGCAACGGGAAGCTGTCCAAGCCGACGGCGGCCGTGTCGCCGTCCGGGCCGGTGGGCGCACCGGGCGACACCAGCGCCATCTTGGAGGTGTCGTCCAGTGACGGCAGCACGGGCTCGCGCGGAGGCGGCGCACCGCCACTCAACTCATAGCGGCGACGCGGCTATGGAAGGTTAGGACCCTGCCCGGGCGCCACTGAACGTGACCGGAGCAAAGGGAGACGGGGGTCGGAGACAGATAAATCACCCCGCCGACAGACGCGGGGCAGACCCTGACTAGGGGTGGTGCGAAGGGGAGTGTAGGAACGGGCGCGCCGCTGGCAGCAGAGCCGAGAGGCGCGAACGGCAGTCGTCGACTGCGACGGACGGCGAGTGGAGCAGAGAGTGGGCGAGAAGTGAGCTAAGGAATCCGTGCGGAGTGCCAACGGCTACGAGGATTATCCGATCACGCACTCCTTAACGCCGACATGGCCGCCGGCGAGTGGAGCGGAGAGCGAGCGAGAAGGGAGCCAGGGAAGCTGTGGGGAGTACCAACGGCTGCAAGGATTCTATGGTCAGGCACACTAACGCCGGCACGGCAGGTGAGGCGTATCGAGCACGGCTCGGGGGTACGTACAGCGGAGTGCGGTTCCTTGGCGGCGACACCACGAGGATGGTTGCCCGGCGACTGACGCGGCGCCACCATGAGGATGGTTCCCCGGCGACTGACGCGCATCTATTCAGAGGCATATTAAGCGCACACACAATCGTAAAGGAAACCGGGGAGCCTGGTAGGCACGCTTTGAAGGGTCGTGCAACGCGGCACCCCAACCTGCGACGCGATACACACAAAACACCTGGTTCCGGCCACCCTACAACTCATGCACACACATCAGGTCCGCCGCCGACCCCTCGGCTACTCTGCAACTGCAATGCGTCCGACGCCCCGGCTACTCCGCACTGCACATACATCAAGCCCGCTGCCGACGCCTCGGCTACTCTGCAACTCACGCACATACATACTCATGCACATGCATCAGGTCCGCCGCCGACGCCTCGGCACGCACATACATCAGGTCCGCCGCCGACGCCTCGGCACGCACATGCATCAGGTCCGCCGCCGACGCCTCGGCACGCACATGCATCAGGTCCGCCGCCGACGCCTCGGCACGCACATGCACCAGGTCCGCCGCCGACGCCTCGGCTACTCTGCAGTAGAGATGTCCTCGGATACAACTTTTCGGTATACCGATACCATACTGATACCAATTCGGTACTTGCTGTTTGATTCCTAATGTGTTCGGTATTTTGTTGGTATAATGCACCCTAGGTTGGTACTTGGTTTAGTATCGGTATTCCGATTTTCCGTAGTTGACGTCACTACTCTGCACCGCACATACATCAGGTCCGCCGCCGACGCCTCGGCACCCACATGCATCAGGTCCGCCGCCGACGCCTCGGCTACTCTGCAGTAGAGATGTCCTCGGATACAACTTTTCGGTATACCGATACCATACTGATACCAAATCGGTACTTGCTATTTGATTCCTAATGTGTTCGGTATTTTGTTGGTATAATGCACCCTAGGTTGGTACTTGGTTTTGTATCGGTATTCCGATTTTCCGTAGTCGACGTCCTACTCTGCACCGCACATACATCAGGTCCGCCGCCGACGCCTCGGCACCCACATGCATCAGGTCCGCCGCCGACGCCTCGGCTACTCTGCAGTAGAGATGTCCTCGGATACAACTTTTCGGTATACCGATACCATACTGATACCAACTCGGTACTTGCTATTTGATTCCTAATGTGTTCGGTATTTTGTTGGTATAATGTACCCTAGGTTGGTACTTGGTTTGGTATCGGTATTCCGATTTTCCGTAGTCGACGTCCTACTCTGCACCGCACATACATCAGGTCCGCCACCGACGCCTCGGCTACTCTGCAACCCACGCACACACATCAGGTTCGCCGACAACGCCCCGGCCACTCTGCAAATCACGCACATACATCAGGTCCGCCGCCGACGCCTCGGCTACTCTGCAAATCACGCACATACATCAGGTCCGCCGCCGACGCCTCGGCTACTCTGCAACTCATGCACATGCATCAGGTCCGCCGCCGACGCCTCGGCTCCTCTGCTACTCATGCACACACATCAGGCCCGCCGTCGTATAGCCTCAGCCACCCCATAAACTCTGCACTGGCATGGGTCGAGAATATGGTATGGCAGGCATGGCACGCGCCACACCAACTTAAATGATGGTATGGCAGCTACGAAATTTAAGGATTTCAGTTTGATAAGAATAAAACACGATAGTATTGTTTCAAGCAACTGGCGCCATACCAACTTGAAAACAATTCTCCACCCATGTTCGGACGTACATGAGGTCCGCCGCCGACGCCTCGGCTACTCTGCAACTCACACACATGCATCAGGTCCGCCCCCGACGCCTCGGTTACTCTGCAACGGCACATACATCAGGTCCGCCGCCGACGCCTCGGCTACTCTGCAACTGCACATGCATCAGGTCCGCCGCCGACGCCTCGGCTACTCTGCAACTCACGCACATGCATCAGGTCCGCCGCCGACGCCTCGGCTACTCTGCAACGGCACATACATCAGGCCCGCCGCCGACGCCTCGGCTACTCGGCAACTCACGCACACGCATCAGGTCCGCCACTGACGCCTCGGCTACGCTGCAACCCTTGCACGTAAGTACATCAGGACCGCCGCCGACGCCTCAGCTACTCTGCAACTTATGCACATACATCGGGCCCGCCGCCGACGCCTGGGCTGCACTGTAACCCCTGCACACATCGGGTCCGCCACCGGCGCCTCGGCTAATTCCATTGGGTGTATTTGGCGTTTTTTTAGGGGCCGTCCTACCCTACAAACGAGCCGACGCGAGTGGTTTCGGCCGCCGACAGCCAACTGAGGCGAACGCTTGGTGATAGTGGCGCGGGCAACGGGGGCCTAATCAACTCATAGCGGCGACGCGGCTATGGAAGGTTAGGACCCTGCCCGGGCGCCACTGAACGTGACCGGAGCAAAGGGAGACGGGGGTCGGAGACAGATAAATCACCCCGCCGACAGACGCGGGGCAGACCCTGACTAGGGGTGGTGCGAAGGGGAGTGTAGGAACGGGCGCGCCGCTGGCAGCAGAGCCGAGAGGCGCGAACGGCAGTCGTCGACTGCGACGGACGGCGAGTGGAGCAGAGAGTGGGCGAGAAGTTTCCCACCCACCCTCACCTATTTAATAGATGCGACTTCGAGATTCGTCAAACCTGCATATCCTTAATCCCGACCATATACCTCGTCGTTATCACTCCGTCGGTGCGTTTTTTTAGGGGCCGTCCTACCCTACAAACGAGCCGACGCGAGTGGTTTCGGCCGCCGACAGCCAACTGAGGCGAACGCTTGGTGATAGTGGCGCGGGCAACGGGGGCCTAACGCAGTTCGCCGCCGACGACCAGTCACCCGAGCCGCCGGTGGCGCCGCGCAGGAAGCGGACTGCCCGGTCTCCGGCCGGAGAGAAACAGACGCAGGAGTCGGCCCAGGAGCTGGATCAGGATCCGCGGCGGGCGGGAGCGCACCTGCACATCAGCCGGCCCACCCAGGTGACCGTTAACGGCGTCTCCGTGGTGCCCGACCCGATGCCCGATGTTGTAACGCACTGAACTCTGGTGGTGGAGAGAAGAGGCTCAAGTTCTGTCAGCGTGCACGAGACGGTGTTGAGGTCGGTTTTCGTAGGTTCAGTTGAAGGTCCCGTCCAGTCGTCAACGGTCTCGGTGATGTAGCTAGGGCGGACGCAGATGAAACTCACATGCAAAATGTAAAGCGGCGGAACAGTTGACTACGTTTGTGCGTGTGAAAAGCCCGGATAGGGCGCGGGGAGTGGCATCTCTCAGGGATAGCATGAGAAGGGTTGAATATGTTTGTATTTGTGGTGGGCAAGTAGGTACAACGTTTGCGCGCTGCACCTACACACAGTAAGCAATAAGCATCAGTATTCTATCCAGTGGGACCCATATTCTACGTCTGTAAACACAGAAAATTCGAAAAGTTGCGTGTTAAAAGTTAATTTTCTACAATACCAGCGCTCAAACAACGCCTCGTTTTCGCAGTGTTTTGCACCCCACGACCTTGCACTTTGTGACGGTCCATGACATGTTTGTCACATGACATGCTTAACTGTTTTTATGATAGGGATTGCAACATGTAAACGAGTTACGAACACGGACTCAGAACGAACTTACCTTACCATGACCTAGCTAAATGTCATTCATTTAAGAGCTACAGTTACCTACCTATCAAGCGTTTAAGCTTGACAACATATCAACCAATCCTGCCATTTTTCAGTGACTGTTTCACTGGGGGTCGTCTTTAGAATGCTATGTCTCCGATATTATTCCATGTTTTCTCCTCCGTTATTTCTCGTCTAGGTCAGCTGCGTGCCTGGGATATCAATTAACGCGAGCGATTGAGTGCATTGGCTGAATAAGTCGGGTGCACTGCGTATGAATGCTTTTGGCGGCCACTGGAAGATGGTACCGCACTCATATTGTACTGAGTATTGGGTCTATGGCTGTCAGAATGAGCCGTTGTCGATTGCTGCAACAAAAGAATTGAACGTGAGGTATGTTTGCGTATCTACTGTCTACGGTCCATGTGTGTGTGTTTTTTTTTTTTTTTGCGTGCTGCGTGCATGTGTCTTACTCATCTGCACGATGCTCACGTATTGTATTACGGGTGAGCCCAAAAGATAAATACACATCGTTACGTACTAAATAAAAAGATCGTTTGAGGATGCCGTTTTAAGTAGGCCTGTTAGGATCCGAGCCCTACCAACGATTAAGGTAACTCATATGGCGTTGCATAGTAACAGCGGCTTTGATATCCTAAGATTAACCGTTGCCTATAGCCTTACCAATAAATTGCATAAAGGACGCCCGTTAAAAGATGTCAACCACACAAACATCGTTCACTGGCGCTACCTATACATATGTAGTTCCTCTACCGCCGTTAGACGGCTTTAACGCGGAGCGCCTGGAAGTAGGCTGTGCCGCACGACTTGAAGCTCACTGATGGCAGGCCGGACCTGTTATCTGAGGCCCAACCTTTGATACCGGAAAGAAAATGACTGTCAGTCATCTTCTTTCCTGATCCGGAATCAGATTCGGGATCCGGGATCAATTCAAGCCATATACGTACAAGCATATGTGTGATGAAAAATTAGGCTAATTTAGTTTGTCAATACACGGTAGTGTTGAGCGGCGAGGTGAAATTTTCATCACGTCTTAAAAAAGGTAAAGAAATTGCTCGTACCTTCCATTAAAATCAATGTACCTTAAAAAAACATTCCAAACATCTGCTTGCAATAAAGGTGCGCATTATGTTGTGTTTCTTTTTTTGCATTTTAACTGAACCGTGATCATTGTTCATTAGGCATTACTTTATTGATCGTGACATTGGATCATAACATTTAACATTTAAGCTATGCATAACAGCTCAACATTTAACAAGTCATATAAAATATGTAATACATTTATTAGAAATTAAAGGCGTAGATAAAACATAGGCATAAAATAAATTGCATAAGCTACTACCATCACAGGTTACCTATACAAGAACTTTAAGAATATTGAATTATGACAAGAGGCTCAACGCTGAAGGCTACCCTAAAACGGAACAATGACCACTTGAGAGACAGTAAAAACCGTTACATCATTGAATGCCCAAATAATGAAATAAGCGCTTCACAATTAAGTGTGCTAATACGCGCTCACTAGTGAAATGATGAACACTTGAAAACAAACAAAAGCATAGATAATAAATAGTTTGATTGAGGCATTCAGACTTCAAGACGAAAGTTTATAGTTTCCAATAACGTTGCGTTTAAATAGTGTTCCTGTTTGCTCTCAGTTTAGTCCGTTTCCAGCCAACTCGCTTGCTCTCCATGTCATTTCGTCCGCCGTTCATCGTCGGTTTACTGTTGTTGTGCCGTTTTTCGGCGCCGGTGGGAGCAGTGCCAGCGTCATCACCGCTCCCAGTGCGCCGGCCGACGGAATGTGAGCGCTCCCACAGTGGGCACCGTGCTGAGGTCTCACAGCGGGCGCCGCAGGGTGCGCTGAGGTCTCACAGTGGGCGCCGCAGGGTGCGCTGAGGTCTCATAGCGGGCGCTGTGCTGGGGTCTCACAGGGGGCGCCGTGCTAAGGTCTCACATTGGGCGCCGCGGGGTAAGCTAAGCTCCCACAGTGGGCACCGTGCTGGGGTCTCACAGGGGGCACCGTGCTGATGTCTAACAGCGGGCGCCGTGCTGGGGTTTCACAATGAACGCCGAGCTGAGGTCTCACAGTGGGCGCCGTGCTGGGGTCTCACAGTGGGCGCCGCAGTCGCAGTTACCTGGTGACAATCGGCGCCGAGGCCCAGCGCCGGCCGTTGGGCGCGTGACTGCGAGCCGTAATCGCCCCCGGGCAGCCGAGTGGAGCACGGCCATTCCGGCAAACGACACTAACGTGCCGATAGCGGAGATATTGCTCTCCCCTGCAGCCGGCAGTGCGGCGGGACGGAGCGGGTATCATCCGACGCCGCTGTTTGAAGACGTGATAATGTGGAGTGAAGGCACAAACACAACACCCGTAACTAAACACCAGCAAGGCCAACACCAGCACAAACACACATGCCTACATTTTACACACATCCACAGTACTGTGGTACTTCTACGTCCTTGCTCAATTCCGCACAGCAAGGACGTTTGGTAATTGGTCCTACCTTTCGTGATCAACGTTCAGTCTTCAAGGAGCGGAGCCTGTGCTCTGTGTTGACGCTGCGCTTTTCCGGTCGTTAATTTGGAGCCGGAACTGGATTGTGGCGCATATCAGACTGCCGTCAAATTAGTGGGCCGTGCTCAGCAGCGCCTCTCGGACGGCTGGACCCTGTGACGCTTTGTGCAGCTTCTTCTTCGGGCTGCATTAATTAGCGCTAAGCCAGATTAATTAGAGAGAGAACGTTTGGTGGCTACTCAAGCTGAGACCAATTCCAGGCACTGTGCCAAAAGAACGGTGAAGTCCAAACCATTAAAGGTTAGGTATAAGGCTGTGTTTGACTTTGATGTCTCGCATTGTAACCTGATGAATCTAACAGCCTGGACGTGGAATGATACCTCACCGTTCCGCTTTGAGACGATGGTATGACTTATGAGTTTTTTGTCCCTGTAGCAGACAGTTCCTCTCTCTAACCCTCACTCTAACCCTCTCTCTCTCTCTCTCTCTCTCTCTCTCTCTCTCTCTCTCTCTCTCTCTCTCTCTCCCTCTCGCTCTCACCCACTCTAACATGAGTCGAAAGCCACTTGACTCGGAACGCTGAGCCGGTTAAGCCGAGCTTCGGAAACACTCGATTGAAAGCATGAAGATTGAAGGATGGCCGAAGGAGGTCGTCGGCTTTCACAGTTCTATCACGGCCTTTTGGGGGTTCTTAGGGATGTATGTGACTTGCCCACAGGCCACGGTTACGCGGGTATTTATCTGTAGGTATAACTGACTTCCTTGACATATCCCACCTTCACAGTGCATATATGTGTATGGTATTTTATAGAGGTAGGTAAGTATCTACGTTTTCCATTTTGCCGTTTTCCATGAGGAGAGTCATGCTACTCGTCCTACCACTACCACGAAATATGGTTGGATACCTCAGCTAACGCTGATATGAGTTTAGTTGATTATCGAGACCATCTGTATCTGCACGAAGTGCTTCTGGAAGCACTCCTTGAAGTTCGTGCCAGATAAATATTGTGCACACTGCAAAGTGCACACGCCATTTGCGTCTTTACATGTCAATTCGGTCGTCAACCAGTGTGGATGTCCAATGCATGCACGATACATGATGCGCCTCTCCATGAACATAAAAATGTCTGTGGTTTGAGCTCTGGGACGTATATTAATCAAATCCCTAAAATGTGCACCGTGCATGGCTTGCAGTGAAGCATCTGAGGGCAGCGTGCCGAATAATCACGCGTTCCATAATGCATCATTTAAAATTCTCGTCAAACACTAAATGCATCACATCAAGCTGCAAATGGGGCATTTTAATCTGAATGAAAATTCGTAGAATAGTTTGATGCAGTGCTTGGGTGTTCTAAATGAAAGGGCTTGATAAATGGGCTCTCATGATGTATCTGCAATCTAAAAGAAATCGCCTACGGCCATTCGGCACACAACGCCATTATATAACTGACCGACATTCCATTGACGCAAGCTACGAATGAATCGTTCACCAACAATAGCATAGCCGTGCTCACTGCCTAGTGCGAACCTCAAGATAAACACTTTGACAGCCTATATTTAATCATTCAGTCACTGATCCGTATCGATTGATGCTATGAACTCCGTCTTATTTTTGAAACAGATCCTCCTCGTTGAGCATTGACTGGACGCCCATGCCTATAATAGGCACACCAATTATGACCGAAACAGGCAGATTAGCGGTAACACGACAGAGACCAGATTTTTCTGTCACGCATTTGTTAAAGTCAGAGGTCACCTATGGGTCGTCGGCTGTGGCGCAGAACCGTAAGTCTCCAGACTCACTCCCCAATCGATTGGCCCGTTTCAAAATAGCCCACAGTGAGCTCATTCTGTCCGAGGCCAGACCTAAGGTTGCGGACATTTTCAGGACTGTGCTCGCTCTCTTGAGTAGGGTCATGGAATGCTCCATCACCTTTGATCCGTATGCTCGCGGGCCCCATCAGACCAAGGCAGTGTCTAGATCAGTCAGGGCGCTCAGCAGCCCATCTGTTGGATAATTGTATGTATGTGACTCACATGAGTTTTGAGAAGCATATGATTATTTATGACAAGTTGTAGGAAAATGAAAAATCAAATAATTCAAAGGCATAGATAGAATTACTGACCAAAAATACCTATTGTGCGGGTAAACACCAGCTTTCACACTGACACGAGTCTACTCGTCGAAGACCATACAACAAGCCAGCGTTCTGCCTAGCGTGAGTCAAAGATTGGTGCTCCGCCTCGAAAGTTCACTCATTCGTTCACTCAAGGACGACGCCAGTTGCCTGGCCAAACTTTACCGGCCAGCTGTAGGGCTCTCGGCGGCCCTCAAATGCGTTGGAGCGAAGGCTACGTGTCCCCGGTGGCAAGAGCAGATAGCTGAGCACTGGTAGGTACTTACAAAACCAGTCTGGTTTCGCCGCTGGGACTTTGAACGAACATGGCATGGCAGTCATTGCGGAAGTTAAAGCGTCAATGCTCGTAAACTATGGTTAGCAGCAATGCTGTCGTTCTCTGCAAACGTGCATGCCAATGAAACATTTCCCATAACATTCGTCCACTTAAGCAAAGCGAATTAGTACAACACAGATCAAGAATGTTCGACACAGCCGATGTTCGGACTAAGGGAAACATTCCCTCAATCAAAAACCTAGTAAAATCGTCAGCTGTTTTATGACAGTTACAACAAGCGGTGTGGCATGAAAAAAAGGCTGAAATCCCAGAAAGCGATACCTAGCGTAGAATTTCAGCTCATGACGGGGACGAGAGTCCGAAATCCAGCATCATTAACCCTCGCATGTGTGCGGCGTTTGCCAGCTTCTGTAGGGGGGGGGGGGGGTCGGTTGGACCTCCCCCTTGCCGTTTGGCCCCTGATCGAGCTAGAGCTTCGCGGAAAAAACGAGCGTGTT